GATGTTACGATCATTTATAGAGACCCTGTAGAATTTCATTATGGTACTTAGTCCCATAATAAATTCATTATGGGACTTAGTACCATTGTTGTTCATTTTATGAACATTGTGTGGACATGACTGTGCTTTTTGTATTTATTTAACATTTCATTCCACTTTGAGCATTGTGGCTATTTCGTAGTTTTTTCATTTTGCTACTCAAGTCACCCTTCATTTATTCAATATTTGTAATTATTTAGCTCTTCTCTCCAAGGTTCGTATTTACATAATTCAACGCAAGCACTTCCGATGTTTGAAAAAAGTTAATCAAATATTTTTTGTTCACTGATATGAAAATTATTTCTATATATTATTCATAAAAAAGGTTTGGAATCCTATGGAATAAAATTGTTGCAGTGTCACACCCTAAATGACGTCCATGAATTTAATAGCTTGTAGAGGTGAATGCTATTGTATGTACAATTCTCTTTCAGAATAAATACTCTCATGATTTCGGTTGCCCTGCCCCACACAATTATATCGCAGCTGATCGCAGAGTAGACTAACGCACATTATAAGTTAATTAGGTGACATCGGTAGAAGTTCGATTTCAAACTATTCATCGCGTAGTAAAGTTGACAGTTTTTTTCACCGGCAGTCCATTTGTTAGTTGAAGTACAATCAATGGTCAAGTGGTATTCCAAGAAACTTGGTGCATGTGGATTAGTGAATTACCTATAGTTTTTTCTTTTTTTTTTTTTTGGAGCGAATTCCTATAATGTTCGTGAAACATCGCGCGTTCCTAGGGAGGACAGGGAGAGGAAGGTGTTGGATTTTTTTGAACTTTTGGAGGTTATAAGTCCTTGGGAATACTTCCATTGACAAAGAACTTCAATGCTTCGCCGTTCTATAGACGAACGAGTTTTGGTAGAGTGTTACTCGACATTTTCCAAGGTTAACTACGAAGGGATGTGCTGACTTAGCCTGTCGAGTTCGTCTGACTGGTATTGCTAGTGATGGAATTATAGCAGAGATATCTGAAGGATATTTCCGTGGAAGTATCTTTATATAAGTGAAAGGCCACCGACTTTTCTACGGTGTGGCATCACCCACCAGGCGAATGGCTCCTCTCTGGATGGAATGTAAGAGCATCAGCGTATGTTTGGGTGCTGAAACCCCATACATGAGAACAGTATTCTAAAACTGGCCGGATCTGTTCTTTGTAGATCGTGAGAAGCTGTTGTGGTGTAAAGTAGGTTTTAGCACGGAACAAGGAACCGAGTTTTTGTGAAGCAGCTTTTGCGATGGATCGAACATGATTTTCCCATCGAACAGTATTGCTGATGGAAACACCGAGCATAAATATACAGGGTGCGGCACCGAAAACGAAACAGAGGCTCTGTAGGTCGCCAAAACCGGATTATGAAAAGAATCTGAAACACGTCAACTACGTTGTTTCAAATAAATGTCAGTAGATAGTAAATCACAAGTTGAGATCGGGACATGAGAGCCGTTTTGACCAATAATGAATAGTTTCGACACAAAAAAATGTTAAAGTTGAAAAATCTCGATTTTGAACACTTTATATCCCTGAAACCATTACAGCTAGACCCTAAGTGTGATGCATTGATGAAATCAGCTCTTCGGGGAGAATCTAAAAATGCAATAAAATACAAGGTGTTCCATTTGAAATAACAAAGTTGTTGCTTCCTTTCTTTAGAAGCGGCAACGCCGCAGGGCTGAAAATATTTTAGAAAGATGTCCCCCTCGAAAATGTAGTTGACCTGTTTCAGTTTTTTTTGATAATCCGGTTTTGGCGACCTACAGAGCCTCTGTTTCGTTTTCGGTGCCGCACCCTGTATAAGACTTGGAATGGGGGTACACCAAGCATTGGTACTGAGTTTCGCCCAGCAAAATGCCAGTACAACATACTCGACACATTGAGCTTCCCATTGCAAGCGCAGCATATACATAAATGGTGGGACTATAATTCAACCGACAACTGATGGTAATACCGAACATAGATATAGTGGTCTTGGTGGGAATGGTGGTACCGGACAGTGTTATATCAGGCATACTGAGTTCCGCCTTCCTAGAGAATACAGGCTCTTGCGTTTTGGTGGCGTTGAATTCAACTAGGTTGTTGGTTCCCCAGGCTGTGATTTCCGCAAGATCTTCATTGACAGCGTTGGCCTGCCTCCGTCGCAAGTTCTTAGTTCCTGGAATGAAATAGGAAGTCTAGAAGAGAACGCAGTATGAAGATCGTCTGCAAAGCTGTGGATAGGGCAAGTGGTTGCTCCCAATAGATCGTTGATATGAAGTAGGAACAATGTGGGTGCCAAGATTGATCCTTGTGGAACGCCGGAATTGAAGGCAATGGTATCAGACGATCCTCCGACCACCACCACATGTTGCGATCTGCCTGAAAGAACTCGATAAAAGGGCATAGCTGAGGTGGTATGCCTTATGATGGTAGTTTGTGGAGCAGTCCTTAGTGCCAAACACGGTCGAATGCCTTCGATATATCTAGCGTTACAGCTTCTAGAGATTCCCCATGTTTTGCCATATATGAGTGAGTAGGCAAGTGAATCTGCAGTTGATCTTCAGTGGCGAAAGCCATGTTGTCTATCATTAGTTATTCCTGAGCTCTCCAGATATTTGATAAGCTCAATGTTGATGGCTTTCTCCATCACTTTGGAGATAACCGATAACAAAACAATTGGCCTATAGTCGTTGGGCAGGCTCTTGTTATCTTTTTTGGGGATTGGTTGGTCTCTAGCTATTTTCCAGCAAGATGGAAAAATACCCGACTTGTAGGAGATGGTAAATAGCTAGCAATTCTGGTGCACACTTTTTAAGAATAATGAATAGAATTCCATCAGGATCATTGGACTTATTCATTTTGAGAGCGAGCAGAATGCGCCTGATAGTGCGTTGACGAAAGACGATTCCGGGCATTCGACTTTCAACGTGTGGAATGTCTGGTGGCACCCTTCCTAGGGAATACAAGGTGGAGTTTGCTGCGAACATAACTGCAAAAATGTTCGCTTCTCTTTCGATGTTGTTGCTAATGTGCCGTCGTCTTTGGAGAGTGGTTTACATTAATTATTTAAAATTCTTTTGCGAGGGACCAAAACGAACGGGAGCCATTGGGACAATCTATGAGTTTTGATCTTATTTTGGCATTGTATAATTCTTTTGATGCATCTATTGTTTGGCTGCAGTTCTATGCTTCATCATATTCTGCTCTAGTCAGGAGGTATGGGTCCTTGCGCCAGCCATGATAGGCTGTTTGTTTCTAGGCAACAACCCCAGAAATAGTTGAACCAGTGAACCATGGTTTCGAAGCTGATGGTCTCTTCGAAGAATGAGGTATGTATGTGCCCATTCCAAGCGTGATGATGTCGGATATTTCCGCAGCACACTGTGAAGGATCCTCAGAATCAAAGCATTTTCTATGCCGAGGAAACTAGGAGAGAAACATGCGGAGACCTTCCCAGTCTCCTATGCGGAGACCTTCCCAGTATCCTGAGTAACAATGCCATACAAGACGTGGGAGTGCTGGATTAGTTGATGGAATGGAGAATGGGCAGGTTGTCGAGATGAGTGTATGATCAGAATTGCTGAGTGGTGCTCGTACATCTATGGTGTAAGGTGCTGAATTATTAGTGAGGAATAAGTGGAGTGTGTTGGCTGAATGATTGTTGACATCGCGTAGGTTCCTTGAAAAGCTATGCTCTAATCCGTGAGTGATGGCGAAAGCCTCCGTCTATATATTATTCAATTTTTAGAACCTCCATGGAAAGCTGAGTTCAAACATATATCACACATAGGGTTTGTGTACAGTACGTCCTTTGAATTCAGTGCCCTCCTAAAGTGTAGTGGATGCATTAGTGAGGAATTTAGTAAATTCGAATGAATGTCCAAATAATAATAAACTTCGACAGCTTCGAGCGTCTATTTCAAAAAATATTTCCCTAATTCTTCACGAATTTTTCACTTACTTTGAAAGAACAGAATTTAACGAACGCACTGTATACAAATTCTATGTGTGGTATTTTTGAATCCAGCTTCCCATGGAGTTTCCAAAAAATCAATAATATTAAGGGTGTTCCATTTGAAAAAGTCTTTGCGGACGTCATAATTCAGACGTGGATCACCCTATATATTTATTTTCCCCTCAAAAATGTGGAAAAATGAAAATAAAATTCGACCTGTTTCAGTGGATTCTTCAGAAGTGGATAGTTTGGCTAAAAATGAATTAATCCACTACTTTAAGAGAATTGATTTAACAGACACGCTGTATGCAAACCCTATTCGTGTGATATATGTTTGAATTCAGCTTTCTATAGAGATTTCAAAAATGGAATAATATATAGGGTGTTCCATTTGGAATAATTGACGCGAACATAATAATTCCAACGTGGATCACCCTATATATTTAATTTCCCCGTATGAATGTGCAAATTGAAATTGAACGTCGACCTATTTCGAGAGATTCTTCAAAATTTGATTGTTTGCCTGAAATTTTACTTTAGGAAAGCACTGTACAGTCTGGCAGGGGTTAGCACCAGTAGAACGGTCTTGCTACTGAGGACACATCTTCTAATTGTTACCCAAGTAACTTGTATTAAATTCATCTCTTATACTTTAACGAAAGTGAGTTTCAATTCATCAAGGATTAAGGGTGTCTGGCAAGGGGTAGACACCACGGTACCGTGTCTGGCAATGGATGACGTGGTTTCTAATATTATCCCGAATAAAATATAAAAAAATTACCCTATATAGTATGACGAAAGTAAGTTGGTATTTTTAGCACCTTTGCTCCCTGTAAGCTTCCAAAGGCACCATGACCTAAACTAAAATAACGAAGGTCTGGCGTTCATGGGATCTTGCCGTATTATTCTTGTCCTCATCTCATTAATGCTTTCCCTACTATACTGTGTAGTATTGACAAATAACCATTCTGTCTCCTCCAATAAAACGAACAGTCGGAAAATAATGGAGTATTTTTTTTTCAGATGATGAAGAACGTATTCGTGAAGAACTTAAAGACTTGATTGACGATAATCCAATTGATGAAAGCGATGCAGAATCGGATGCCTCAGGTATGTATGGAGAAACCAAATCTATTATTCTCATTCATCTTTCGTGTTGAAATAGTAATTTTCCTAACAAGTGCGGAAAGTTATTCTTTCCCGCACGCGACTGCCGTTGACACGAACGACGCGAAGCGGAGTTCGGGCAAGCAGTCGAGTGCGGGAAAGACACTTTCCGCATGAGTTAGGAACAATATTTTTTCTACAAGCGTAAGAAATTGATTGATTCGTTCAATTAATTATTCATCCAAATAGGAACAGCTTACAAAAGAAATATATTCTCTATCTACTAATTATTAGTAATAGCTATTGTGAACTTACAGTTTGACGCATTATGTTGGTTCATTGCGGAAGCCAGCAGGCCCATAAGGAGTTTGGTGTCTAGGTTTCAGACACTTCTATGAAATAAGCCAAAAATACCTATTCTTCATTGGGTATTTTCATTTCATTATTGTTGCACCATTCAATAAAACGCGTGTATAGCTTCTCATACCTTTCTCAAGACTTCGTTGGTAATAACGCATCTGTATCAAATCCCTATAGCTAGAAGTTTTTGATCACATTGTGGCATTTCCACTGAATCGAAAATGACAGTAACGCTGTGTCTGTCACTTCGACAATTCCAAACTTGGCATGACAACAATAATCGTTTTCCACATGGACGTATAAAAAAGAAGGACACAGCAACTCTATACTTTCAGCATATAATGTTTTGAAGTCTTAGAGATGTAGGCAAGCGGGTTGAGGGGAACGAAAACGGTAACGATAGACTGTGCTATTTCCTCAAACGACAGCGGCGTGCGAAAATGAATTATAGTGATAGTAAATTTGGGAATCCAAAATGCAAAGAGCGACTAAAAACTGAATACCAATCACAATATGACCGTTTATCAATCCGGGTCGCTATGGGTTATACCTCGGGTTATACCAACTGGAAAAAAACCTTACGAAGTGGACCTTGTAGTGAGGATAAGAAACAAATGTACATAGGTCAATGAATATTTAACAATATAAAATTTTCACAAGAGAAAAATTGTCTCATTAGGAAATGAGACATCAGGTATATAATTCATATATAGTGTACTGGGCATTTAATTAAATTCGCATAATTATTTATATATACAGTGTCATTCATAAAGTCGGCATCATGTGGGAAAAACTTTTATTAATGACTCATTTTGAAATTCGAGTTGGACTTCAAGTTTTGCTTCATAAAAGATGAAAAATGGCCTACTCAATCGGGGTCACGTGACTTTCGCTACATGTCAAAAGTGACATTTTTTCAAATTAATCGCTGAAAGTAGGCTTATTTGTTCGAATATCGAAGAAGTTTACTTGAAAAATTTGTTTCTATTTGAATTTTACATATGTGACTCGGATTTTATCTTTCTATTACATCTTTCAGATTTCGATATTCTTTAAAAAATTTCGAAATTTCTGTAATATTAAAAAAATTGTAAATTCTATAAAACGACTTCATACCAGTAGGAACAACTTTTTCAAGTAAACTTTTTCGATATTCGAACAAATAAGCCTACTTTCAGCAATTAATTCGAAAAAATTTCACTTTTGACATGTAGCGAAAGTCACGTGACCCCAATTGAGTAGGCCATTTTTCATCTTCTTTGAAGCAAAACTCAACGTCCAACTCGAATTCCAAAATAAGTCAATAATAAAAGTTTTTCCCATATGATGCCGACTTTATGAATGACACTGTATATATACTTATTCACAATTATTATTTATATGTTTTTAATTTTATTATTGATTGTTAATTTTGGGAACCTCACCGTAAAATTGCCGTATATTCTTGAATTTCTACGTATATTGGAATTGGAGCAGTCTGTAATGATATGAAATAATGATGATATGATATCCCACTGAAATTATGAAATTTCAATTTTTTACACATGCCAGACCCTCGTAAACAGTGCAAATAGAGCATGTATCTCTCATCTCCTTTCATAAATGGTAATTCCTATAAATTCTGAGAGCGGCACCACTCTCTGGACATAAATTGTTGCCATGCAAGGGTTTCGTAATCCCTAACTTTTTATGTTCATTTTTCATTTAGAGTGAATGAAAAAATCAGTACATATTCGTGAATATCTAATCTATGTTCCTGTCGTCTCACTTTTTCGAAATTTGATTCAGTTTAAAAAAAAAATCGCAAAATAACGTGTTTTTTGATGATTTTCAAATTTTTTTTCTCAAGAACCGAATCAAATTTCGAAAAAGTAAGACGGCAGAAAAATTTATAAGATCTTCATGAATATGTAAAATTTTTTTCATCCTCTCAAAATGGAAAATGACCGTGAAAAGTTAGGGACTACGAAACCCTTGCATTATTGCTTTATATCATAGTACAACTTCCTCTTAACAGAAAAGCCTCGAGAAAAGCATTGAAAAGGAATGTTCTCAGATAAATTATGAACGTAAAAAAATGGATATAAACATATATGAAAAAATACATCGAGGCTTCGCATTCTTTATTTGATGAAAATATCAATTGTTACGCCTATGAAACTCTAATTCGAACATGTAAACAAATGGTACTTACGAATGGAAGGTGAAATTTGGGTATTAAAACTTTGTTTTTTCGCAAATCCAGCAGTGTAACACCATTATTAGTCTCTGTCTATCAACTTTTCACAAAAAAAATAAGAAAATTCACTCAAAAACAACGAAAACAATAAACTTCCTCAAACACATGAACATGAACGAACAACGCCGAAAGCACGAAACATCACGAAACGAGCCTGTTTCGCAGCGGCGTTGTCGGTTGTGTATAATCTCGGTAACCTTTACAGAATAACTTCGAAATGATGTATAACGACAGTTTTTTAATATTTGATTGTGACTATCTATGGACATATGATTTATTCCTTGAGTTCTATGAATTGGATCATAATGAACATCTAATTGAATAGATGATTACAAAAGAGGAAAGTACAAATACTTGAGAGGATTAGACTGAGGTTAGGAATTATCAGCGACAGGACGTGACAACCTCCAATTCAACATCAGGTGATATACCGTGACCGTATTCTCTGACTTCACATTACGATGTAAATAAATGGGTCCTTCTTTGTTTATACGTCCATGGTTTTCCATCAGATCAATCCAAATCTATAGGGGGATTTTTACAATAATACATTTTTATTTCTCAATATTTCTTAATTTTTACAATGCATAGTGCAATTTGATGGATGATTCTGAATATACATACATAATACTGCAACAAACAAACTTAAACTTTTATATTCCATCACCAACCACTTATATTATTAGCGATTTTATCATATCTTTGTTTTCCCGCACTAGTGTGGGAAAATATTTCCGCACTGTTGCGGGAAAATGACACTTTCCAAACTAAATTGCGTGCGGGTATAGGGTGAATCACGCACGCTTGTAGAAAAAAAAAACTTTCAACTTCGCGATTATGAACAAATTTGATACAATATAGAACTGCTCAAGCCATTGCTCTTTTCACCTGACTGACAATATTCAAAAATGAAGCTAGGTAATATAAGAAAAACCAAATTGAAATGGAATAATACAATAATGGCAACAAATTTTCAGAACGATATTGAACTTTCAAGTTACCTGAAACCTTTGTAAATCATTGATCAGACGTTGATAGGTGAGCCCAAACATTTTATTTTGGCGAGGTGAGAAGCATCATAAGTGTCAATGACTTTTGCAATGTTGCCGGACGATCAAAAATGGAGCACATATTTATTTTTAAAAATTATAAATATTGTCACGATTTAATAGATGGTTAGTCCATCCATGTCATGATAAAAGGATTGTTTCCACCATGTCACTATAAAAAGGTTGGTTCCACCATGTCATGACATAGCGGTAGGACTTTCACTATGCCACCCATATCGATTTATATGGGGTAATGCTTGGCTTAATAGTTTGCAAGAGGTAATATTCGAATATGCACTAATAGTTTAGGGGTAACTGAAAGTACGAGACTATATTCAAAGATATATTTATATACATCATTTTATTAGAATTGCACGTTTCTCATGAGAGTTCCTTGGTCAGTTTCCATAGTTCAATGTCAAGTGATTATTCTATGTTCTAGTCGTGACAATATATCTATGTATTGTTTCTAATCCATTAGGAATTTCTCAATTGCATCAAATTCATAATTAAATGATGATCAAATCATATCAAGATTGCTGAAATAAGTTATGCAATTTAATTACTTTGATACGTATTGAAGGAGGAGAAAAGCGAAAAAAATCGGATGATGAAGATCTGGACGATCGATTGGAAGATGAAGATTATGATTTGCTTGAGGAAAATTTGGGAGTTAAAGTCGAGAGACGGGTATGTTTTCATGAATCACCATTTTGAAAGGGGATTTTAGAACATTTTATCTTTCAGAAATTCAAACGTTTGCGACGTTTTGAAGATGAGGAAAGTGAAGGAGAAGAAGAGCAGGATCCTGACCAAGATCGAGAACAGATCGCTATGGATATTTTCTCAGAGGATGTAAGTTCCCATTGAGCATACTGTGAATTTCAATAGCTACATTGTTTTCTATAATTGTTTTTGCAACACCAAGGAAAGGGATGATTCCAGAAAGGTAATTATTCATAAAATGTACTCATTTTCACGGAAATTTCATTGTTGGGCAAATCCTATCTGCAATCTACTCTTGATTGAAATAAAATCATTCCATATGTATTTCACGCATAATATACAGGGTGATTCATGACTTATGTGCCATAACCTGAGTGTGGATAGAGGAACGAAATACGAGTTGATGTATACAGATGTAGGACAGTGCTTGTTAAAAATAAACTAAATATTTTAATCTAGAATCTAAATCATATTTTTAGATTTAAAAAAAAAACAGTTTCAGGCCTTCAGAGGTGGGAGCGGTGTTTTTAATGCAGCACTACAAGGTGCATCCTCAAATAATTTAAATACTGTCTAGGTTGATTGAAAATGTTTATCTATTTCTCAAAATATTTGAGATTTTCTCTCTTTAACTATTCAGGCTGATTTTAAAATGAGTGCATATATTCAAGACATATATATGAGAGAGTCTAACAAAAATTACTAAAATATTTGATTTTTCCTAAGTCTTCACATTAACGAGAAATTTCATTTTGAAAATTGAACATAAAATACTTCGAAATTCGAGTACGCCACTGAGAAGCAAGTAAAATCTGCGGAATCCCAGGGAATCCCCAATTCGTCATTCACTAAAGTCAAAACAAGACAGTGATGCCAGATTGTTTCAGAGACGAATATCCTGATGAAAATTTGTCACAGAATGAATATGAATTGAAATAGGTTATGGAAACTAATAGAGGTGAATGTAATATGTACAGGAGCCTTATTTTTTAAAGTTTACTGAGAGAACTGGGGGGTGATTATCTCCATGGATCACGAGAGACGGAGAGAAACATGAGGGGAATGATAGAACGTCCCCCTTCCTTCAAAACGAAAATAAGGCCCCAGCGGGTAGATACAAAATTAGCAGACAATAAATAGGTACACAAGATACACAAAGTTGAAAATCGACTCACCTAGTAGATTTTCTCATACCTGCTCGAACAGCAAAACTCCCGAGAGCAAACAAATACTGATATCGAGTCCATTCCAGACTAATTATATCGTCCTGTGTTCTTGTTGGTTCATATTCGCACTTAAATCATCGAAAACGACTCGACGACGACATATCCTTCCTGGCAATCTCACATTGAAAATCACGACCATATCACGATTATCACGACACAAGACACTACATCCAATTATTTTATTTTTTATTTCACGTTTACAATTATTTTACAAACCAGCAACCACACAAACAAAACTATTATCATATGATCTGTCAACATCATTTCTCAGAACAGTAGTATCTGTGACCATAGATTTCCTCTTTGCTGTGATCTTTGACAGTACTAACTAGGATTGTTCGCGTTCAGAAAATAAACAATCCGAAACCGTCAGAAGCATGCACAAGTCCGCAGAACCCAAAAAAAAATCATACAGTTCTGTGAAACTGCGCATGCTTCTGACAGTTTCGGACGCAAGAATTCAGATGACCATGAATTACTAATAGGCGATTTCTACGGACCAATCAGAAACAGCAAAGTAGCGCCTGCGTGGTTGCGATTCATCCTGATTAGACACATTGGATTTGTGAGATTAGTGTATAGTGAGGAAGTATCATTTCATTGAATTAAACTTATAGATGTTTTTTCCAAATTAGTTTTTTATGAAAATGGTAGTTTCATTTAAAGATATGATCCTTCCTCACTAATACATTGATCTCAATCACCTGTGCCCAATCAGGATGAATCGCAACCACGCAGGCACTACTTTGCTGTTTCTGATTGGTCCGTAAAAGTCGCCTATTAGTAATTCATGGTCATCTGAATTCTTGCTGGTAGCACACCATAAGAACAATCAAAATAAAGATCCCTTCTTGACAATTTGTTGTTCTGAGAATGTATGTTATTTTGGAAAACGTCAAAACGTGATACTAGTGAATGTAAAGTTTTGTTTCTGACAATTTGCTTGGAATGTGACGATGCATTTCTCAAACATTGAGCTGAATGATATGGTTCTTATGTCGGGTCGTTATTGTGCGGGGCCCATGAGACTCCTCGAAGACCACGAAATTGTAGCGATGCAAGGAGGTGGAAGGAAGGGTCTAAAGGGTTTTTCAGTAAAATAACTTCCAACCGTGAGGTGTTAAGTTATACGCTATTCGAGCTTATGTGTAGAAATCTTGGGTGAGTCCATTCTGAAGTTTTTGTATTATCTTTCTGAAATTCAAGACCAGGGTTAACTTCTTCCCTATGTACATTTTCTCGATTATACATTTTATTTAATATCTCCTAATTTTCATGTAGAGTGGCAACGTCGCTTCGTTCATCACGGTCGACTGCGGATCGCAAACGATAGTTGTGACAGAAGTAGAAATCTGGGCGGAAAAAGGGTATTTTGCCCCAAATCTATTTTGATCCTAATAATATTTTTAATAGTGCTATTCGGTAGTATACCTCAAGCTTTCTTAGTGTTTAAAATATATGCACTTATTTTAAAATCAGCCTGTATAAATGAAATATCATCGTTATTTCAATATTATTTGTGGTAAGGACAAATCAGATGGTTCACTTCAAAATATCACAGCATTAACAATTTCACTATCAGAAATCCAATCGACACCATGCTTGAAAAAAATTCACAAAAGTGGAATATAGGTATATTGAATAATTTATAAAATATCACTGTTCTCGTTTTCAACATAGAAATACTTCCATTACTTCTCAGTGATAGAAGTTGACAGAAAAATATGTGAGTAGCATGATGATTTTTAATTGATCTTGAATTATCTATTTTCATACTGAGATTTTTGGAGTGAATACGATGTTCTATCTACATCAAGTAAATAGAAGGTGATCTCCATTCTACTTCACTTCCTACGATTTTCAATATCATTTCTCTCTGCTATATGTTGTCCATTTTCATTAAGGGTAATTAAGTACATTTGTTGTTTCATTAAGGATATGTTCAACTCATTTCGATAATTTGTTGTGAACATACTTTTTCCACAGCTATTTGTTTTAATCAAGTAAGCCTAATTTCATTCTAGTGGAAAATACTTTGAGTCATTATTTTGAACTGACATATTTATGACATGATAATCATGATCTCCAGGTGTTTCATGTTTATCAATGTTATTCATGAAGAAAAGTTACGACTTGAAAATCCAAAGTAGTGTTATGAAGTTTTGATTTAATTTTTGTTATGTTCTGGTTCCCACGAAAAGGGATTGCAATAATGTTCAGAGAACATCGTGAGAACCAAGGCAAATAACGTAGGAATTGGTGTTCTTCTTGAATTTCTGGAGGTTATATGCCTCGGGGAACACCTCCCTTGGCAATGTGTTCCAGAGCCTCGCTGTTCGTTGGATGAACGAGTCTTTGGAAAGAGATGTTATGCAGGTCTCCAAAGTGACCACAAAGGGGTGCGAAACCTCAACTCGACGGGTTAATCTCGCGGGGACTGCCAAGGGAGGTACAATTGTACCTGAAGATGCTAAACATAGTTAGCGAAACACGTGTCGAGGCGTTTAAAAAATCGGTTTGGTTAGTGGTAAAACAGTGTAGTGTACTAATGGTGCTATTTTGAAAAAGTGGAGCACAGGATGTTGTTACCTGCTATTAGCGCTTATTTCTCTCTGAACGCCCAAATTCCAGACGCCTGTGTACTGGGTCTGATCCAATTCCATACACAACCAAAATCAAGTATTGAAAAAAAAACACATTAACCCAAATTTTCAGCTATTCCGTGATCTATCTATTCATGAGGGCTCTTACTCAGCTCCCGCTGATTCAGAAAAAAAAAACAGATATAAATATAATGAAAACATCTTTTAAAATAGTTACATAATAGAGTCATAATAAACAATAAGGAAGAACCTGAAGTAGACATAATTAACGAACAAGAAACGAAACGAACAAGGAAGAACCTGAAGTAGACATAATTAACGAACAAGAAACGAAACGAACAAGGAAGAACCTGAAGTAGACATAATTAACGAACAAGAAACGAAACGAACCTCGCCATAAAATTTTGAATTCTGTCGTTCCTCCCTTCGGCTTTAAAGTCCAAATCCGAATTGATGGTGGCCTCAAAATGGAATTAGCCACAATATGGAATTGGTCCCAAAATTGAATTTTGGGAAAACTTCCGTGGAGCATTTTTGCGATCGTTATTATTGTTATTTGCGACGTCTGCCATGATGGCTGTCAGTCTTCAAATTCAGTATGTGTGTGGGTTTTTTTCGAGTTCGGAGAGCTGCATACCGCAAGCTGCTGCAAACCTTCCCAAACGGCTTCGTTAGAACTAAGCGCTGATAGTGTGTGAGCGAACTCACAACAGCCTCGCCATCTCGCAATGTTCAGGAACTAGAATACCAGAACAGCACCACCATCCAAAGCAAGCGTCTAACTACCAGCTACAGCATTTCGATCGATGGATCTCTGAATTTGTAAGGGTATGAAAGAGGTGGTGAGCTTTAGTCAGGGGGCCCTTAATTTAGCGCTATTCGGACAGAGACTACTGGTGCTTGTTTCGGATATCTCGGGCGCCAGATTTTTGATAAAAGTGATTTCCTTTACCTGAATGGAGTCCTGGGAAACAACAGTGAAGGCAGGTATAGGAAGTATACCTACCTCGGTACCTACACAGTACACCAGGGGTCAATGTTATTGGTTCAGACCTGGGTTAGGAGCCAAGAGAACCTAGGCTCTAATTACAAACAGTGGGCTTAGCCTGGAATACTGGTTGCTATATTTATTCTGGATATTTACAGGGGTCCAAATTACGGAAACATATTCAATTCATTTATTTGGATAGTTTGACTGAAAATGAATTTATTCAGTACTTTATGAAAGCACTGTATGTTTGTTTGGCCAGGGGTTAGCACCATCAGAACTATCTGGCTACCGAGGAAACATCTTCTAATAGTTACCCAAGTAACATGTATGAAATTCAGCTTCTATACTTTAATGTAAGTTGAGTTACAATGCATCAAGGTTTAAGGGTCTCTGTCAAGGTTTAAGGTGTCTGGCAAGGGGTAGCCACCATGGTAGGTGTCTGTCGATGTATGACGTGGTTTCTAATATTATCCGGAAGAAAATATGAAAAAAAAATATTCATTATAATTTGATGAAAGTAAGTTGGTATTTTTAACACCTTTGCAACCTATAACCTACCAAGGGCACCATGACCTAAACTTCCTATTTGCTCCTCGTTCTTACGTGTATTCGGGACATGCGCTGAGAAACTTTCAGCTTTTATAAAATAACGAAGGTCTGGCGTTCATGGGATCTTGTACTATGAGTCACTTGCATTCACCAATCCACGTATCCCTTCACTACTACTACTAAACTATTCATTGAAGGCGAAAAATGAACAGAGACTTTTTTTGCAGGAAATTTCATGTTCAATTTTGTATACTTGATATAGGTCGCTATTTTCGAATTATTCAAGAGCAACAACTAGAAAAAATGACCATTAAACGTTCCCCTACCGCATCGCTCATCCCATACGTTCTTCTAAATAGTACGTTGTTCATGGCACTTCCCTACACGATTTTTCCCCTATTCGACCTTTTTTGGCGTTCGTTGTTCATGGGACTTCCCTAGACGATTTTTCCCCTATTCGACCTTTTTTGGCGTTCGTTGATTGAACCTCAGATTGAATAGCACCTTGATTCATTCATGAATCATTGAAAAGTATACCCCAAAACACCCTACCGGTAGAGATAACTGCGGAATCATGCCAAAAAATTGATATTCTTTATAGATATATTTTTCATGTATCAAATAAATCAGGAGTTCTATAAATGTGTTTATTTCCCTTGATAAATCAACTCTCTCGTGTTGTAGCATAAAAATACGTCATATTTTCAATATTTCGAACAGGCTTTTTATTAACAACAGCAAGCCCTCAAACAAGATCGACACTGGACCAATTTTTTACGTACCTACCTGTGAAACATTATGTTAGGAACTTCTCTACATATTTGACACCGCCGAACCATATTTATTTACAAAATAGTCTGCTTTAGATTTATAATAATACATGAGTTACTGAAACATCGAAAAGTGATCACACAACAGCCGGAAAACCATCAATAACAACAAAACCGACGAATGGCAATCTCACTACTATTATCGTTCGCCTACTACGAAACTTTGCGGTGCTGCCACATTCATATTTTAACATGTTGAAAAATACCCCTAGATACCAAACTTTATTCGAATATCACAATTATTTTGAAAGGACACCGCACGTTTTATATGGAAAATTGGCCTTCTGTCGAATTGGCTGAATTTTTTATATGTTATTGTCCAAGACATTCTGAACAAAACGTCTAAATACCAAACCGTTCTAATGGCTGGTTTTGGCGCTAGAGGCCGCTGAAGTCGCAATCTTGATTTCTTTTCTCCTGATAAACAGAGCTCTTTGAGTCATTATTATATTATTTTTTGATAGGATAAATCACTACTAGAAGTATTCATCAATATTGTTGCTACTAGTCAACAATTATACAATGTGTTCCAGCTATCATTGTTCAAGACAATAATGATATTCATTAATTTTATAGAAATCGAGAAATGTCCTATTTCAATACAAAATACGTTTATTCTAATTCCATGTTCACCCTTTGAATAAGGAGAAGATACACGAAGATATCAACCTGTTCCATTTAACAGCAGCTGAATGATATTCGAATCAAAAAAATATTTCAATATTCAATATTAATGTGATGATGTTTTTTCTAGAATTAATCTCCTGTTTGTCAAGGTTTGAGAAGGAATGTCATTTTACGTTTTCCCTCTTGAAACAGTTCGTATATATAGCATCAATAAATCAGCACAAGTCAGTAACAAATTTCACAAACTATTCAATATCTGCGATCCTGCCTCATCAACTTAGGATGATCAATTGATGATTTTTGAAAGAATAGTACGATTTTCTATATCGGCGTAATATCTGAAATAAATTGACATGCATTTGAAAAAATATACTAGGTATAATGAGAATTTTTTTGACGAAGTTACTAGGAATATTCATCTGAAGATGCAAATGAATACTGATATTACTGATAATATCTGCTACTGTTATAGAACCAGTTAATAACGTTGTTTATCTCCTTTTTATATACTAGGTGAACAATAAATAATAATAATAATTTTAATGATAATAATAATAAATGTTTTTATCTGAAAAACTGTTTCATAATTGAAATGCGACACGTGACAATATCCTTTTGACCAACAGCAACAATATTGAAGAAAACTTCTTATAGTGACTTATCCTATCAAAAAATAATATAATTATAGCTCAAATTAGAAAATTTATCAGGAGAAAAAAAAACAACATTGAGACTTCAGCGGCCTCTAGCGCCAAAACTAGTCATTAGAACAGTTTGGTGTTCGGATATTTTGTTCAGACTGTCTTGGACTATAACATATCAAAAATTCAGCCAATTCGACAGGAGGCCAATTTTCTGTATAAAACGTGCGGTGTCCTTCATTAACAAAACAAAAAAATAAGAATTAAACTTTGACACTCTGTATCTCAGAAACGAATAACTTTCTACTACACGTACTTGAGAAACAGCTGTATATTTTTAAAGATGTTAGATTTTTTCGAATGTTGCATAAAGAATAAATATTGAGAAATTAAATTGTCTGATTGATATTTTCAAAAATTCGGCCGTAAATGGGTTGACTAATTGATCTGAGGATTGAACCATCTCGTTATCCAGGACGACGAGCGCCGTTCGGAACGCAGCCACCACGCCTCCGCGGCAGCCGCCGACACCGAACTCCTAGGCGGCGAAGAAGAAGAAGAGGGCGAGTACTCTGACGCCGACGACTTCATCGTCGACGACGATGGTCGCCCCATCGCCGAGAAGAAGAAGCGCAAGCGGCCGATCTTCGCCGACGCGGCTCTCCAGGAGGCGCAGGAGATGTTCGGCGTGGACTTTGATTATGACGAGTTCAGTAAGTACGATCAGGAGGATTACGAGGAGGACGAGGAGGAGGAGGAAGAGGACGAGTACGAGGAGGACGAGGAGGGGGGCAGGAGGTGGGTAGAGTACATCAAAGAACTCATAATCATTAAGAACGCGCGATCCTGTGGTTTCAATCCAAATTTCTGAACAAAACATGGACATTGAAATATGGGTCAAATTGGACTAATCTCAGATGGTTGTTCAGAATCCCTCTGTAGATAAGGCATTAGAAGTCGAGTAGTCGCAGGATTCACTTGGAAGTATATTATTATTATGTTGTTGTTGACAATCGATGTCAGAATATTGATGACAAGTTGATAACTAAAGTCAAATAAAATATCAATTCAGTTTTCATTCTACTCGAGTCATTCATTCCATCACACCATCAAATACAGTCCATTCAACCCCAGAACAATGGTAATACAGGAGAGGAGAGAAACTACTGAGACGTAGGTCATGCATGTTCATCGGTTTGTTTACAAACAACGAAATGTTGCCAGTTTTATTAGCTGCCACTTGTGACTGCTTGTCATTGAATTTATATCCGAAAAGTCAAAAATAGTGTTATTAGATCTTCGTTGTAATATCAATATTATACTTGGTTAATGTGGTGAAGTGATATGTTCAAGACTGCATAACTCCTTATTGAACATGAGGGCGAAGTTAAAATAAATATTTCCGTACCTATAACAGTCAAACTTGGAATGGCTTTCGCTTTATTTACTATTTCATATGCCCGATGACAGTGACCAAAAATACGGGCCTTTGCAATATTCGAACTTCTAATAATATCACTCCATCAGTTCCTGATATTGATCATAAATTGAATTTGTGAAGTCCATTTTTATTTATTTATTTATTTCAGATATTGCATTACATCTTTATTCACTAATACATTTTATACAAATAATATATACAGGGTGACTCACATAAGAACCGACATAGAGCAGGGGCATGTAGGGGGTCCCAAAATATGGCAATTTAACGCAACTTACCTCTATACCAAGTTGCTTCCCTAAGGAGATATAGGCTTTGAAAGTGAAGTAATAAATTTTGGAAAAAATCAATATCTCCGTTATTCTTGAACTTAAAGCAACCAAATTTGGTACACTTTGTGGATGTATTTAGGGCGTTACTTGACAGTAACTAGAGTTCAATTGAAATTTGTAAAGGGGGTATACCGGGTGGCGCACCATTAATATTCAACATAATTTTGTTAACACTCGATGGATTTCAAAAATCTTTGCTCTGTTTTGTGGGCAATTCAATTCTAAAACTTTTCTTACTCTAGTAATTCTTCGAAAAACCTCATCATTTTCATCATAAACTCGAATAACTGAAAACGCGCGCTCTAGGTGTGTTATTTGAAATCATCGAAAATTCAAAAGTTGGCTATGAAAATAAACGTCAAACTTGACAATGAGGCAAGTGAGTTGTCCAATTAAGTAATTGTTGTTTGAGTGTCTTCAAAATGAACGGGAAGTTTTCTTTTAACGAGCAAGTTGACATGCTGTTAGTGTTATGCCTATAACTCCTTAGGGAAGCAACTTGGTATAGAGGTAAGTTGCATTAAATTGCCATATTTTGGGACCCCCTACATGCCCCTGCCCTATGTCGGTTGTTATGTGAATCACCATGTATATATAAAGGATAATTCATTTTCTGGTAGGAATGACATGAATGATCAGACACTAATTCCTGGATGATATTAAAATGTTTCATCAATAATTATCTGTTATACTTCAATTACTGATGTGATTTTATCTTTGAATAGAAGAGAACCAAAGAAGACAGCTAGAAAAAAACCAACGAAAAAGTCTATCTTTGAAGTATATGAACCAAGTGAACTTAAGAGGGGTTTCTTTACTGACCTTGATAATGAGATTCGTAATACTGACATCCCTGAAAGAATGCAACTTCGTGATGTTCCCATTACTGCTGTTCCTGATGATTCCACTGAGTTGGATGATGAAGCAGAATGGATTTACAAGCAGGTATACTCTTATATTTCAAAATCAAATAAACTATGTGGTTATTTCTTCATATTCCAATGTGTTTTCACATGTTCTTGGATATAATGATTGTCATGTGATATTTTAATTATTTTCCCAACAGGCATTCTGTAAATCCTCTGTTTCCAATACGGAGGCACACCTTACTGCTGAAACAAGAGACAAGATGAAAAAGGGACCTCAAACTATTGGTAAAATTAGAAAGGCACTTGATTTCATGAGAAATCAACAACTAGAAGTGCCATTTATAGCATTCTATAGGAAAGAATATGTACAGCCAGAGTTGAATATAAATGATTTATGGAAAGTCTACAAGTTTGATGCAAAAGTAAGTTATAATAAGGTTGTTTATTCTAATTATATTGTGTGCTCTGCTTAAATTCTGTCCACATCTCTATGTGCGATTCATAATAAGCGATACGCCCTCTTGCGGATATTCAAGTTAACTGATGGAAAGTACATTGAATGTTTGTTTACATCCAAGTTTCCATGCATTTTATTGAAAGTTTAGTGAATTTTTCAGTAGAGTATCTTGAATCATTATTGCTCGGTTTCACATGTTATTCATGAAAGTTTTCTCACTGCATTTCACAGAAAATGACGATTGCAATCGTGTGTAACTGAAAGATTTTCTCCCAACTTCGAGATGGAATCCAGTTGCATTTTATTCCCAGAAGTGAAAAATTACAGTAGGAATTTGAAAACATGAAATCCCAACTTGAAATCAAAGCATATACACTCAGTTCCAAAAAAAGTGACGCACTTTATATTTGACCTATCTTCTTAAAAAAAAAATATTAGGCCGATTTTATTTTATTTTATTTGTTGGTAGGTAATGCATTTGTCTTAAAAAAAAATAAAGAGGTGAAAATTTTTTCAAAGCCTCCTTGATGGTGGTGGAATAACTCGAACTATGATTTATTCTTAATTTTTGACTCACCCTGTGTGTTAATTGAGTAATGGCATAGAAAGTGCTTACACCCTATACGAAAGAGGCTTCTTTTGGGAGCATTTTGTTTTTTATTAATTGATTTATCTCTAAAATTTTCCGAATTACAGCTTTTTTTGCTGAATCCTTGCAGATTACCAACTTCCTGAATTTATGGAGAAACAATTTTCTAATGAAATAAACTGATACCAATAATTATAAAAAACATTTTTATTAAACACAAAATTATGAATTGGGATGACTGCCTAATACCGTGTATTGCCTCCTCTAGCAACTCTAAGAACTTCTAATCTACGAGGCATACTGGAAATTAAGTTACTTATCGTTTCCATTGGTATACGATCCCATTCTTCCACTAATGCATCTGCCATTTCTGCGAGACTTTCCGGACATACTGCTCTAAAATGTCAATGTAAATTTGGGCATTCATCGACTGCCTCACCGGAAAAACATGAAGGGGTGTCTTTCCATTCATTTAAATCCCTCCCCACACCATAGCGGACCTACCATTAAAACTTGACCTTGACTCATCCGTAAACAAGACATTCGACCATTCAGGAATATTCCACTGTCCATAATTTTCAACAAAATTTCTTCTAGCTGCACGATGTTCGGGCAATAATTTGGGACCTTTTGCAGGTCTTCTAGCTTTTAAATTAACTTCTTTTAGACGTCTACATACCTTCTGCTTACTGCAACATCACGAATTTGGCGAAGATCTTGCTGAACATTTACCGCAGTATTTGATCGATTCCGTAAAATCCGCAATCTCAAGAAGCGATCATCTCTTGGAGAAGTTTTTCGAGAGCGACCAGAACCGACCATCCGAGCGGTGCTTCCTGTTTGTTCGTACTTGCGGATTGCTCTACGAGCAGTTGCTTCATAAACTCCCACTGCACTACGCTCATCGTTTACTAACGCAACTAATCTTGCTACTCGTTCATGATCTATTTGAGGCATTTTATGTAATTAGTCAATAAAACAAGACACTTAATTAATGACAACGACAAATTGTCAAATATGGAGGCATACAACAAATTAGTTGCTATGGCAACGGCATTTGTTTATTTAAAGACAATGTGATCTTTTCAGAGTGCAACCCAATCAATTGTGAGTACTCTGATCCTTCAATAAATTTAATTTGTGGGATAAGCGTAAGGTATCAGCAAAAAAAGCTGTAATTCGGAAAATTTTAAAGATAAATCAATGAATAAAAAAACAAAATGCTCGCAAAAGAAGCCTCTTTCGTATAGGGTGTAAGCACTTTGTATACCATCACCCAATTAATACACAGGGTGAGTCAAAAATTAAGAATAAATCATGGTTCGAGTTATTCCACCACCATCAAGAAGGCTTTGAAAAAATTGTCACCTCTTTATTTTTTTTTTAAGGCAAATGCATTACTTACCAACAAATAAAAAAAAAAAGAAACATCGGCCTACTATTTTTTTTTTAAGAAGATAGGTCAAATATCAAGTGCGTCACTTTTTTTTGGAACTGCCTGTATGTTCAATTTTTCTACTACTAGGTAGATCAATTATTCTCCAAATACATCCAACTTTGAGGACTTTTCCTCTTTCATTAACACATGTAAGTAGATGAATCAACTACAATACATACATCTCAAATACCTACTCTGTGAACTTCATCATCATGTTTACTCCACTTAAATTGCAATATTCATTTTAATACTGAATGGAAACGAAATGCAAACTAACGTAACCTCAAATTGGGGCATTTTTATTTCGCGAATCTCATGTATTTGAAGTAGTGAAACTTACTTTATTGGTGAAGCTCCCTCGAATCACAAGCGTACACAAATAAAAAGTCATAAGTGAAGTTCACTTTGCTTAAATCACTACAAATTGGAAATAATACACACAAGTGAATGAACCATTTCAAAACAATGTACTTTTATATAGTTCCATAACTGGCCACTCTGGCGCTGCGATCTTAGATTCAGTCGCCTATCGGTTATTAATTCAGATAGACTGCTAGGTAAACTCAGGAATCACGGAATTTTGGGTGAAGATGAGATTTTACGGGACAAGCTTATCGAAAATTGCATTTTTTCTGTATTGAATGAAGCAATTTGTTATCAAATTTATTACTATTTATTACTCTAAGGTGACCTGCTGGTTACAATTACTATTATTTAACAGATGCTTTTCTTTCGGCGTCTCTTGTACGACTGTTGAGTGTTGTGTGCCCTACGGCAGACTACCAGTGGCGTAACATTTTTAACTGAACAATTTCCTAATGTGATATTCAGAATGATGAAATTGATGATACCATGAATTATATTAGAAAGAGTCGCTTTGCCAGTCAACAATAGATAATCCCAAGAAGTTTTAAGATATTGGTGGAATCATTGAAAACAATAAGCCTCTAGTGGATTGCAGATTTATGTATTTTTTCAAAATATTGTTCCCAAATTGGTGTATCACAATTTGACTTGATAATGATGAGTCTTTGCGGATCTGTACTATAAAAAAAAAATTACCAAGTGTCAAAATTGTCGAGTTGAGAATCAGTTTCTAATGATTTAAAAATAATTATTTTTGTGTCTTCATTCTCCCTAATCAGATGAAACATGGCGTATCTACAGCTATTCTAATCATTGAATGAGTGTAAAAGCGTCACTCATAGAATGAAATATTCAAGTTTCTGAATAATGAATCACAATACATCCGATTTTTAGTGGTGCCAACTCAAAACGCGCAAAGAGAACCTAGTCCAACTATTTGAAAAAATGAGGTCCTATCAGCTAGATGTACTGATGAAAGATCCTGATGCCCCCATACCTGACAATATTCGAGTAATGACTGACTTGGATATAGAAAGATTAAGAAACGTCCAAACTGCTGAAGAGCTCAATGATGTCCACAACCACTTTATATTGTATTATGCTTCTGATTTGCCAGCAATGCATGCTGCTTGGAGGACCAAAGAAAAGGAGAGAAGAAAGCATGAGAAGAGGCAAGCTAGGTGAGTCGATCTTACTCACAAATAGATGATGTGTTGTAGAAGTTGCCTTCTTAATTCAAAATACACATTAAAATCGAAAACGTGCCCACTTGATTCAACCTTTTAAATGTCCCAATTAATTCCTAAAGAAATGTTCAAAGATTCCAGACATTTTAATAGATGGAAAGAGAATGTCAAGAACCCTATTTGCATAGAAGGAAAGATTTACGAGGAAATATTTGCAAGGAAATAAACTTGAAATATCCATTATTCCAAATTTTTTGGGATTTTCTCTCCTCGTTTCTATAAAATAAAAATATGAATATTATTTCAATATATGTGTCAGATGATTTGCCCCAAAATGTCACTGCGTTTAAAGAATTTTCCTATCAGAGAGCCTAAAAGAAAAATTCACTAGCTTGTCAGTGACAATTTGTATTGAAAAAATTTTTGGAGAAGGGAAATAAAGGTATATAGAAAAAATATCAAATTTTCACTTATCTTTGGACGTTTCGGGACCGGTTCTGCTCCCGTTTTCAACATAAGAAGAGATTATTTCGATAGCGAAGTCGTATAATGTCTTGAAGCTTTTCAGTTTTCAATGACAATTGGTGACGTTGGCAATCAAATGAGTTACAGGATGTTTTCATAATTGATCTTGAATTTACCATTTTCATGTTCAGATTTTAGTAGTGAATACCATGTTCTGTCTATATCAACTGAACAAGAAGCAATGTTATTGTCTCCGTTCAGAAGAATGCAAGCAGATTCCTTGATTTTTCTCTTCTGGTTGTTATCTTCTTTTCCAATAATTTTAATATTATTCCACTCTGCCATATGTTGTCCGTCTTCAGTAAGGATATGTTCAGCTAGTTTCGATTTATCGATGTTTCTTTTCTTTATATTGTACTTATGTTCCTTCGTCCTTACTGAAAGAGGTCTCTTGGTTTCACCTGTATAAAACTTTCCACAAACACAAGGTATACTGTAAATACAATTTTTTGATGATTGTTCTTCATTTTTCGGCTTTGTTTGAGTTAGAATTGATCTCATTGTATTTTCAGTTTTGAACACAGTTTTCACTTGAAAGGACCCCGCACTTTTAGTACGTAAAATGGTTCTCGGTGAAATTTTCTGAAATTTCAGTATGTTGTAGAATTCGATGAACTGATTGAACCTGCAGAATCGTAAAGTTCTTTGATGAACAGATTCTGAGATACAGGGCGTTGAAGTTACAAATCGGTATTTTTCATTTAATTATTTTCTCGAAATTCAAAGATGCCAAGTACAATTTTCTTCGCTCATATCATTAACGAACCTCCATATGATGTAATTGTTTACAGAGTGAAACATATAAACATTTCAGTGATGTCGGAAAATTCGATGTAATAATGAAATATCGAAAAAATCATTTAGGCATGCAATAAACTATTCTCATTCCATCATGAATCACAATTCATACATCTCATACAGGGTGATTTGAAAAATTGGTGACACCTAAGACCGACTTATTCATACACATCCTGTATATTCGAGTGAATTGTTAACCTCCCAAGATAGCTGATACCGTATGAACATGATTTCGTTGAGATATATAGGGTGATCATGAAGATTTTCGATGATGAAAATGACAAAAAATCGTGTTTTATTGAAATCACCCTGTCATTCATAATTAGCTCGGTGAAATTCCCTAATTATTTTTTAATATATTCATCATTCGCTCCTCAACGCTGTCTTCAAAATTCAGTTTCCTATCATGACGGGTGTCATAGTTATTAATTCAGGAACTTACCATTTGCATGAAGAGTTGAAGAGACTTGTTCTCTTACATTCGCATAGTGGCCGATATTTTTCACAAATAGTGAAACGTGAGAATGTGGAGACGAAAATAAGTTTAGTATTCATATACAGGGTGAACATTAGAAATTCAATAACAATAGCAGATATATGAATTTAATAATATTAATATAATGTACAGATAGTTAGGCGAATTTCGTTGGTATACAAGCTCTGCCAAAATGAAAAACGAACAATACCTAGGAGATGGGATAATGATTCGGTCTTTCACGCTTCCATTTCTAATAGCACAGTTGAGAGAATAATGTAATATTCTCTCGACTGTGCTAATAGGGAGAGTTGAATCCTGTAATCGACAGATTTTTTCACATTTGTTTTGCACTCAGAATCAGGCGCTGCTGCGGGGGAGGTGGATTCGGTTAAGGCTGTTCCTAGTCACCTTTTGTGATTATAGTGATGTCCCGTACCGGGGCCTCATACACGATAGGGCGAGTCCAACAACTATCCCAGCAGCCAGAATTGAATCTGGAACATGTATGGGTTGTATGTTGTAACTCATGTGCCGTATATGCAGTTAGCTCCGGAATGCTGGATTGCATTGATGGATGGGCCTTCATAGATCATTTATGTTACACTTGATCTCCACATTCTCACGTTTCACTATTTGTGAAAAATCTCGGCCACTTGACGAATGTAAATGAACAAGTTTCTTCAAGTCTTCATAAATTCATGAACAATAAATTCCACAAAGGGAATATTCTAAGTTACAACACCCAATCTGAAATCAACAATCAGTAGCCGCATGACAAGTTCAGTATTTTTTTGTCATTATGTCCCATACAACACCTTTTCATATTTATCGCTGCTATTTCGGAAACATCCAGAATAATGGAATTATTGTTATTACACCATCATACGTATTGAATTATATCATTGGAATGTGATATGATGATATGAATATGAATCTAATGATATTATAATTACTGATAGCAAGCAAATATGAAAATGATGGAAACGCCTGATTCTGAGTGGAAAACAAATGTGAAAAAATCTGTCGATTCCAGGATTCAACTCTCCCTATTAGAAATGGAAGCGTGAAAGACCGAATCATTCTTCCATCTCCTAGGTATTGTTCGTTTTTCATTTTAGCAGAGCTTGTATACCAACGAAATTCGCCTAACTATCTGTACATTATATTAATATTATTAAATTCATATATTTGCTATTGTTATTGAATTTCTAATGTTCACCCTGTATATGAATACTAAACTTATTTTCGTCTCCACATTCTCACGTTTCACTATTTGTGAAAAATATCGGCCACTATGCGAATGTAAGAGAACAAGTCTCTTCAACTCTTCATGCAAATGGTAAGTTCCTGAATTAATAACTATGACACCCGTCATGATAGGAAACTGAATTTTGAAGACAGCGTTGAGGAGCGAATGATGAATATATTAAAAAATAATTAGGGAATTTCACCGAGCTAATCATGAATGACAGGGTGATTTCAAAAAACACGATTTTTTGTCATTTTCATCATCGAAAATCTTCATGATCACCCTATATATCTCAACGAAATCATGTTCATACGGTATCAGCTATCTTGGGAGGTTAACAATTCACTCGAATATACAGGATGTGTATGAATAAGTCGGTCTTAGGTGTCACCAATTTTTCAAATCACCCTGTATGAGATGTATGAATCGTGATTCATGATGGAATGAGAATAGTTTATTGCATGCCTAAATTATTTTTTCGATATTTCATTATTACATCATATTTTCCGACATCACTGAAATGTTTATATGTTTCACTCTGTAAACAATTACATCATCGGAACCATCTGAATCATGTTGAGTAATATGGAGGTTCGTTAATGATATGAGCGAAGAAAATTGTACTTGGCATCTTTGAATTTCGAGAAAATAATTAAATGAAAAATACCGATTTGTAACTTCAACGCCCTGTATCTCAGAATCTGTTCATCAAAGAACTTTACGATTCTGCAGGTTCAATCAGTTCATCGAATTCTACAACATACTGAAATTTCAGAAAATTTCACCGAGAACCATTTTACGTACTAAAAGTGCGGGGTCCTATCACCAACACGTTTTATTTTTTCAGATATGCCGGGAATGTATGGTATTATATTTGTCGTTATTGATGGTTGATTTTGTTGTGGTTGACCCTGTTTGTTTTCAATTCGATGAATCGTCCTATCGACAAAATTCTTTGGATAAGAATTGAGTTGGAGAACATTTTTAATGTGGTGGACTTCGTTATTGAAAATTTGTTGGTCAGATGATATTGATTTGGCTCTATCATGGAGTGATTTGATTATTCCTTTCTTAATACTTTTCTGATGATTTGATTGAAAGTTCAAGTATCTGTTAGTATGGGTCTTTTTACGATAAACACTCGTTACAAAGATGTTATTTGATTTTTCAATAAGAACATCTAGAAACGGTAATTGATTATTAGATTCAATTTCCAAAGTGAACTTTATTGTAGGTTCGGCATTGTTCACATAATCCAGAAAATTATCTAGCTCCATAATATTGTGAGGCCAAATTATGAAAATATCATCTACGTATCGCCACCATGTTTTAGGTTGTTTTTGGTAATTTTTGATGATGTTGTCTTCAAAATTCTCCATAAATATATTGCTTAAAATTGGAGATAATGGTGATCCCATGGCCATTCCAAAGTTTTGTTGATAAAACTCATCACCCAATTGAAAATATGTTGTTTTTAGACACAATTCCAAAAATTCCATTATTCCTTCGATACTTAAATTAGTTCTTTCAGTGAGACTTTCATCGTCTTCTAATTTATGTTTCACTATTTGTAAAGTTTTATCTTTTGGAACATTTGTGAATAAACTCACTACATCAAAACTAACAAGAGTATCATTTGTATCAAGAGTGATGTCATTAAGTTTTTCTAAGAAATGAGGAGTATTTCTGATGTAACTCTCACTTTTTCCTGAAATAGGATTGATGATATTCAAGAGAAATCTTGCTAAATTTTGACATGGAGATCCAATTGAACTCACGATTGGTCTCAATGGAACATTTGGTTTGTGTATTTTTGGAAGTCCGTAAAAATGAGGAGGTTTGCTGTGATATGTGGAGATATTCTTTCTTTCCGCGAGTGTCAATTGATTTTCGTGTTTCTTAATAGTGTTACGTATCTTTCTTTCGATATTTGCTGTAGGATCTTTATTCAATTTCGTGTAATTACCATCATTTATAAGTTGTTCAATTTTAGAATATCTCCACATATCACAGCAAACCTCCTCATTTTTACGGACTTCCAAAAATACACAAACCAAATGTTCCATTGAGACCAATCGTGAGTTCAATTGGATCTCCATGTCAAAATTTAGCAAGATTTCTCTTGAATATCATCAATCCTATTTCAGGAAAAAGTGAGAGTTACATCAGAAATACTCCTCATTTCTTAGAAAAACTTAATGACATCACTCTTGATACAAATGATACTCTTGTTAGTTTTGATGTAGTAAGTTTATTCACAAATGTTCCAATAGATAAAACTTTACAAATAGTGAAACATAAATTAGAAGACGATGAAAGTCTCACTGAAAGAACTAATTTAAGTATCGAAGGAATAATGGAATTTTTGGAATTGTGTCTAAAAACAACATATTTTCAATTGGGTGATGAGTTTTATCAACAAAACTTTGGAATGGCCATGGGATCACCATTATCTCCAATTTTAAGCAATATATTTATGGAGAATTTTGAAGACAACATCATCAAAAATTACCAAAAACAACCTAAAACATGGTGGCGATACGTAGATGATATTTTCATAATTTGGCCTCACAATATTATGGAGCTAGATAATTTTCTGGATTATGTGAACAATGCCGAACCTACAATAAAGTTCACTTTGGAAATTGAATCTAATAATCAATTACCGTTTCTAGATGTTCTTATTGAAAAATCAAATAACATCTTTGTAACGAGTGTTTATCGTAAAAAGACCCATACTAACAGATACTTGAACTTTCAATCAAATCATCAGAAAAGTATTAAGAAAGGAATAATCAAATCACTCCATGATAGAGCCAAATCAATATCATCTGACCAACAAATTTTCAATAACGAAGTCCACCACATTAAAAATGTTCTCCAACTCAATTCTTATCCAAAGAATTTTGTCGATAGGACGATTCATCGAATTGAAAACAAACAGGGTCAACCACAACAAAATCAACCATCAATAACGACAAATATAATACCATACATTCCCGGCATATCTGAAAAAATAAAACGTGTTGGTGATAAATTTCAAGTGAAAACTGTGTTCAAAACTGAAAATACAATGAGATCAATTCTAACTCAAACAAAGCCGAAAAATGAAGAACAATCATCAAAAAATTGTATTTACAGTATACCTTGTGTTTGTGGAAAGTTTTATACAGGTGAAACCAAGAGACCTCTTTCAGTAAGGACGAAGGAACATAAGTACAATATAAAGAAAAGAAACATCGATAAATCGAAACTAGCTGAACATATCCTTACTGAAGACGGACAACATATGGCAGAGTGGAATAATATTAAAATTATTGGAAAAGAAGATAACAACCAGAAGAGAAAAATCAAGGAATCTGCTTGCATTCTTCTGAACGGAGACAATAACATTGCTTCTTGTTCAGTTGATATAGACAGAACATGGTATTCACTACTAAAATCTGAACATGAAAATGGTAAATTCAAGATCAATTAATGAAAACATCCTGTAACTCATTTGATTGCCAACGTCACCAATTGTCATTGAAAACTGAAAAGCTTCAAGACATTATACGACTTCGCTATCGAAATAATCTCTTCTTATGTTGAAAACGGGAGCAGAACCGGTCCCGAAACGTCCAAAGATAAGTGAAAATTTGATATTTTTTCTATATACCTTTATTTCCCTTCTCCAAAAATTTTTTCAATACAAATTGTCACTGACAAGCTAGTGAATTTTTCTTTTAGGCTCTCTGATAGGAAAATTCTTTAAACGCAGTGACATTTTGGGGCAAATCATCTGATTTGTCCTTACTACACGTATATTGAAATAATATTCATATTTTTATTTTATAGAAACGAGGAGAGAAAATCCCAAAAAATTTGGAATAATGAATATACCACCTCCTCGATTAACCTACAGACAGTATTTGAAATATCCAGCTTCTCATTTGGTATCACAAAGTTCTTGAGACACTCTAGTGAATCTATCCTCTCAAATACATAATGCATGATATTTTCGGAAATAAGAAGTAATTTCATCATCATTTTGATCAAATTTTTGTGTAACCAGGTTCAGCTAACCCCCAATTATCATTAACATAAAAAAACAAACATCAGTATGAAAAATTTCAATATTTCATTTTGATGTCATGCATCCATAGACTTAGATTGATAGCCGAAAGTGAAGAAGGTGCAGAGATTCCAGAAGAAGTAGAAGAAATAGAAGATGATGATCCAGAACCAGAAACTCTCAAGTATGCTAATAGGTCTGGAAGCTATTCTCTTTGTTCCAAAGCAGGCTTAGGTATGTTCATTTTCGTATTTGGCTTATTTATTGACAGCTTTTATTATGTGTAAAATTTTTATTTCATCAACATTGGTATCACTAGACTATTAGATAACAGTTGGGTAATGAGCTATCAATCTAGTTTCTGTTTCTACTCATTTGATACCACATTTATAGATGTCAGAATTGTACATGAGTATACAATGAATAATGATTAGTAATTTTCAAATTGGAATTTGATTATGCTAAAAAAATTATATTTTGTAACAGTCATCTGAATAAATAAGGCATATCTATTGTCTTTTCAGATCCACTGGCAAAGAAATTTGGGCTTACTCCAGAACATTTTGCAGAGAATTTAAGAGACAACTACCAGAGAAATGAGGTTGATCAGGAACATGTTGAACCTACTGAAGCAGCAAGAGAATTCATTTCGCCGTTAGTATCAGAATTACAGAACTCTTTTTCTGCTGTCGCAAATTTTGAAGCAACAGGCACCTTTTTGTTTCCAGGAAATTCCAAACAGTTGAAGAAGTTTTGCAAGCTGCAAAGTATATGGTTGCTTTACAGATAGCTCGTGAACCTTTAGTGCGAAAATGTGTCAGGGAGGTATTTTTTGAGAGAGCTAAAATGAATGTTTATCCCACCAAGAAGGGTCTTAAAGTCATTGACGAGACACATAACTGTTACAGGTACTCAATTTCTAGTTTATTCTTTGTGTATTCACCATTTTTGTCATTCAATGTTTTAGTATGAAATATGTGAAGAACAAGCCAGTGCGAGATTTGACTGGTGATCAATTTTTGAAATTATGTTTAGCTGAAGAAGAACTACTTTTAACTATAACAATTAATGAGACAATTGAAGGTAATACAACTGCTTCTTACATTGATGAAGTCAAACAACTTTATATTAAGGTAAGCCTATACATTTTATGATTGTGGGAACCTATTTTTGTCATTCTTCCAAATAATACTTACAAGTTGCCGCCCTTTACTAGGCTGCAAGGGTGTTGGTGCTATACCGGGTGACACAGGATATCGGACTACCATAACTTCTGAATTATTCTGAAATTACAATCCAATATGGCGGACTTCCGGGTTTTCTGGAAATGCCAGCAACTTGTATTTTTTTCAAATGGAATACCCTCATATTTTTACATGATCAAGTTCAACAGGTCGAAACAAGTTCAATCTTTTTTTTTTATTGAAAATGTGACTTCCAGTCAGAAACAAGTTCTCTAAACTTACATGAATAATATAATATTTGAATTCATTGAATATTAAAATTTTACAAATCATTTCATATTGGTGAACAAAAATCTATTTGAAAAAAAAAATTGAAAAAAACAACAATTTCGTTTAAAAATGATGAATTTTTCAAGTTTGTATTTGAATGTGATTGTATTTCTGCAATTTTTTATATTATCTGGTAATTTGTTATATTCTAACATAGCAGCCTGGGTGAATCTTTTTTGTCCTATAGAAGAATTAGCAATATCAAGATGAAATAAACCATGTTGTCTAGTTTGGTAATCCTGAATTTCATTGTTTTGTTTTGAAATAAAATTGGATTTCAATTTTTCATTTATGATATATTGTATGTTATCTTAAAATTTTCAATTTTGAACATTTCTTTTAATGAGAATGATTCTGTTGTTATTTTTACATAACTGATTTGTTGGTGTATCATATCAAAACGATAGTTAAGGAGCTATTATGAGACTAAGAAATAGAAATATATGGATGAAAAAACAACATATATACAAACGATCATGTCATTGTGTTCATTTATTGTTGAATCAATTCAATCACATCATATTTTGATCAAAAATTATTTTTTATTCTAATGGAACCCCTATGTGCCACCTACATGTTTGTCTAAAACATAAATTGAGGAAAAAAAATGACATCTTTGTATTTCGTTTTTTTTAATGTTCTGATTCTCACGGAAAGGGATATCCTGTAATGTTCAGAGAACATCGTGCAGTAACAAATTGTTTACATTAAAAAAACAACAACTATTTGACGAAACACTGGAAATCCAGGAAGCAGGCCATATTCAATACTTGGGAATTGTTATTGACAAACACCTAAAATGGGATATTCAAATAAGTCGTATAATTAGCAAAATACGGATGCTTCGACCGAAATTTAAAGACCTCCAACAGTTTTTTGTAAAACGTTATCTTTCAGTTTTATATGATGCTCTTATCCAGTCTCAACTCTCATAGGGGATAATTTCCTGGGGTAGTGTAAGGAGAAATTTAGAAACGATTAAAAAATGGAGTTCAAAAATTATCCACAACAAATATGTTTCTTACCCAAGTGATCTATTATATGAAGTATCACAAAAACTAGACAAAAGAAAATTATATGCACAAACCATATTAATCAATATAAAGAAAAACAAATACATAATAACATATCGGAATCATAAACACAACACTAGAACTCAAAATGAAGTATCACAAATATATATTGTGGAAAAGTCGATTGGAGAAAGGAAGTTGATTATTTAGATATATTTCCACAAGCCATACAAATAATTCATCAATTTCCTATTTTCAAAATACAATCAAAACTATGGCTTTTGAGAACATATTTCTATTTGTGAGTCTCATAATAGCTCCTCCACATATTTTACTTTTATTATTTTATAATCATGAATAGGTAGGTTATATAAATTTTAATGTTTTCTGTTTGTTCATAATTGAACATTTGGCTAGTATATAATTATGAATACTTAACAAATTCACAAGCAAGAACTCACAGTTCTTATTGAATTTGAATACATATAAATAGCTGATTGAAATTGGAATTAAAAAAATTTATATACAATATTATGGCCTCACCAGTTAATTCAAAGTGATTTTCTTGCTGTACCAATATTATATTTGAATTTGAATAAACTAATATTATTATTATTATTCTAAGTTCATTAATTTCCTTACAGTTCGAATAAATTTTCAACTAAGTAAGCTGTGGAAACAACATTTCTGAATCTTGTCAACCAACTGTGAAAAAAATATGTTTCTCTGTTATAAGGGACTCGTTGCGAATAGCTTTATTTTGTATTATCCACGAGGTAAAATGAAAAAACAATTTTAATTTAAATTTTTTCGAAAAAAATACATGTTAAATACAGAAAGATTGCACTTGTTTTGACCAGTTGAACTTGAATGTGTAAAACTATACAGGTTGTTCCATTTGAAAAAACAAAATAGCTGGCATTGCCATATTGGATTCTAATTTGATCAAATCTAAAATGGTTGCTTATATTACTTTACCAAATTTTACGAATGTTACAGGGGTGGTCCGATACCCTGTGTCACCTGGTATACTGGTAGTGATGTTAAATATATTACCAAATATTATCAATCTTCCAGCGACATAAGTGAGAAATAAAAATATCTACCTCAGTATTGTTACCTACTAGAGAATCAATCTATTGTTGAAGCATAATTCATCAAAACCTTATGAATGGTTCTAGAGAAAGCCTATATCACAACATCGGGCCAATTCTTAGTTGTCGTTTTTTTTTTCAGAATGGTTATCAAACTAGGATAAAAACATTTTGTAAATTTTTCAATTTTGAAGAATTCCAAAATTAACCCATTAACGCCGAGAATATAAAAAGTCATCCAATTCAAAAAAAATTATTACAGATATGATAGTAAGCATTGATTCCACAACAATTCAACAAAATAATATTAAATGATAAGTTTTTTTATGAAAAAAATGATGTACCCATATGGGTCCACTAGGCGTATCCCAAGAATAGAATTGGAAAGAACTATCTAATTATCTCCCTTTGTGTGAAACGACTTGAAACATGCCTCGCAAAGCCCCAAATTGCATTTATCACACATTGTACGACCTGTTGAATCACATGTTGTCAAAGCACATCTTCTTCTCTTTCCTTCTGGGACTGGAACGATCCAGTGATTAGAACAGTCATATCTTATTGTATCAGAACTGCGAAAATCACTTCCAGCTGCTTTTGGCGTTTTCCCGCTCCTTTTGGCTGGTGTTTTATACATCGTCAAATAACTCTGAAAAATGTTCTCCCAATCGCTCCTCTTCGAAGGCAATTGGTTATATCCACTCAGAAGAAGAATTGAAATGGAAATTTTCAGTTCAGGAATTGACAAATTAGGGTCTGCTTCATTTTTGAACAAAGCATAGTTCCGAGTTTCAGAAATCAACTTGTTCAAAAATTCAGGTGTCAGGAATAATTCAAGCAGTTCAACACAAGACATACAGGGGTATTTTGTATAGTCACTGGCTGGAAAATCTTGTGTGAGACACTCTAAATCTCCCTCAACGAAGCTAACATTGTTCGGTAACGAAATAATCAACGGATTTTCTGTCACAGGTGAACTTTCAGTAGCCAATTCTTGTTCCATGACATTATCTGTAACATCGAAAGATTGCATTAGATCAGGCTGTAAGTCACCCAATCTCTCGGAATTCGCAAATACAATCTCAGCACCAGCGCATAGTTGTCTTGAGTTCAAATCATCTGCTAATCCACCATCGTCCTTGTCTCCTGAGTCTTCATCCGTTAATTGATGAGACTCTGGTGACTCAATGTAGATTTCCGCAACATCAGTTCCATCATAAGCTATATCTGAAGCTTCTTTCAGAGTGATTCCTCTGAAATGAGAAAAACTGACCATTTTGACTACACATACGCCTAGTGGGCCCATACGGGTACAGTGAAATTCAGGAGACTGTACAAGTCTAATAATTTCGAATATTCACATAATCTTGATGCCACGTCATTCTTTCGTATATATTGTATTCCACAATTGACATTTTGTTCCATTTATTCAAGAAAAGAGATACAGAAATACTCACTCTAACTTGAAATCCATGATATTTCCCAATTCACAGGGAGACACAATTATGAATATTAGTTATATTCGTCGATGAGCTCAAAAACACTGAACACCGGAAAGCACGTGTTGACGAAATGGTATGACTACCGATAGGCAACAAGCGTTAACCTTAAAAGCGAAGCACTTGCGTAGCTGCAGCTCTTGAATGAATCTCTGCAGGTGGGCCCATTTGGTGCCTATAGGCGTTAATGGGTTAAGTACTGATTGATTACTTTTCTCGACAGCAGTAAACAGTGATGAGTACCCTGTCAATCATAAACATATTTCACTAAAAATGTATTTTTTTTTAAATCGGCTTGACTTACTCTTCCACTATTTTTAAGTGACAAACTCGTGTGTCCACTGACAACAAATGCTTGTGAACTTGTTGTCAGGTGACCATATTTTCAAGGACTATTGATATCCTGTTGTAAGGCTGGATACAAAGATGTCAAATGTGAATGAAATCGGCGCCACTATCAAAATCATTGTATTTTTATTAGATGAAAAACTAGTGAATTTTTAATTATTGAAAACAAGAGCAAGACCGAATTCTTTGACCCTTCGTTTATAAAACTAATTAATTATAACTGACATTGACAAAAAACAATGGATTCGACAATTGACACTCAATTTGACAATTGTTGCTGTCAATAAATAGCATAATATGCCCTCCCCCTATCCAAATGAAATATGATTAACAAATTCATTCATTTTATATTGATTGAATTATGAAGAATATCTAGATTGAAGTTTGGATACAAATTACTTGAAAACAATTTCACGTGCCTTGTATTTTACTTAGTTCCTTCATAAACAACTTTTATTTGCCAATTAGTGTAATTTATTTGGGTTTTTAGTTGTTATATTCCCATGCAAATACATTTTTTCAGGACGAATTCAGTAAAAACGTCCAAGACTGGAACGCTTTGAGAATGGAATGTGTAGAACGTGCTCTTAGCAAGAGCGTTTTTCCTGATTTGAAGTCGGAATTGAAGAGGATACTACTAGCAGAAGCCAAAGAGTTTGTACTAAAGACATGTTGTAGGAAATTATATAACTGGATAAAAATTGCCCCCTATACAATAACGTTTCCCGAAGAAGATGAAGATGACTGGGACACTACAAAAGGGGTTAGATCTATGGGTCTTGCATATGTTCCTGATTATACAGTGTCAGCTTTTGCTTGTATATCTGCACCCGATGGTGAAATAACGGACTATTTGAGGTTACCTCACGTGCTTAAAAGGAAAAACAGTTTTAGAGAAGAAGAGAAAATGTTGAAGGTATATTATGATTATTTATATGTTCTCTTATGACTGTTGATGAAAAAGATTGATTGGATGAAATAATTCATGGAGTGAAACTTGAATTATATAATTATATAAAATAACATGTAGTAGTATGTTTTTTATTGAGGATGATTTTCAATTGAGTTTCTGTAAATAAATAGTGACGATTTTTGAGGATGCTAACACGTGTCGAGGCCTAAAAAACGGTTTGGTTAGTGGTGAAACAGTGCGTAGTAGTATATGTATTGATTTACACAAGTTTATGCGTAAAGGTTGAGTATTACCGTGTATATACCGGGTGTTCATTCGAAAACTTCCCATCCGCAATGTCACGAAAAATCGCCGATACAGGTAAAGAATAATGGGGAAGTTTCCTATATTGAGGTTCTCATCTCACTGTGAAGTTTGTAAAAAATTGATATATACATTGATATATACGTATTTTTTCTTCTTTTCGAAAGATCAAACTTCACTTCAGAAAAAAATTAATAAAAGAGGAACTTGGCTCCTCCACCATTCCTATGACGTACTTTCTGAAAAAACACATTCACAAGAGTCAAAATAAGATTTCCTGTGCCAGTACGACGTTGCCGACATCATCAATATGTCTAGATTTCAGGAAATTGTTCTTTGAATGCATAATACCTATATCATAACAGCAATGGGATATATTAAGTCCTTCAATCCTACTTTGTCAAGTATTATGAATAATTCCCATAAATCTCTCATTGGCTGAAAGAAGTTGATTACTAATAAAGATAAATTATGATATTTCATGATAGTATCTATAATTTTTCACTATTGTTATATTACAATATGTTACTCATAACTTTTCAGTCATTTTTTGCTAATGAATTCGTTCCTTAATAAAACGGTTCTATTTTCTAAGAAAGTTGCAGATTATATCTTGCAATAGCGCCTATTACTTCGAGTCCGTCCACACCACTCAAAATACTGACCGGCACAACCTGTTCTGACCAAAGACAGTAACTTAGGAAGGATAGTATCATTGAATGTAGCCGATAGTGATTCATTGATTCAATGATATTTTCGATTAGGATCGAGATCTATCCGAGATATTTCAATGCATAAATAACAAAACCATAACCTGTCAGAATGAAGCCAACTACCTTCTGCATTCCTGCTCCGAGTGCATTTGTGGTTATGTATATTTTTGTTTACCAGTTTTACTTCTTCTATTTTTGCATTCGTTTTTCATTCGTTAGCTATTCGCTAGCTTTTCGCTAGCTATATTCTTCACCATCAGCTATTTTGAGACCAGATTCAGAATGTACGTCACATTTTGCCGCCCCGAAAATTAGAAATTGCTTTAATTTGAAAATAATAACGACTTGGACTTCATCGGTCGTCATTCTCTACAGCGTGGACATAAAACTGGAGAGTTCCGAACTAATTTCATGACAATTCATCTGAAGGAAACTTCCCCATTGTGAGGAATGTTTTCACGCAAAAATCACATCGCTCATTTCATCCCCTTTGCCTCCACTATCACCCCATCAAAAATTTCGAATGGCATTGTATGTTGTGTGGCACCTCATTGGAAAGACTTTTCAATTCTCTGAACGCATGTTTCTTCATTTTTGAAATCGAACGATGAGTTCGCGAAATATCGAAGGAAACGTTAGTAAATATTGTCCCTAAAAAGTTGTTCAGAAAATAGTCGAAACACGTGAACAGGGACTGTTAGTTAATATAGTTCAACGTAAGAATTATGAGGCTCCTTGCATCTTGCACCCAATGCCCGCCCCCAAGTTTGTTTGGGTCGTGTCTGAACTGTTGCATTTTTTTTTAAATCAAGCGACTATAGTTTTGGAGAGATGGATAAAATTAGAAAAAACTATTCAATATGGATGTTTCAATAAAATACTAGAATATTGTATGTACACATGTCGGAGTCGTGAGAAATGGCCACAAAAATGCAACAGTTTAGACAAGAGCCTATAATACGTTACCAATGACCCACGACCCCAACAAACTTGGGGGTGGGCATTGGGTGCAAGGTTGATGCAACGAGCCGAATAATTTTCACGGTAAATTATCCACCTAACAGTCACCGATCACGTATGTCGACGATTTTATGAACAACTTTTCAGGTACGATATTTCCAAACTGATCGTTCGATTTCAAAAATTGAAACTCAGGCGTATAGATAATTGAAAAGTCTTTCCAATGAGGTGTCACACATCTTCAATGCCATTTGAATTCTTTTACGGAGTGGTAGGTAAAAGGGATGAAACGAACAAGGTGATTTTCACGTGAAAACATGTCCCCCTCACAATTACTTTTTACATATCTTGGCGATTTTCCGAGAACCCTAGTAACCGATATATTGCGGGTGAGAAGTGTTCAAATGAATACCCGGAATGTGATTTTTTTACTGCTACATCGATGTGGAAAAATGTTGTGATTTCCTTCATATTTTGTATTATTTACATTTTTGCACATGTTTTGCAGGAGGCAGATCTTCAGGCGGTGAAAAATTTTATATATACTAAAAAACCACATGTGATCGCCATCGGAGGCGAATCACGAGAAGCTCTCATGATTGCTGAAGATATTCGAGGTGTCATCAATGAATTGGTCGAGTCTGATCAATTTCCGCAAATCAAAGTTGAAATCATTGACAACGAATTATCCAAAGTTTATGCAAATTCAAACAAGGGGCAAACTGATTACCGTGATTATCCTGAACTTCTGAGGCAGGCTGTATCTCTAGCAAGGAAGATGCAGGATCCTCTTGTTGAATATTCACAACTGTGTAATGGTGATGAGGAAATTCTGAGTTTACGGTTTCATCCACTTCAGGTTAGTTGAACAAACTTGATGGCAGATAATCTGGAAAGCTTGATAATAGATGGCACTGATTAGGTTGGTATTTACATATCCTCTTTCAATCTATCATCTGTCAACTGCTCATTCATTCATAGTAACGATATTTGTTCACAAAATATCATCAATAATAGTTATTATTATGTCTTGATGTTGAATGGGGGAATTCACTCGAAGTTGCCAACCTAAAAACCTCTACCACTGTAGAAGCAATACTATGGAAGTTTGATTACTCAAATAGCTATATTTTGATGAAATCTGATTGGAGGAGTCTGCTCAGCTTCCCAATGGAAGTTATGCAGATGTAAAATTAGTTTTTGTGAACTTCACTTCTGACTGGTTGAAAATCATGTGGTGTATCTTCAGTACGTCAATACTGAAATGTCAATACTTCCAATAGTGTCAGTAGTGTAGTCAGTAGTCAATAATGATACATCAATGAGTTCGAATCACGTTCAAACTTCGAATAATGATCAAGAAACCCTCATGAGAAACGTGCAAACCTATAATAAACTGGATGTGAGGGTTCCAAAGTTATGTGGTCTAAGATTACTCTTGACTCGTCGTAATGGTAATCAACATAACATTGTTATTAGGTCTTTATATTTATTGTTCATTTATATTTCCTCAGTACCTACCCATAATATATCATGCTAATATATTGTGATATAGTGAATAGTCTTGTGATTTCAGCTAGCCTTCAAACTATCTGTGTCTAATCATTTGAATAAAGGCATATTATGTTGATATTGTTGTATGTGATATATATTTGTGATATGTATCTCTATTATTGGAAACCTTTGCCAGTTTTCATCCAAGGTGAGTCGTCTGAAGCATTAAAAGTATTTATTGAATGATTTATTTTCCATATTGTTATATTTTCACTAGGAAAATGCCTAATATTACCTAGGTATGTTAGTGTTTTTATTTATGATATCTACTGTGATTTCTTCGTTTCCAGACAGTTAAGGTTTTTTCCACTTAAAGACACTTCCTTGGGATATTTTTCATTTCAGGAAAAGGTTTATTCTTATGAAGTCATCTCTTAACACTCAAATTGAAATGATATTCCTTCTTCCTTCTGCAATGATCGAACTCCTTTACCAAATAATGATAAGTAATAGGGTTGTCCATGAATGAAATAATCTTAAATAAATAACAAAAATGTGACAAATGATAAAATTGACGACGATATGACATATTTCAGAATGAAAGCAGGTGCATCAACTTACTTTTCAACTAATCAGAACTGGAGTTCAAAAAAATTAATGTTTCTTCTGATTGACTTATATTGGAGAACTGAGTAGATTCCTACAAACAGATTTCATTACAAAAAAGAAAACGATTTGAGTAATAATACTTCCATAATGTTGCTTCTACATTGGTAGAGCTTATTAGGTTGTCAACTTGGAGCAAAGTCCCCCATTGTGAATACAGGAACGTTCTAACCGCATTATATTTATATAGTTATCATGCAATATCCCCCAACCACACTAACGCCGCCTTGAGGAAGTATTTTGGTAGACAGAGAATGATATCTTCATTCTAATGTCAGTTAAACGATCGGAATCAATATTAATTGATAGCTATTTTCTTTATTGAATATCTTCCAAGTCATTCAGTTCCTGCGGCTGATGTCAATAGGATAGAATTGTGATGTGACCAACGCAACATCAGCAAAATAACAATCTGGTAAGAATCTCTGGTAGAAGTCCATCTTTCTTGTTAGAATTTTGAAGTGGAAATTGTTGATCCTTACAAAATTTTGTCTCTTCTATCTTTTGGTAGACTGAAATGTTAGGTGAAGTGTTATTAGTACCAAGTGAAAGACAAAATTGAAGGAAAGAGGTACATATACAGTACACAAGTAAATTAATTTACCTAAGAAGCTGTCGTATGTTGTAAAAGGTGTTATGTTGTTAAAAGATTAAGCGATCTTTAATAATAATCAGTATGTCTGTTGATCATACTATCCATGTATCATAGGTTAAGGTTTGTTTTTTATATACATTATCTAGTCTGTTTATCCATCTGATTATAATATTTTATCATACTCAGAATGTATGGTAATTTTTTTTGGGAACTAACGACTGTGGTAAATTTGGCTAGATCCTTATGTTTAAGCATCACTATTATGTGTTAAACATTATGTACAAACCTCTTAGTGACATCCTGTATATACATTTGGCAAAGCAGACCCGCGAAAGGTTGAAAGCACTGTACCATGAGTAGATATCTATTAACACTATACTGGGAACTTATTTCTTTATTTTATGTCTGAAATTACAATTATCAGTAGCATGCGTTGAGAGGAATAAACATGACATTCAATGAGGGCTAAGATATTTTTATGGTCCACCAGATCACGCTACTGAGAAGTGAGGTCAGAGTTGGTAGAACTGGTAAGGTTTACCTGAACTTTCTATCATTTGGCATCTTCCTCTAGTATCTTCTTCTCTGTTGATGTGAAAATCGCGCGTAAAGTTGCACATTGAGAGTAAAAATGCAATCCTGCTCAGGTGTAATCATAACTTGAGGTATTTATTTCTTAACATAGGCCACACAAAAAATTTAGAACTATATTGAAATTAACTGGCTCAGGAATTTAGGAACATTCGACATGAACATCACCTCTAGTAACACCAATTGGTGAACTGAAGATCTTAGCCTCCATTGACACTAATATTAAACTTACCCCACGATATTTGAATCACAGTAGATACAAAAATATTGAAGGTGTATAATATCCGCACGAAAGTTCCGTGTTCGAACTTTTCCAGACTGTTGACTAACTTAACTTAATTTTTTAGGGTCAATTGTCCAAGGAAGAACTCCTAGAAGCCGTTTGTCTCGAATTCGTCAACCGAACTAACGAAGTTGGTGTCGACATTAACCTGGCCGTCCAGCAGGCGCATAAATCCAACCTTGTGCAATTCATCTGCGGCCTCGGACCACGTAAGGGCCAGGCTCTGCTCAAGGTGTTGAAGCAGACGAATCAGAGGCTGGAGAATAGAACTCAACTTGTGACGGCATGTCATATGGGTCCGAAAGTCTTCATCAACTGCTCCGGTTTCATTAAGATCGATACAAATAGTCTGGGAGACAGGTAAATATTGAAATATACACTTCATAGGAGGTGACCCGGGTCAGGGAGCTATTTTGAATCTCATAACAGTTGGGAAGTTTCCTTCAGATGAATTTTAATAAATTTGTTCATAACTTCTCAGGTATTATGTCCACACTGTATAGAAATGTAATGGATAAAGCCAGTCATTTTTATTTTCAAAATGAGGCAATTTTTTATTTTTTGTGCGGCAAACTGTGACGTACATTCTGAATCTAGTATGAATATAGCTGGTGATGAAGAATATAAGTAGCTGAGGAACATCTAATGAATGAAAAAATAAAAGAAGAAGAAAACTTGGCGTCGTTATTGATTCTATCATGGAAAATAACGATGAACCACTAACTAACAAAACAGCTATAAACTGTAGACATAGATTAACTAATAACTGGAGATCAAAAATTGACACAAGTATTACTGGTGAACAAAAACATACATAACCACGAAATCAGATCAGCTCTCGGTGTGCCTGTCAGTATTTTATGTGGTGTGGATGGGCTCACAATTTAAAATATCATTTCATCTTTCACTCTTTAATAATGTGTCTAACTTTCCAAAATCTTTTGTTTCCCTGTACTTCTTTTAATTAGTGCTGTCTTTTCTTTCTGACTGATGCTTAGGAGTATCGGGCAAAGGTTTGAGAATCCGGATTCAAGAATTACACTGCCAGTTCTCAACTGACTGATGTTTCACAAACAAATGATCAATACATGTAGAGCTATTTTTATCAATTCTGGTTGCTAGATAAATAACAGTGAAAAACTATTACATTTGAACAATCCATGTAATTTTCTACATTTGAATTACCTCTGTTCATTTATGTTAATACCCCCACCAAATATGTCAATTTTGTTGTGATTATTCATCCCTTCTAGGTATATATTTGAATTTTTTAAAAAGCTTTCAATTTCTACTGATGGAGAACATATAACTGATAGACCTATGTTCTCATTATTTTTATCTACATTCACATGATTAAAGTGGGAGTTTGTAATTTTGATAATCTGATAATCTATGAGAATACTATTTTTCACAAAAATTATACAGCTGTCACATTTGGTATTTCTACTTCCATTATAAATGGTAGTATATTGAGATATTTCAAAATTTTTCGAGTTTTCAATAATATTAGTCTCAGAACAGACAATTATATCAGTCTTTTTGTAATGATTCTAGAAACGTGATTAGGTTCTTGTAATTCTTATTGATACTTCTTATGTTTAGATGCTCAGATCATTAAGTGAATTATCAAGTTGCTCAGTCTCGATTTTATCACATGAAATCACCTCAAAATTGAGGTAGTCATCACAGTGAGAGTTAAGAGCCATTTCAGATATATTTTAACTATCAAGTTCCTAGTGAAGGATAGAAAATTGAGTGCTGTCTGTACCTGCGGATTCATCAGTTCTTCTATGTGTCCTTCACTTTTTAGACGGATGTGTGGTGCTCCATCATCCTTAGGAGCAAATACAATTCCATTTCTTTGCCAAATGAATTTTTATCCACTTTTTTCATTAAATGCCATATTTTAGTAGTTTATGAATACCTAAATATTTGGGTTGCTGATACCACAATAATTTTGTGTGAGGCCTTTTTCTTTTGCACAATTATTTGTTTAATTTTCTTTCTTTATTGAAGATATTATTTCCGTCATGAAATAGTTATCTAACCATTTCATAGCTTTTGAAGTTGTCTTCTCTATGGTTTCCAAATTCAATTCAATTCAATCTGCGCATATTCCACTCAATATTAGGTTATTTTTCTTCTTATCCCTCTCCATTTCATTAACAAACTTCGTTACTTTGAAAAGTTCTGCCTTCAAATATGCATTTTTTTCTTACATTCGTTAAGCATTTCTAAAATGACTTTATTTTTTTGTTTCCTCGTCAAACTTCGTTGACATGAAATCAACGGTTTTTTTAACCTCACTCATTTCCATTTTTATTTCCATAATGAGTATGCGTAGTGGTTCAGATGGTTCATTTGAACTAATTGTGATTGAGTTTTCATAATTAGTGTGGTTAAGATTTTTAACCTCAATTATTACTGGCGTGTTATTGCAATTTTTGCAGGTAAATGATTTCCTTTGGGCATGCAGAATTCTTATATCACTTTCACTTAAAATAGCACACTTGGCGTGGACATTTTTCTTACAAGTTTCAAATGGGTATCAACTACGTTATTTTCAATGGAACACCTTATATATTTTTCGAAAAAATTGAAAATCTGATTTCAACATTTGAGGTTGAACATTTTTTAGTTACAATTTGGTTTAACCAAATTGTAGTTGCCATGAAGAATCAACAACACATACGCAGGTTGTCATTGATCAAACTTTCTGTCATATGTTCATTGCATAGAATTTCGTAAGAAATATGGGTTTCAGTGACGATGAAAAATTGAAAATGATTAATTTATTCTACAAAAATAACAATATCAATAATAACATTTGTATGCAAAGAAAATATTACAGAAAGTTTGATTAATGACAACCTGCATAATAATATGTGTTGTTGATTTTTCATGGCAACTGTGATTTGGTAAAATAAAACTATAACGAATTCTAAAATGTTCTACCTCGAATATTTCATAAACGGCTGAACCGAATATCAACAACCTATATATTTTTGAAATTTGAAAAGAAAGATTTTTTTCGAAAAATATATAGGGTGTTACATTGAAAATAACGAAGTTGGTACCAATTTCTTATATCAGCGATATTTATTTATTTCACCTCATCCAATTTTTTGGAGGTTCAGAGTTATATTCAATGATGAATCCTGTAGAAATATACAGAATGGCCCTGTACATGAAAGATGTAGAAATATGTAGTAAATTATGTAACCAAATAGCATTATCATTCTTTTTTTTTTCATTTCATCACTAAATAATATTTCAGTACTGAAGCATACGTTGAGATATTGGATGGTTCTCGAGTACACCCAGAAACATACGAATGGGCCAGGAAAATGGCTGTAGACGCTCTGGAATATGATGACGATGAAGGAGCAAATCCGGCTGGGGCCCTGGAAGAGATACTCGACGCTCCAGAGCGGCTCAAAGATTTAGATCTTGATGCATTTGCTGAGGAATTGGAGCGACAAGGATTTGGTAGGTATTCTCAAATAAAATGTTTCAATAATTACGTGATTGATAAAACCCCGCATGTAATATTTTATTTTAGGAAATAAAAGCATCACCTTGTATGACATCAGAGCCGAACTTAACTGTAGGTATAAAGATTTGAGACAGCCTTTCCACTCTGCAAATCCTGAAGAACTATTCGACATGCTCACAAAGGAAACTCCTGAAACATTTTATATTGGCAAAATGGTTCAAGCATCAGTCTTTGGTGAGATATTCTTTCTATATATCTTGAAAATTTCTTTGAAGAATTTTTCGGTGATGATTATTTGTTATGAATTCGTGGTTGAAATCTTATGTTTTCTTTCAGGTATTGCACGTAGGAAACCAAAGCCAGATCAGCTTGATCAGGCGAATCCTGTTCGTAATGACGAAAGCGGTCTGTGGCAGTGTCCATTTTGCTTGAAAAATGACTTCCCTGAACTGTCAGATGTATGGAACCACTTTGATGCTGGATCATGCCCAGGTCAAGCTACTGGCGTAAAGTTACGCCTTGACAATGGAATCTTAGGTAAGTGTTAAAAGTTTTAAACATCAATGAAGGATTTCACTTGCCAACAGACTATACCCTAATTTAGAACTAGTTCGAGCTTTATATGAGCATTAGAATACCCATCTACATATTTGTCAAGAATAAATCATGTAGAAAAATAGAGACTGTTTCGCCTCGTTTTTTATTGGTCTAGACGCCAGGCGTGCTCACACTAACGATTTCGGTATGCTATGATGAAAAATGGAAGTGGTTAGTTGACTGGTGTTTGAAGAATCTTATGATCTCATCATGAAAATTTGAAACATCACACAAAAATGTAGTAATATTTGTAAGCGAATAACTTCTGCACCCTACAATTGATTTGTATAAATTCTTTTCGTCTTGATAATTCATTATTGGACCATATGCTAGGACAGTTTGTTCCTCATGAAACATGGCTTGAAAATAATATATCGGGTGATTTTTACTTTCAATTCAACTATCTCACATGATAATTAACTATTCTTTTCTATTCCATTCTAGATGCTCAATTATGTTGCTGAAAAGCAGCTCAGACGAGCAATTTGGGTGACATTTTTGGGTTGTTAGAATATGACATATAAGCTTTTACCTGCGGCCTCGCTCGCGTTGAAGCTCTTGAATAAATATCATAGATAATAACACTCAATCAATGTGATTACATATTTGAAAATTACTACATACCATGAAGTTTCGAAAACTGAAAATAATTTACTGCAACATGGATTATTTGTTGTGATCTGTCTCTAGATGGACCAATTCAGGTAGTATCGAATTTGTGCATTTTAGTTGCAAAGAAGCAAAAACTAGAGTCCCTGTATATACCTTAGACAAGAGTCCGGACACAAAACCTGACAGCCGTTGGGGTTTTTAATATTTTGTTTCATTTGGTTTGCCCACCTGACAATGTGACGAAACACCATAGTCGTCCCGCAAGAAATTTTATAACCGCCATTCAGCATTTCAAATTATCTCAATGTCCTGCTGCGTACATTATTGCGATAATCCATTAGAAAAGGGATTCAAGTTATTCAATTTTTCGAATTATCCTTCAAAGATAATGTCATGGAAGAATGAAACGTCCAGAATGGGAAATTGATTTCATGGAATCCGCAATATGTGAGGTAAATATTCAAATTTACTTGTAAAAACAGTACAAAAATGATTAATGTAAGGGCCATTTTGATAGAGATTCTTTAAAGCTGATGGATTTCAAAGTGAAAGAGTCTGCTGTGCCGTCAATTTATAAAACAGAGACGTTCAAAAAAAGAGTTCCGTCGTCATCGTATTGGGAACTACTGAGTGATACGATCGCAGAGAAAGAAAATGAGAATGAGATGTTGCGGAAAGAAATTGAAAGTTTGAAATCAAAACTAGAAGATTTAGAGAAATTGCAATGTGCTATGTCATCAGTCCACGGTGTTTTTAATTCAGATCAAATTCAAAATTTACAGATGTATGTAGACTGCAGGAAGAGGTGGGAAACCGACACAATTAAAACCATTTTGAAACAATTATATTATATCTTCTATTTTTTTATATCCCAACAGAAACCAACTATATTTTCTTGGCTATATGTCATACTACGTAGAGCACTTAAATTATCTTTCTTATATCTAATGAAGTGAAGAAATATCTGATGACGAATATTTGCAATAGCCATCTCAGGAATTGATTATGATAATTATCGATTCGAAATTTGAACACCCTGTTGTTCATTATTTGAAAATCTAATAGTTATTCCAATTAGTATAGCCCTATTTCTCTCTTCTACCTACGGCTATGAACGGTTTGGAAAATAATATAACCCTCAAAATTGTTTCTGACAATCATTGATACTAGGGGAATTGAAAAGACAGAGCTCGATATATTTCGATTGTCTTTATTACCCCAAGAAACATTATTGTTTATAATAGGGATATATACAACAAAACATACATATTATATGTCTTATTCCTTTATTCAATCATCAATGCATTTTTTGAAAACATAAAAGGACAGAAGTATAGCTGTGTCCGGACTCTTGTCTAAAGTATATACAGGGACTCTAGCAAAAACGTCAATATCATTGGTTGTCAAGTCACTAAATAGCAAACAATCTGAAGGGTATCTGCCATGCAGTAATGAATTTGCGCCTTCAAAGTGCCCACCTGATGTTAGGTTAGATATTTGTCATTTTCATTTCATAATCTAAATAATCCGAGACTTACGAGCTCCAAAAGACGTATTCTAATAATTAATATCTTAGGTACCGACGTGTACAGTTTCATGTTTGATTTTTGGAAATTTTGTGTCCGACAATCCTGTCTGCCAATATATTTTTTTATTCGCCGAAAAAATATGTTTTCTCAATAAAAATAATCCTTTGTCCTTTCTAATACATATATAAAAGTTTCATGATAATAGTAGGAATAGCGGTACCATACGATATATCGGAGATTTATAATATTGTTTCAATTCAATCAACGCGTGATCTTCGAAATACTCTTCTATTGATCAAATTGGTACTTCCAAACCCAAGACGCCAGCCATAAACACTGTACTGTAGCACACAATGAAAACGCATCAAGAACATGATATTCCTAATGCGTTTCTGCAGACGATACACCCCTACTCTCGTCTACAGATGTGGCGTTCCTGGCGCTTTGACCAATAGAAGGGTATTTCAAATTATATCACGCGTTAGCCAGTTTTTTACGCTGGCCTCTTGGATATGGCTATACTATAGGAAAAGTTTTGTTGTTATCGAGTTTCGAATAAACTGTAAAATGAATGTCTAATATTGAATTCCAGGTTATATTTATATCAAGAACATTAGTGATAAACCAGTATCGAATCCAGAGGAAAGAGTGGGAATAGGCCAAATAATTCACTGTAGAATATTGAAAATTGATGTAGAAAGGTTCAGTGTTGATTGTACGTCAAAATCGAGTGATCTTCTGGATAAAAACCATGAATGGAGGTAGGTTTACTATTAGTATGAGTAATTCACTGATACTTTGAAATTATCAAAGGCCGATTTTACTGTGTGTTTCACTCTCTATTGACGACTGTCGAACTTTAAAATTTTTGACACTATCAAATATATTTCTTCAGGTGAATCTGTTTTACTGTATCAATATTCTTAGTTATAACCTTGAAATATTTGATGAGTCACATTTAGTGTTCCTGGAGGAACAATTTATCTAAATACACTATGATTAGATAATTGCATGATAATTACAAAGACACAGCTCTGGTTGCAGTGTTGAATTCCTTCTAGGAATCGATAAAAACATTTCATTTACAAAATTTACCTGGTTGGCGACACCTTGCACAATAGTTATGTGTATATATTTTTCTATCTCTTGGAGCGCACGAAAGGGAATTTCTATAATGTTCGAAGAACATCGTGAGTACTCAGGGAGGATAGGTAGAGGAGATAGGTTTTGGATATTTTCAAAAACTTTTGAAGGTTATAAGTTTTTGGAGATACTTCCATCAGCAAAGAATTCCAATTCCAAAGCTTTGCGTTCTATGGACGAACAATTTTTACTAAAGTGTTGTTCGACAGATTTCAAGGTTGACAACGAAAGGATGTGCTGACTGGTCCTGTCGAGTTCGTCTGACTAAAATGTGAAAGGTCGCCTACTTTTCTACATCATTTTAATGAGCCGCAAAATGATAGATTACCGCGCGACAATAACACTTTGTGCTTGAAATACACATGAGATTTTCTCTTAAAAAAAAAGGTGAAAAATAGTAAAAAAATACTGACTCTCCTGAGGTTGAACCCAGACCAGCCACTTCATAAGCTGCGCTCCAAGCCATGAGGCTATATGTCTACTCAAATATTAATCTCAAATCAAACTGTTATCTAAACTAAAAATATAGATACTGCTTCTCGGAATTCATAGAGTATAATAGAAATTTGCCTTGATGACTTCAGAGTTTTTTATTTTTCCCAAAATGAGCCAGTTAAATGTTTCCTGAATATTTTTATTTATTCACCTTCTTGAAGTGAATTTATGAATGATTGTAATAAAATATATTTCTGGTTTTCTGCGGTAGTAGAATAAAAAAGTTTCAATAATCGCACTTTCTACTACATCGGGCAACGCCAGAAACCTGCTATGCACTTCTAGATTGAATGGGGAGGTTTCCTGCGGATGAATTTTCATCAAATCAGTTTCACACTGATTAGGATTATGCCTTTGCAATCTATAGTGAATTGAAATGATTCAAATCATTTATATTTCCGAACTAGAGCAATTAGGGAATATTTTGGCGGAAAACAATGTCGTAAACGGTGAATCTAGTTTGAACATGGATATAATAAGTGTGGATGTGAAATGCAAATCTCCGAACATGCTCGAATCACAAACGAAGGTAAAACTCGACGGTTTACTTTTTCATAAGGCCTACTCATGATGATTATGTGTATATCCTGAAATATGAATGAATTGATGTAGAATGAAAATAAAATTGAAGCTTATTGCTTACCACCAGTGATATCAGAAAACATCACAATGGGCGTGTACACCTTAGTAGAACTTTTAACTCAAACCATGTTTATAATGATCCTTTTATACATAAATAATGATTGACGACATAATTCGATCGAAAAATTAACTGGAATGTTTTATTTTTGGACATAAATGATAGAACCTTCTGAAAACGGAGACCCTCTTATGACGTAGAAACCCCATCTCGCCATATATATATATAAACCATATATATCTACTACTGATATATGAATCATAGCTCTCCTCAAAGCGGGACCCATTTCTGTCTCTATAGGTAATGAAATCGACCAATAGGCGTTGATACCAACGTAGGGAAAAAATAATAGGAAATTTGTCAAACCAATATGGCTGTTTCCATCCTTCACTTTTCGTTCTCATAGATTCAAAGAGTACCTCTCATTTTGGTCCCATTTTTGTTGAGATATAGTATAGGCGATGCGCCATATATAGAAATAGTAGATATATGGTTGAAACTGACACTCTCCTGACACTTATTACTGTTGCCATATCATCCAAACAAAATATCCGAGAAATCGAAATCGATATTGAAATATCTTTTGATATCCACTACCACTACTGCAGAAAAATATATTCGAGTTGTCGATTGTAGGTTGAATCATTGGAGTATAAACAATCTCTAGACAACGAAATGTCTCAATCTCAAAACCATTTGCACCATTACAATTTCACAATAATCCAATATATTTCATAAACATAGCAACATTGCTTTGTTGACCCGTTTCACATGGAGCTGCAAAAAGTCAATCTAGGTTAGAATTGATTTGTCAGAAATCATGTATCATTCATCTCTGTCTGGAATAATCTTGATTCAGTATTAGGGTTTTGACGTCACATCATCGCCTCGTTTTCAGAGGTCCGAAAAATCGGGGATTTCAATAATTTTTTATAAAACGTAGGGAGCTCACAGCAAGAAACGGTTTGCGGTGGTGAGCTAGTTTGGGTGAGTTCTATCGAATTATGAAATGAAATTTTTTTGTGATATAAGCCCATTCTGACGAACTGAGTAGTCTATAGAGATAAAATCCAACTTGAATCACAGTCAACAAGTGCGACCATGAATTGAGAAGTAGAAGTAAGAAACAGAAAACAACAATAAACAATGGAACCTTAACCTCAATAAACTCACAGCTATCAGCATGGATTGGTGTAAAACTGGTATTGGGCGCGGTTGCCAGGCATAATTTACTAATTTCTCGGAAACAATGAAAATCCACTCAGGATCCCTTCAAGAATTTTATTTTGATTCTATTCATATCAAGATTCGATTTTGAGTATTGAAGGTATTCTAGATATTAGTGAAATGCATATTTATGTTTAGTCTTGATTAGTCATTAGTCATCAGGCATTCATAGATGATTTGATCTATACTTCTAGAAATATGAGAGATGCATCACTCACTAACTCTTTGACATCATTGGAACACCTTAGGAAAGTCGGTGACCTTTCCATTTTTCTATACATTCGTCCACGGGAAATGTACTTCAGAAATCTCTGCTATCATTCCATTACTAGCAATATCAGCCAGACAAACTCGACAAGCTCAGTCAACACATTCTTTCATTGTCTACCTCGAAACATGTCGAACGGCACTTTATCAAAACTCGTTTGTCTATAGAACGGCAAAGCTCTGGAATTCATTGCCCAGGGAAGTATTCCCAAGAACTTACCATCTCCAAAAGAAGAAAAAAACAATACCTGACTCCTCTTCCTATCCTCCCTAGGTACGCACGATGTTCACGAACATTATAGGGATTCGCTTTCGTGCGCTTCAAGCGATGAAAAACAGAAAATCAGGGATGAAAATATAGAAATTAGCCGATATTGAAACAAAGTCTCATTGCAGTCAATACATATACACAATTTCTTAATTCCCAAACATATAAATGGATACGGCAGCGTCACAGTCGCGCTAGCAAAATCGCGTGTTAGCTCTGTGTGAACATGGCAGTTCACGAATGACGTCAGCAGGAAGGTGATGAAGCCTAAACTATTTCTTTGATTTTTTTGTCACGTGAATTCTCAGCCTATTGAGAAAATGAAAAAAACATATAATGTTTTTTTATAAACTCCATGGAGAAATGAAAATTTTAATGAACAAAACTTCCTCATTGACGTCTAGTCCTTACTTTTCAGGCATTGCAAAATATGTGTCAATATTTTGGTTCATACTGTAGATCTATTCTTTTTATCTCTTGAAGGGCATGAAACGAAATTCCTTTAATGGTCACAGCACATCATGCGTACCTAGGGAGGATAGGGAGAGGACGTAGGCGTTGGAATTTTCCATTTAAGTAGCAAATATATTGTACGTTTTTCTACCTACAAACTACTTGGATTTATAAAAAGAAATTCTTGCAAATTCAATGACTTAAAAACATTGTGTTTCTTGTATAATGCTTATGTAAGAAGCATATTGGAATATGCTTCGGCAGTATGGTCTCCTTTTTACGAGCGTCATAAAAACGAATTTGGAGAAGGTCCAAAAGAAATTTTTGAGGTACCTATATTATAAAAAACACAAAGTGTATTATTTTGATATACCATATAAAACTTTATTGAATGAGTTTAAATTAATTAAATTAGAACATAAAAGAGAAATAGCATCGGTACTATTCTTGCATGAATTAGTTAATGGACAAGCCATTTGCCCGGTAATTTCAAGAAAGTTAGTTCGTCCTCAAGCACACTATGTTAATAGAGATATCCCCATATTTTTTCTGCCAAGACCGAAAACGAATCTTGGTTTGAATGCTCCTGTATATAGGATTTGTAAACTGGTAAATGAATTAAAGTTGGACATCTTTCGAAAAACGTTCAATGTTGTTAAGCAAAGAATATTTTCATATTAAAATATAAGTCAATCAAATTAATAATCTACTGCATATCATCATACAACTTAAAACATTCTAGGCCTGTATTGTGGGTTAGGTAAAATTCGTTTCACATTTTCACAACTGAATTACTTAATATATACTTTTCTTTTCAATCTAATTAATAATCTACTGCATATCATCATACAACTTAAACATTCTAGGCCTGTATTGTGGCATTATGTATTTGGGTTAGGTAAAATTCGTTTCACATTTTCACAACTGAATTACTTAATATATACTTTTCTTTTCTTATTTACCACTATAGATAACGTTTCTCTGCTCACTGAAATCTGATTAGTCTTAAGGAAATAATTGTAATCGATTATTGGATTTATTTCTGTAAGATCACATACAAATAAAATAAAATAAAATAAATAAAATACCTGTCCGAGACTTTTTGAACACATACAGGGTGATTCAGGTTTTGAGGTACAAACTGAAGTGGGTGATAGATCTCATAATTTTAATAAAAAAAGTTGATATAAACATGCGTCCTATCTCGATCAAAATTTAATTATTTTTTTATCAATCGAAATATTTCGCTCACTTCTAGAGATATCAATTTGAAATTGAGTGTGGTCAATGCTTTCTAGAAGAACATCATTTGAAGCATTTTGAAGATTTTCAAAATCTACAGGGTGATACATTTTTGGGGGTAGAGGCTTCTTAATTCCCCCCTCCCCAAATTTTCCATAGTACGCCTTTGATATCTTCCAGTTACCAAATAGGATGGATCGTTCAATTCAAAGGCTTATTTTGCTTTTCAATTCTTCTCTAGAAATGAACTGTTTTCGACGAGATAAATAAGCATATCTGTTCTATAACATGTTGATTCTGCCCGATTTTGTCTTTTTTCTTGAATTTTATTCTTGGATAAAATTCGTTAGGGATGCAATGAAATTAAATGTACTAAAATTGAGTACTAAAATTAGTACTAAAATTGCAATGTTTTTAAGCATGTTCCAATTTGGATCAGTAGCGGGGATACAGAGGGTAGAAGGTTGAGTTAATTTCAACCGACCAATACAACGATGCGGAAAATACATGTTAAACCACTGGTTAAGCCCCATCCAAGTGTATCTGATATCTTTTTCAATATCTTAAATAAATTGAAAAATAGTATAGCATTCAATCTGTCGAGAAAAATGTACGGTCCACAATGGACATTAGGTAATAAATAATTTAGCCACATGAATGAATTATGGTAATTTACCACCATACATCTGGTTAATGTGGCTTTATCAGTCCACAATACATATATTTTATAATATTCGTCATTGTCAAGTTAACGAATTTAGTTCAAGAATAAAATTCAATAGAGAAAATAAATAAATTGAAAATTCAAAAAAGCTTTTATTTAAATGCTCTAAAAAGAAGAAAATACTTGTTTTCTTAATAATGTTAACTATCAACTTATAACCTCATTATACACAATTTATATGATCATAAAAGTTTGTCGCGCGATTCACTTGTGTGAATGAACTAGTACTTATTTAATTGAATATTGATCATCGCGACAAGCTCTTATGATCATATAAATTGTGTATAATGATGTTATAAGTTGATAGTTAAAATTATTGAGAAAAATTTTATTTTCTTCTTTTAGGGCGTTTAAATAAAAGCTTTTTATTAAAAAGTTTTTTTTACTTTTGATTTATTTTTTAATTTTTAGTTATCGCTAGCTGGATTTTTCGATTTACTCTCAACGAGCCTTTTCATTTCATACCCATATTGTAGAAGTATATTGAAAATGACCATTCCGCCATCTTGGATGGTCCGCCATAATGGATTTAGAATGACGTCACATTATTTTTCGAATCACTCAACGAGCCCTTTCATTAGATACCCATATTGTAGAAGTAGATTAAAAATGACCATTCCGTCATCTTGGATGGTCCGCTATATTCGATTTAGAATGACGTCACATCATGTTTCGAGTTACTCTCAACGAGCCTTTTCATTTGATACCCATATTGTAAAAGTGTATCAAAAATAGCTATTCCGCCATCTTGGATGGTCCGCCATATTGGATTTAGAATAACGTGACACACCTTATCGTGCATTGTCATCCAAACTGAACGTGTATACAAAATTTCAGCTCAATCGGTTGAAGATTGCTACTTCAAAATTGAGTTCAAAGATTCCACCCGAACATACAAACTTAAATGCAAGTTGCAAAGCTTTTAATAATTTCAATAAAATAGATGAAATTCACATGTTTAATCTCGAAAACGGTTTATTTCTTGGAAAAAAATGAAAGGCAAAAAATGCCTATTTGGCAACTGAGGGATGTCAGAGACGTAATACAAAAAAGTTTGGGAGGGATAAAGAAGCCTCTACCCCCAAAATCGTATCTCCCTGTAGATTTTAAAAACCTTTGAAATTATGATTTTCTAGGAAGTATTAACTACACCAAAGTTCAAATTGATATTTTCAGAAGTGAGAGAGATATTTCAATTAATATTAAAGAGGTAATTAAAATTTGACCATCTGTAGCTCCGCTTTTGATCGAGATCGGACTCATGTTTCTATCAACTTTTTTTTCAGTTACTAAGTGAACATATTCATTAAACTATTATACAATATTATAAAAAAATCGATAAAACGGCCAACATTATTTATTCCTCATATTTCTTGTTGAACGTTTTGATGATGAGATCTATCACCCATTACAGTTTGTTCCTTAAAACCTGAATCACCTTGTATATCAAATTTATTATTATTGTGGGAGGAAAATGCAGATGCATAGCATACCAGACTACCCAAAACTGAATCAAAAATTAGGAAATTCGAAAATTTAATTCGGCAGTCTAAAATGGTTGAAACTATACAGGGTGTTTCAAAAAAACCTGACCCCCTTGCTAGGGTAGGTAGATCACTGCAAAATAAGTTGGGTTTGCTCAGTGAAAAAATGTCTTAACGGCATCCGTTTCCATGATACAAGGTGTTGAAAAAATTACTTTTTCACACATTTTTCACGATTATGTCGAAACTACTGGAAACATTGTGATGAAATTTTGTACGGATGTTTCTTGAAATCTGACACATCGCATGAATTTGTTTTTATATCTGACTCTCATAGAGGGCGCTAGTTACACGGTTCGTACCGAGTAGTTTAGAACATAACTTTTTTGAGGTTAGATTTCCCAATCCAAATATGATATGAACTCAAACCTCATTCAATTTTACACCAAAAAGGAACTCTTGGTGAAACTCGATACTATGTTCCGTTTTCGGAATATTTTGATTTGAAAATATTGGAGTAGTATTGATGCTGGTATAAAATGAATTTTATTGAGTTCAATTACCTATTTATTCAGATTCAAAAACAATAGGATCATTCTTGTGCTGAAGTTATTGATGGAACAAAGAATCATAAGTAGAAAATTAAGAGATATTTGACAAGAAACATGAAATATTGAATCAGTTAGAGTATAAGTGTTCAAAATGTCCTACGTTTCGACGAATACACGATTCTATATTCTTTTCTTAAGAATGTATTATTCTTCTAAACAGTTGAGGATCAGGTGTTAGGTCATTTAAGTGATGTTCAATTATGTCTCACAACTCTTGACGTGAATTTACCTATGTAGCTTAGACTTTCTGCTCAAGATACAACAAAACTGTGTAATCCATGTTCTCAGTCAAATCTGTTTCGATGTTATTCTTGTGATTCATTGTTATATCAATAAGTTTAGCATCAGAAATGTATTGCTGTTTTTGGTTTTCAATAAATAGGTGATAATTTTTCATAATACTCGCTCTATTACATAGCTTTATACCAGCAACAGTTATCACTTGATCATTTTCAAATCGAAATATTTCGAAAACGGAACACAGTATCGAGTTTTACCAAGAGTACCTTTTTGGTGTGAAATTGAATGATGTTCAAGTTCACATCAAATTTGGATTGAAAAATCTAACCTCAAAAAAGTTATGTTCAAAACTACTCGGTACGAACCGTGTAACTAGCGCCCTCTATGAAAGTCAGATATAGAAACATCGGCATGCGAAGTGTCAGATTCCAAGAAACATCCATACAAAATTTCATCACAATGTTGCCAGTAGTTTCGACATAATCTTAAAAAATGTGTAAAAAAATCATTTTTTCAACACCTTGTATCTTGATAACGAATGCCGTAACGAAATTTTTTTACTGAGTAAACCCAACTTATTTTGCAGTGTTCTACCTACCCTAGTAAGGGGGTCAGGTTTTTTTGAAACACCCTGTATAAACCTGAATAAAAGGTTACAAAATAAATTTTTAGGCCACCAAGAGATCCATATTATGACCAAGAACGTGAAGACAAAGACCTTCGGACTGAAGCAGAAAAGAAACAAGACAAACAACGTAAAACTTACATCAAACGGGTTATTGTTCATCCTGCCTTTCACAATATATCATACGCGGAAGCGGAAAAGTGCATGGCCAATATGGATCAAGGTGAGGTCATCGTGAGGCCTTCAAGCAAGGGTGCTGAACATCTGACGATTACGTGGAAAGTTGCTGACGGGATTTATCAGCACATTGATATAAAGGAAGAGGGAAAAGCGAACGCGTTTTCTTTGGGTAAGTTTAAAATGTGTCTTGAAATTTGATTCACTTGTCATGTTTTGATGTTCTCTTTATTTCAAAAAGTGTTACGGCCGGTTCCGTCATCAACTAAAAGTTCCCTTTCATTCGAAAAGTTTCGTTTATGTGGAGAATCCGATTCCATAATTCATTTTTGAAGGAACTTCAACAAAAATGAAACTTTATCGGTAAAGTCTCAAATATTGCCCTTTTATAGTTGAAGTCGACTTGACAATTCCAAAGTATTTGTTCAAAATAGAAAGCTCTAGTAATAGTAGTTCATCGTCAGAAAGTGAAGGCGAGATTGTTATGGTTCTCAAAAAAAAGATGATATCCAGACAAAGGCAAAATAATAAAATATGATGATATAGAATTCTTCCGGAGATTTTGATTGACGAAACCTTCAGAAAATTTCACCTCTGATATATTATCCTACAAATAGGTGTGCAAATACATGCATGGATCAATTTATGTTTGCATTACGATTCTATGCAATGGGAATTTTTTTAATAACCGCTGGTGATTTAATGATGATATGGAGAGAATGTTGTGTGTTGTGGTATCTATGATGCATTTCTACATTCTATGCAAAACTGTCATGAGTGTTAACTGTAATCTGTCACATCATATGTCACGAGTGTAGTTGATTGTCGATTGTCTTGATTGATTGATACACGTTACAGATTGTCAAGTTAAAAAGGTTAAAAATAAAATCCATTATACAAAAGGTCATCATGATTCCATTTTTATTTATAGAGCCAAGTCCAGATATTACAAAAGAGAAAATAATTTGTGAACAATGCAGTTGATATTCATAATAAAATGGGAGCATTGGAATGCTCAGTTATTATATTAAATATCACAGAAGATTTTCGCAACTTATAAAAACATATTCTTCAACAAATTTTATATCAAACCAATTGTTTTCATTTGATGAATTATTTTCTTTCATTTGATTCAGCTCATCCCTCTTGATTTCAATTTCTAATTCTACAATTCCATTTTTTCTTCATGATTCTCTTCTGTTCTGTCTACATTTTCACTGAACTGCCTCTCTTCCTCCATGAGTTTCTTTATGCTCAATGATAATTATGACGCTCGGAATAAATTGCATTGAAAAAGCTTTTTTGTCTTCTTTGGTGAATGGCATGCTTTTTTCTTTCTTGGCTTCAATTGTGATTCTATATGCTCATCAATTATTGTAATGCAGTAAAATTTCAAATTCAATATGAAAAATTCAATTGGCAACGTCAGATGTGTGAAAATAGTTCATTCAAACCAAATCCAGTGCCGTCGATATAACGAAAATTAGATATACGAGTCTTTAAGTATAGGAAGTTTGGTTTTGCTTTATGGAACGCATTAGACTTTTCGACGACATTAAAGTTGACTTTCTGAGAGTCGACTTTTTAGTAAAAATTTTTCAGAATATGGAAACACTACAATATATTAAGTCCACTAACTCATTCATGTTTACAAACTGAAAATATCAATTGTTGTGAAAAAATGAGCGGATATTTATGATTCAACTTACTATCATAAAAGAATCACGTTAAGTACTAACTTTCTGAAATGTACAGTGTGTCCAGTTTTCGATGCTTTCGCTCCATATCTCAGTTATCTTTGGAAATAGTAGGGTGTTGCGGGTTTCACATTACTGCCTTACTTTTTGTGAAACGAATAATGCTGCAATTTGAATTTTCACAGCCCTTGCATGTTTTTGAGATACAGGACGAAATTGAGAATTCTCACTTTTTGAGCAACTACTGCATCTTGGTTACTTTTCAACTTATCGGCAGAATTAGACTAGGGCCTTATAACTTTCTACTCAAAATCCAGTGGCGTACTCATTTCATTTCTATAATCGCTCATTTGTAGAAAATAAAGCCAACATATTTGTTTTCTCAAATGAAAAAAATATCAACCATTATATATTTTTGATGAACTATAAGAAATCTGAATGGAACCGAATAGAAATATACAGGGTGTCCCATTTGAAAACAAATATGTTGGCTTCATTTTCTAAAAATGAGCAATAACTTTACAAAGTTATATAAGGCCCTGTTTTCATCCAGCCGATAAGTTGAAAAGTAACCAACTCCGCCATGTATCTCAAAAATATGAAGAACTATGAAAATCCTATTTGCTGCATTATACGTTTGACAAAAAAGCTAGGCAGTAATGTGAAAACTGCAACACTCTATCTCTAAAGATAACGGAGATATCGCGCAAAATCATCGGAAACTGGACACACTGTACAACAGTGCACCCATTTTGGTTGAGACTGAAAAATTTCTCGATTGTTGTTGAAAATAGAGCTTTGCGGTTTTCACGTTTCTGCCCTTTTTTGTGAAACTCAAGATGGTCTTATCGGATTTTGCATTACTGTTTCCGTTAATGAGACTATTTTGAAAATACATATTTTTTGGACCCCGTTTATATTCACGAAGTTATTTGAAATAATATTGCGCTGAAAACTACGTCCAACAGGGATTTCGGGGCAAAATACAGTGGCGTACTCAATTTTTTTCATATGGTTTTGGCGATACGACACAAACTTTTATATTTTTCAATGAAACACCCTGTATTCTGTTATCTGGTTGAACTCGTTATTTTTTTCCTCCAAAATAATGTATAATAATTCATACATAGGATTTCAGAAATTATGTAAAAACATAAAAACCTATGATGAATTTTTGGTAGCGGGCCATGGATTTTCCAATTTTTGCTTGAAATATTATCACATGTATGATCCTTTTTCTTATAGGCATTATGAACTATGCATTACTATTTATTTGTTGTTTTTCGGTAACCACGTTTAATGATTCGCGTAAGTAAATAAGTGTTAGTATTTTGAGTATGCCACTGAATTCCCTGTTAGACATGTAGTTCTTAGTGCAACACTGTTTCTAATAACATCGTAGTTATGGTAAGAGGTCCAAAAAGCAAAAATTTTCAAAACCGCCCTGTATCTCCAGAACGGAGACAATTATGCAAAATCTGATTAGCCCATCTTGAGTTCTACAAGAAAGTGGGATGGAAACTTGAAAACCGCAAGGCTCTTTCTTCAATAACAACCGAGAAACATGGCAGCCTCAACCAAAATGGGATGCACTTTACAGTTTATAACCATTCAATGTGAAGATGCAACGGGTGTCGCCAGAAATAACATCAGCTCTTGAATTCTAGTTCATAATTTTATTCATCTAGCTGGATTTCAAGTTTTTCTTACTGAAGTAAACTATTAATGTGTTACTAACAATTCATTTTACTTGATCATTTTGGATTTTCTCTCCTCGTTTCTATAAAATGAAAATATTAGTATTATCTCAATATATGTGTAGTAGCACAAATAAGAGGATTTGCCTAAAAATGTTACTGCGTTTAACAAATTTTTCTATCAGGGAGCCTAGAAGAAAAATCCAATAGCTTTTGAATGACACTTTGTTTGGAAAGATGTTTGAAGAGAAGAAATATAGATATATTGAAAAAATATCGAATCTTCGGACGTTTCGGGAACGAATCTGTTTTTTTTATAGTTTGACACATCTCTCTTAGGTTTCTACTAACATTTCTGACCACTAAAAGTTAGTGTCATTGAGCTTATTGTCAATAATGAAGAGTTGAACAAAATTTTAGGATATAAAAGTGTTAGATGGCTGCATACTGTGATTGATTCATGATCAAAGAATACTATACACCATTGAAACCTCTAATCATTCACAATTTGTTCACATTCTTATTGTCGCAAGCACTTATTCTCATCATATTCAAACAATACTATCTGTATAATTTGATTGATTGTGTCTATTTTGAAGTTAGATTCAACAGCTAACGTTGTTCTAAACATACCAGTCGAATGTCGATGGGTATGTTCCGTTCCCAAAGTTTGGTAGATCGAATGATTGACAGGTATGCCTGAACGATTCGGTTTATAAACGGAACGCAGGCGTGTTGTATCATATGTTCATATGTTAATATGGAATCCATATGTCCACCACGTCAATGCAATCCAGTCTGGAGCTATTGTGGCAATTGATATACTAAGCTCAATCATGAGTCATAATTCGAGTGAAGCTATCTCTCTCTGTTGTGAAGTTGTGTAAAATTGAACTTTGGAAGCAATAAAACTTGAACCTGCATGGTTTGACTTTTTATAATTGTTTGCATAGAATACTAATGACTCGTAACTATCTTAGGGAAGTCTTTATTGATTGGAAGTGAAGAATTCGAAGATCTAGATGAAATAATAGCTAGACATGTTACCCCAATGGCATCGCACGCCAGGGATTTGCTCTACTTCAGATATTATAAAGACTTCGAGGGTAATCACAAAGAAAAGGCTGATGAGTTCTTGAAAGACGAGAAGAAGAAAAACGCTTCCAAAATCCACTATGTTATTAGTGCTGCAAAGGTAAATCTCGCACTTATACTATTTTGAGCTTTTGCATTTTATTTCATTTGTCTTGTATCCGATAATTATCAATATAACAATCGATTTTAATGAGCCATTGAAGCAGCAAATGCTATTCTTTTTGTTCTAGAACATTCCAGGCAAATTTTTGCTGTCATATCTTCCAAGAAACAAAGTGAGGCATGAATACATAACTGTCACGCCAGAAGGTTACCGATTTAGGCAGCAGATGTTCGATTCTGTCGCTTCCGTAATGAAGTGGTTCAAAGAACATTTCAGGGAGCCCCCACCTGGTGGAGTGACACCCGGTACACCAAGGTTATCTTCTGGTCGGACTCCTTATGCTGGTACACCTTCATTCAGTAAGTGATGTGTAGCGCTAATAATTTCAACCAAAATTTTCAACAGATGAAATAGCTATTGTATTGATAATGATAATCAGATGGAATTCACCTCTGAGCACTGTTCCACTGTCCTTTCCTTCTCTCTGGTCTAAACTCTATACAATCTAATAATTTCCTAGGGTTATAGAGAATAGTTCCTATTTTCAATGATTTGTATGTCTTTGCAAAAAGTTTCAAACAAACTTATAGTTTGGCGCAGAAACTGAAACTACTTTTTTCTTTTTTTTTGTGTAACTCTCCTTTTTGAACGTAAATGCTTCACAATCTCATCGCATTCATGTTGGATATATCGAATTTAAACAACAATTTTATTCAATAATTTTTTGACATATTTACAATGATTTTTGTTCTCTAAAATTCTTTACATATCATTATCCTGCATAGGTTTCTTCGAGAAATATTACATATATTTTTCGATCACATGTTGATAATCATATCATTTATTTATTGTGTATTTTACAACATTAACAAACACTATATTTATAACTTTGAAAACGTGAACATTTGCAATTTCTAGTGATAGATCAGCATGGTGTAGCCATGGGTTTTGTAGACCAAGTACGGCCCATGGTGCCTGATGGTCAGAAACAGTTGTTTATACTTGCTGACAATGGGGAAGTTTCCTTCAGATGAATGTTCATGAAATAAGTTCGGAACTCTCCAGTTGTATGTCCACGCTGTACAGAATGGCGACCGATAAAGTCGTTTTCATTTTCAAATTAAAGCAATTTCTAATTTTCGGGGCGTCAAAATGTAACGTATATTCTGATTATTCTGAATCTAGTCTGAAAATAGCTGATGGTGAAAAATATAGCTACCGAATAGCTAAAGAATAGCTAACGAATAGCTAACGAATGAAAAACGAATAAAAAAAAATCAGAAGAAGTAAAACTGGTAAACAAGAAATGCAGATGGTAGTTGGATTCATTCTGACAAGTTATGGTTCTGCCATTTATGCATTGAAATATCTCGAATAACGAAAATATCTTTTAATCAATGAATCAATATCGGCAACATTCAATGATATTATCCTTCCTAATTTACTGCCATCAGTCAGAAGAGAATGAAGCCGACACCCATGGCTCCTTTCTCTTGTTGTGCCTGTCAGTATTTTGAGTGGTGTGGACGGACTCAAAGTATTAGGCGCTGTTGCAAGATATTATCTGCAACTCCTCCTAGAAAATAGATCCGTCACAAAATATCATAGTTCATCTTTATTAGTAATCAACTTGATTCATCCAACGAGAGATTAATGGGAATTATCCTTAATACTTGACAAAGTAGGATTGAAGAACCTATTATATCCCATTGCATTCAAACAGCAATTTCCGGAAATCTAGACATTTATGATGTCGTTAACGGCGTACTGGCACAGGGAATTGTATTCTAACTGTGTGAATGTGGATTTTCAGAAAGTACGTCATAGGAATGGTGTAGCAGCCAAGTTCCTCTTTCATTTATTTTTTTCTGAACTGAGATTTGATCCTACAAAAAAATAAAAAAAAACGCATATATTAATTTTCTCAAACTTCATAGTCAATATAACTTCCCCATTGTGGTTACTTCTTTCTTATCCTAGATCTCCTATTCATGTTATGAGATATAGTTGAATTTCACATCTTCACCAACCCTATTCATCAAACATTATATTTTTGTTACTAGATATGAACACAGAAGCTATTCAAAGGGTTGCTCAAAATCTTCCAAGTCATATGATGCAGACATTATCAGCTGTAGCAAATCAAACTCCTCATTATCCACACACTCCAGGTGGAGCTTATGGGGCTGCAAACTATATAAATACGGTAAGATAACTACATAAATACGCTAAGTTGAAAATGAATACTGATTTATACAGTATCTCATGTTGAATAGTGATATTTTCTGGTCACGATATTGTCAGACTTGCTCTACCAGCACGGAAGTTGACACAAAACCAAACTACCTCGATAATCAACAAATCTGACATTTATAACGTCATTTATAATGAATAGTTGATTTTGCAGGTTCTGATTTCAGAATTATCATTTGTCTATCGTACGAAAACGACTCATGATATCATTTTTGCTCAGAATAAATTGTCCGACGGTGAAAGTGACTTCTTGAATATTTGACATGCAGCGTATGTATTTGATAATTGAATGGCCATCACCTAGTCTGAACATTTTGTGAGTATATAAAATGTTCAATGAGGAAAAAGAAAGTGAAATTACGAAATGTTTCGTGAAATGTGAAATATCGTGGATAGTGGTTTGTTCAGGTTTCCATTATGAAAATCGTTTTTGTAGACAAAAAAGTAGGCGAGAAAGTTTTTTTTTTTCGAAAATAAACCATCACATGATGAGTGCAAAATCATCCTATTCCCCAACTTATAAATCAACATTAACGATAAATACGATTTTTCCTTACATGAATCAAATATTTCATGTGATTAATTCACGCCTATTCTAAGAACCAATGAGATTTCTTCAATTTCTTAAAACCCACCAATCACCAGGCGTTTGTAGTGATGACAGGCTACCTAGCTCTCCCAATAACCGATAAATATGCACATTGCTTCCAATCAACACATTCCTATACTTTGACAACAACTGTCATCCTGTGAGTTTTCCCAACACAACGTTAGTTACTAAAATGTCACAAGGAATCACCTCTTGGATTTTTTCGGTGTTATTTAGATACACCCTGTATAATCAAGATGGCAAAAGGACATTAATATCACAGCATCAACAAATGAAATTCAACAATAAAATATATTCAACTTCTTGTAAATACTGCATCTTGTTATTGAAACTATTTCCTATTTACAGCCATTAGGTTGAAAAATTACATTATGCCCAAAGAGAATAAAGAAAGGAAAAGAGAAAAAAAGTATCAACTAAATTAATGGCGACTGATCAACCTAGGATCAATTTTACAAATTATATTTTTTAATATGGCTAAAGACTGAACGAACGGGTCAATGTTAAATGCATTGAAATTATGCAAAATGCGGGAAAAGGGCTGAAGAATCCATAGTTGGTTCTATGATTATTTATAACGAATAATTCTGTGTTTCTAGTAAAATATGAGGGAACATTGAAGTTAATCCTATTGAAAAGTTCATAGCAGTCAATTTCACCTAAGATAATCTTGAACATAGTATAACTACCTAGCCTGAATCGACGGACAGATAAATTAGTTAGGTTGAGGGTATCAAGAGTATCCGAATAGTTGAAATGATGGTAATTTCCCATTTTGTAGGATATGTGTTTGGCGAATCCAACTTGGGCTTGTTCGATTAGTGTGATATCACATGCATAGTATGGTGACCAAATAATACAGCCATAGTCCAATAAGGAACATACAAGGGAGCAGTACAAAATATACGATGTGTTGCATGAAAAACTTTTTTCTGCAACCGACACAAAAGTCGTCCATTTTGATACCAAAATTAGCTCTTAAATCGACGTTTCTATTACTGACACAGAAATAGGTATGTTGCTAGGCAACATATTTAGTTCCTAGGAGCTAAAGTTGAATTTTAGTTCCTAGGAGCTAAAGTTGAATTTTAGTTCCTAGGAGCTAAAGTTGAACTTTAGCTCCTAGGAACTAAAAAGGATCTACTGGACGTCATCAAGAATAAGCAACATTGTGACGATTGGTTATTTGGGTTGAGACGCATACCTGATTTGTTTCCGATTTCAGCAGATTTGGCATTTCATACCCATGCTGGAGATATAAATACACCTTATTATAGTTTAGTATTGGAATTATAAACATGTCAGTTAAGTATTTTTGTTTTGATCAGGGAAGCCTTCAAGATTCAAATACTTGCTTGATCTGTATTTCATTCGTTATTCTCGGGATGGATAACTTGTTTTTGGATAATCACGGCAAGCAATAGTTTTTTGTCTCAAACAACGATATTGTTAACCTTCATTTGATTATCAAGCGACAAACATTGTATTACGGAGAGGCAGAAATAATTGCTATTCTTATTGTTGATGTGCTCAACTAACCTAACATTTTCCAAGTCTTGTTTCTATAGCTGGCACTGACGCGGTATTTGCCATTAGAGCACCTGGTCCATACACAAATATGTCACTCTGTGATTGTATTTATATTGAAACTACAATTCGAACATCCTTGAAAATTGAATGAACCTGCTGTTGATGCAGGTAGAAATGTTCTCACCACACGGATTATTTTTCAATATTTGTTGCATTGCATACATATGGCACGGTATTGGTGGTAACTTCATATATTTATTTGAGTTATTTGTTTCGGTTGCAGAAAAAATAGCATGTTTCATTCGGATCAAAAGTGACTTTGTTCGACTCGCAAATTTTGCTTTCGCTCGGCTTCGCTAAACGCTCCGCCTCGCAAATGCAAAATTCGCTTGTCAAACAAAGTGTCACTTTTGATCCTTATAAAACAATCTACTATTTGTATTACGCGATAGAAAACCTACCATTCTATTGGCGGATGCTGATACTTTCAGTATATGGCTCTTGAAGGTGACTTGTTCATCAAAGATGATTCCAAGATCTTTATTCTCGGTAACTTTTTTCAAGAATATATTGTAATTATATAAGGCAACATTATGAGAACGGGAAAACGATATTGTAAGACATTTATCGGTATTTAGGTCGAGATTGTTAAGGTCGTTTTGAAGAATTTGACTGTCTAGGACATATCTAATGATGCGATTTTTGTGGAATTTATGGTACGTTGTTCTGGAACACCTTGTATAAATGTAATTGTAAAGTAGATTGATTGATTCACCCCCGAATATAACATTCGATTCCGTCCGTTGCAGCCGTACACCCCGAGTGGCCAAACGCCCTACATGACCCCCTACCAGACGCCGCGCTACGGCCAGCAAACCCCCTCGCAGCAGCAGCAGCACCTGCCAGGGGCGGCGCACGGGGCGAACGGCGTGTTCTTGCACCCCGGTGCCGTCACGCCGGCGCAGCGCACGCCCAGCTACCGCACCAACGCGCCGACGCAGTCGCCGGTCGTGTCGCAGAGCCCGGTGCCCAGTCCGGGGTCGCAGAGCTCCTACAGCAGCAGTCTGACCCACCAGAGCAGGTCGGCTGGGTATGGTGGCGAGCCGATCAGGTAACTTGATTGTTTATCGGGCAGGTTATTGATTGTATGAATGTTTTTGTACGGGTTGTTTCTTTAAAAAAAGGAAAATGGTGATGAATTTTGATGAAAAGCAAATACCTCAAAATCATACTGTCTGTAGGGTAATCCAGGAGGTGGTACATTCATTTTTCTTGATCATTTTGGATTTTCTCTCCTCGTTACTCTTACTTATTTATTCGAAAACGAATCTGCTCCCGTTCTCAACATAAAAATGCAAAATATTTCTCTTTGGAAGTTGCTGCTTATAGTTTGACAGTTTTCAGTGTCATACTGATGTTGGCATATGAATGAGTGATTTTAGTCTACAAATGAGTTACAGGATGTTTTCATCAATTGATCTTGAATCTACCATTTTCATGTTCAGTTTTCAGAGTGAATACTTCACCGGCTTTTACGACCAAAAATATAAAGAAAATGTTCAATGAACATGAGTCGAGAAATGTCACCTAAGGGAGTTAAAAACTCCATGTGATGTAAAGATGCAATTTGGTACAAAAACTAAACTTTCCATGCCCAATGCAGTGAAATTTAAATCATTTCAAGATTTCAATCAGGACTGTAAAATACAGGGCGGGACTACATTGAATGTTGCTGAAAACTTTTTGTATGCAAATTTTTCGACAATTTAATCTCGGATTATGAAATTTCGCACCTCTTTACAGAAAAAAGGTACTCTTGTTCCGCGACGATCAGATGTATTGTTATCGAGTAAAAGCTATTTAAAAATATGTTTACATCTCAGATATTATGCATACCATTCCAATGAGGCGTTGTGAAAATGGAAAAAAATGCACAGAAATTGAATTATTTTTTTCATCATCATTTTTCTAGTTTTCGCGCTTTTATGAGACTGTTTGTTAAAAAGAAATATCATCTTCAGGAGCCTCTTTTCAGGGGCCGTAGCTCCCTCAGGAGACATTTCTCGACTTATGTTTATTTCAACTCTTCTTCCTATTTTTAGTCGAAGAAGCCGCGGGTTAAGTATGGCAGGGTAATTTCGGGACACCCTGTATATATAAAGAAATACAAATTCGCATTCTCCATGTGATGAAAATATCCATTCTTTCTCGGTTTATTCAACAGGAAACAAGTACTTTCCTGGCTATATGTCACGACGAACATTGAATTACATCTATTGAACACATACGATAAAAATAATGAAGTATATATTGATGACTGAAAGTGTTTTATATTCATCATGTTCACATGTCGTATGAGGATTTAAGACACTCCCCATTAGTTAGTTAGGAGAAATATTGAGATTAATGAAGAAAAACGGGTATTTTTTGTTTTCCTTCTTGAAATATAACAGTATGTTATTTATAATCATTATATGTTATGCTATGTCTTAGGGCGTTTTTGGAATTTTTGTTGAGTGTGGGTACTTATCTGTACATTGAAAGATTTACTTATATTAATTAGGTAGGCAGTTGACACTTGTTCATATTACATTCATCACCCAATCCGTAACATAACATGCAGAGTGTGGTTTCAACAAATTTCCAATCCATTATGGTGCGTTTATTCATAGGTTCCAGCCATCTGAGTCCCCGCGAAGTTATGCCAGCGGTAGAGGATCGTTTGGAGATCGCTCAAATTATGGAGCCGCTGCTAGTGAGACAATGGACTGGCAGAAGGCTGCTGAAGCATGGGCTGCCAGATCTAAAGGTAAGTTTGACACAACAACAACAAATTGAGTTTATGAGTGGTTTTTCAGAATTATTTATAATGGACGGGTCATTTTGTCAATTTGAGTGATGCACTGACATTGCTCTCGACCTGCACCCGGTTTAGAATGGGACACATAAACCACAACCAGTTTCAACAATGGGACGCATAATATGCACTAAGTGCGTACGAGTGTTCCCAATGGTATTTGCTATAAATTATGACGTTAGGGTGTGTTGATATTGACAATTTTATAGGAAGTGAGGACTCATTGGCATCTAGCAAATATGCAGGGTGATTAATTAAGAATGGGCTACCCACAAGATTATGAAAATTTAGGTAAACAAGCCTTGTAAAAATGTTACAGATGCAGGTTGTTCAAGGAAAAAAATGTATTTAAAATTTCTCCTTTGGTCGAACATTTACTTTGAAATTCTGTTCATTGTTGGCGTTGTTAGTGATTATTGTGTGAAACACAAATCTTTTCAAGAGCTAACAACGCAAAAACTGTTGAAGAAGCTGAACAATTCAAAAAAGGTACATTTTTGACAGACATAGTGTCACTGGCGCCCTCTATGAACAATCACGGAATAAAATACAAATTCCTATTTCTCATGTCAGAAAACCTGAGATTAGAAAATTTCATGTTGAACAAAAAAAGAGGGAAAGGAACGTGAAAACCACAAGGCTCTATCTTCGATAACAACCGAGAAACCTGGCAATCTCACCCCAAATGGAATGCACACACAAAGCAGTGCACAAAACATTTTCACGAATATTCTTTCGATGGGAGGAGTACCTTGAGCAGTCCCTTTGAGGATGAAACTTTTCACGTTTGTTAACAACTGGTATACCGTATTTGGGGCAAGGGAATTAATATGTGGCACATCCATGATGAGTTGTATAAATGCCACTACTTGAATCCTGACTTATTTATTCACTGAAAAGTGACAGGGATGTCAAATTGTAGCTATTTCTGAGTGTTCTTTCGACATTGAGGGTTGAAATTTTCAGTCAACGATTTGGTCTATGTTAAGGTCAAACTTTCTTGAACATTGATGGATGTTTTTTTTTCTTCGAAATTTGCACAAACAGTGATGTTTTCTATGTAAACAATTAGATGAACTTTCATGTGGCTTGAACAAACTTGGGATTTTACTTCCAATGTTGAAGTTAATTCGCGACTTGTATGTTAAAAGAGAAGACGATAACGTGAAAATGGCCAAACAAAACGAAAGAAATGTACCTAACATTTCTAAAAATGTTCACGTTTCAGTTGCGCAATCTGGTGGACAATCATAACATGTTATCCCTCATTGTACATATGTATATTATATGGTTGAAATAGTCGTATAAACAGTGCAACAATCGCAGGAAATGTACTAGTATGAAATGGTTGCAGCACCCGCTTAATCATCCAAACATAATATGTCAGAATTTGTAACTGCGTTCAAAAAAATTATAATTCGATCTTCCAGTCGGGATACATTTGTCAAATTTCGAAAAAGCGTAAAATATCAATGTTATGTCACTGGTAATTATGGCCTCAACATTTCAATATATTATTTCCAGGCACTCCCAGAAGTGAAAGTCGCAATACTCCACGATCTATGGGCCAGAGAACTCCAAGATATAATGAAAACGATGAGAGGATGAGAATGAAGAATATCGGCAAAAGTCCGAGGTCGGTGAGATCCACTCCACGTACTAATACTTCCCCTCATTCGATGTCGTTAGGAGATGCAACACCATTATATGATGAAAGCATATAAGAAAGGCAGGTCACATACGAAGTGATATCGAGACTTACTTTTACGAATTGAATAATAAGTAAAAGGAGTTTATTTTTTTATTCAATAATTTTCATATTTTTCATTTTTTCTCCTTATCAAATCAAGTTGAATAAAACAACCCCTGTTTCATAAGCTTACCATGGTGTTTTTATGTAACTTATGAAATAGAAACAACTACTTCATTGTATTGAAAATATTATTTATGAAATGCAATATATTTTGTATTGTGTTTGTCGATTTGTTGTTACGTAAAAAACTCTGTACAGTGTGCTCATTCTTGAGCAATAAATTTTATTGTCAATTCCTAATGTCACCCTTTTTATTGCTTCATGACTATTTGTGTCTTTTTTTTGTAATTGATGACTGAGGAATATAATAATGGTTTCAAACATTGCTTGTTTCTAAAATATATTTCAACTACGGATTCAATACGAAAATGGCACTAGCCTGCTTCTGATTGAAGTAACAGTAAAAAATATTTTTGTGGTTTTGTAATAATTAGTGTTGGTGCCTTTTAATTCGTTCGCAGTATGATGATTAAATATAGCGTTAATACTGGTAGTTCCTGGTAAACAATGTATAAATTTTAATAGTTCATGAAAAAGATGTGTCAGATAGGCATAGATATGTCGATTAACAGAACTTTCTTGGTGGCCATCTAGTTATTAGCATTACCCGGTGTCATCGAAATTTCTGTGCTTTCAGCATTGTTTTGGAAATCTGTTCGGCGCCTGTCTGTATTCACGAATATACTCCTGCAAATCTTTATCTACTGCGAAATGGAAGGCTACCATATTAAAAGTATTCCCAACTCGATCCCCGACACAAAAGATTGAAGGCTGTCAAGCGCCTTCCACTCGCTATCATTGCACATTGGACTGGCATGTGTCAGTTTCAGTTGCAGACTTGCAAGTAGCTCGCACTGACGGGAAATCCCGAGATTGTTCAGTGGCGTTTCATCGCAAGTTTTGTTCCAAATTGTGTGTAATGTGTAGATTAAGTAAGAAAAATAATTCGAGACATGATTGGATTTCAATATGACTATTCCACTCTTGCTTTTGGGAGCCAATCATAATCGACCATTTTCACAGTATCTACTGTATTACAGCGATATTTTTTGTTTACAAAAAATTATCTGACTTGCTCTACCAATACATGAGCCTAATCGATCCACACGTGACTAACCAACCTCGATACAAGTTTTGTCATTTGTAAAGTCAATTATAATATTCAATTTTAACGGCACGTATTTCTGTATCATCATTTATTGCGAAATTACTAGGCAACAAGCTGTCGTAACAATCACAGAATATTTCCGGCATAATAGTATCACTTGTGGTATTACATATGATCATTTCTCTCAACACATGGTAGCAAACATATTATTTGTTGTATGCAGCAGGTAATAAATTGATTCAGAAAATAATAACAATTTCATGATTTTATCAAGGCCAAATACTACTATTTCAATAAATGCTTTGCCACCTTCAACTTCAATTGCGAACTGTATTTGAAGCAAAAATTCACTTCGTCCCAAGACCTCATCGCGTTATCTTGTGATTATTGAACTAGTTCTGTCAAAGATTTTTCGGACTAATATTGCAAAGAAGTACTTTTCAGCCTAACAATCTTCCCGAAAAAATTATCTTCTGACAATTACATGAAAAGATGAACTCACCGAAATTTCAAATTGTAAATTGAGTGAATTTTCACTATGGTGCAATTAACAAAATATCTAGTTTTCCATAGCCAGATTCTGATTGTATTATACTACTGACGAAACCTACTATCTAGACCGCTATATGCTATATCCTTGCGACTCGAAAATCTCCATCCAAATTGTGCGCCTAATACTGCGCAGAATAATCCAGACTGTCATTTATGACACCGACTCATATCACTGGCTTTCGTGAGCATGAGTAAGAATAAGTGAGATATGACAGGCCCTGAATGAGCTGCTCCATGGAATTTAGTTCGATCTCGTAAATAGATAAGATTTTGTCTTATGCAATAGCAAGGGTTATGTCTGCGTTTTATGACAGTTGTACATATTCGTAATCAATTTTATTTGAAACGTAATGAAGTTTTGTGAAATAATAAAGACACATTGAGTGCTTCTTTAGTAATTTACTTGCAGTTCTTTCTCGGATCTTTAGCACAACAGAAGCCATTAACATGTGATATTTATCCGGGAAAAAAGTACTCACTTCTTCCCCGTGGGAAAAAAGTAATTTATGGAAAGTGGCATTTCATACCCTGTCATCAGAGATGAAATTTCGAACGTTTTTCCCGTCACAGAAAAAAAAAACTCGTGGGAGGTAAAATAAATTGGTTTCAGCATGCATTGAGTAGGAATTGACTGGATTCGTCTGGTCATGACTAGACTTCGCCCATTTGCCCTCGGTATTATTGTTTTTTTTTGTGAGGACAAATAAAGACAAATTATTATTATTATTATTATTCTTTGGCGTTGATATACTTATAAAATCTGTGCAATCCAAGTAATCAGTGTCTTTATCACTATCATAAACAAATAACAATAATATCCTTTTTGAATCCCAAAGATATCATGAGCTTCTTCATATTCCGAACTTACCTCTAATCAAAATTTTCAAATGCAGTTACACAATATACAAATCAACTAAATCAGGATGACGAAAGTGTCAAATTGATTTTCGTTCAAATGCCGTCAATTGTCCATGGCATACGTTTGTAATGCATAATGATTTGGATCGATTTGCCGTGTGTTGCCGTGGTAACTTAATTTAAAAACGCGCGTTTTTGAAAGTTGGATTAAAACACGCTGAGGCGTTCTTTAAATAAGCATAGCAGGGTGCCATTGAAAAATACAATGCCTTCCTCACCAAAAACATACAGCATACTTATTCAGTCAATACTTGTAATTCTTGGGGCGTTAATCTACACTCACCGGCAAAAAAACATATACGTATTAATAATCAATACGGATAATCTCTATCTGTTTCCATAGCGAAACATGAAGCCGATTTTTGAAGACAAATGACTATCCATAAGGAAAAGTTTTGAAACGATCAGACACATACTGCTTTGATTGAAAGGCTAGTAAACGTCATTGTCCACCGAAACGCATGTCTTTGATGACTACTATAATAGCGCATGGCGCATGCGTATCATGCCACCAAATCCTTATGGATATTCATTTGTTTCATATTTTTGGCTTCATCCTGGCACCCGTTATGATCCGTATTGTTTATTAATACGTATATGAAAAAAACCGGTCACCAAAAAGATCAGCCTAGCTCGCCCTGTAACATTTTTAAATTTTGTCCGAATTTGGTCAAATTTCGACCAAATTGTATATGTTTCAGAATGTTGGCCTGAATATTAGTACATAAGAGAAGCTAATGGCTTGATCATTATACAGGGAAAAACAAAAGTTACTCTTTCACCCTCAACTTCTTAACACCTTGTGGCAAAGGTGAGTGGTTAAACTTAGCTTCATCATGTTTTCGATTGTTGTGTGATCCCTTTTTAACACAATGGTTTTTGATTCACGTTGATCGCCACTTTTTGAGAGAAGATACAAGGGTTTCAAGAAAGTATGGATTTTTCAATTTTTATTAACAATAATTCAGAATCATTTTTCAACATTCTGCTTCATCATGTTTTTATTTGAAGTGAGACCATATTTCGTCCCATCTTAACACAATAGTTCTAGATTCAATTCAATAAGATACAAGTGCTTTGGAAAGTATGGAATTTTTAAATTAAATAGAGCATCTTGTCAGAGACTCTTCAAGAGCTATGATTCGCCCTTCAAGGAAAATCTAGGCAATTCTTTCGGCAATTCTTCATGAGTACTCGACAAATTTGATCATCTCGATGCCACGGCAGTTGAATGCTGTAATTCAAACTAGAGGAGGTCATACTCGTTATTGACTACAGGTCTGCTGTTTGTCTGTATATTGTAATTAAGGTTTTTTCCGGTAAGTGCTAACAAAATTAGATAGAAATAAGTGATATTAATTTCTTTATTTGTTAATAAATAATATGTAGGTTCTGATTATTGTTAATAAGAATTGAAAAATGCCATACTTAAAACACTCGTATCTTCTCTTAAAAATAAGATCATGACGTGAATCAAAAACTATTGTGTCCAGAAAAGATCACACTTCAATGCAGAACATGATGAAACCAAGTTCAACCACTCAATTTCGCCACTGGGTGCTAAGAAGTAAACGGCGACAGAGTAAATTTTCCCTGTATATGAAGAAGTTATCATCTTTTCACGGAAACTAATATTCCGGAACATGGATCTACTATTTGTTCAAAAAATTATTTCAGTAAAATATCTGCACTTTATAAGAAAGCACTGAAAGTATTGTATCGCCTCTCATTTGATATCCCAACAAATGATCTGTATGCCATAACAGAAAAATTTTCATTGGGTGAATTATATAAAATAGGTTCTCTTAATGTTTCATATAATATAAAAAACAATAATCTGAAATCCAATTTTATTTTGATAAGAAACTCAGAAATTCATGGTCATCACACGAGACAATCAAACTTATTTCATCTCGATTCTGCTACTTCTATAATTGGCCAAAGAAAATTTACTCACGCTGCTCTAGCTGAATTTAATAAATTACCACATAATATAAAAAATTGCAGACATATTTCAAAATTTAAAATTGAATTAAAAAAATACATGATTTCATTACGAAATAAATAAAATTTATACTTTGCCATCTATTGATTAGTCCCTGTGGCTATTTTTATGACTTGATCGATTTAGCATTTTTAGATTTTTTAGATATTATTGTTGTTGTTGTTGTCACCTTATATTATTTTATTATTGTTGTTTGTAATCAACTTCCTCATACCAGAATTTTATTTCTGACTGGAAGCTAGTTTTTCAATAAACAATAAACTATTTAATCGAAATTTCACAAAAATCGGACAAGTATTAAAAAAGATAAGGGGTGAACAATTTGGGCAAATTTTTTGGTTGCCGTTTTCTTTGTCGGTGAGTGCATGGTGACGTATGGCTGAAAATAAAGTGAAAATAGCTATGATAAGTTTGTTACTAACTTTGGTTTATTGTTCGAAGAGGAAAACCAGAATAAAAGCATAACCTCAATATGCATCAGTGTGGTATAATTCCACCGAAACGATCTACTATCTAGACTGCTATCCATATCTCGCCCGAAACCGCTTCTGCATCTGAGTTCTGCTCGAGGCGCAGAAGGATCCTTGACATCGACTTGTATCACTCAAGTGTTCGGAAACCTAAAAGTTGGTAAGATATATGACAAGTCCTGAATGCACATGATTCCTGTTCTCCAGTTCGATCTCGCTAATCGATTAACTATTCCTTTGGCATTAGCGGTCTAGATAGTAGGTCATCTCGATGTGTAATTCTCGGTAGAAAATGAATGCGTTATTGACTGACTCCCGAAATTCCTCGAACAATTCGTTAGGAAATCATCAATGATAATTCAGTTCTTATCTTTTTTATAGAAAATTGTAGTCAGTAATTTTGTTTGAAGCCGTAATCATCAATTATTTTATTGCAATATGTTTTGTCTCCAGCCATTATTTCATCTGAAATTTATGACAAAGATTAAAGTGATTAATCAGTTCACTACAGTCAGGAAATCCGTGAACGTCATTTTACTTCCAGTCAGTGTCGAATTTCTGAATATTGACCAATTTCTAAAATACCTCTATTATTGGTTTGGGAGATATACAGGTTGTTCATCGAATCGTTACATATAGATTGAGAAAGGATGTGAAGAACAATGCTCACCGTTAAGCAGTTCGCTGTTTTATGAATTTCAGTTTTGAATATTCCAACAGGAATAGCGAAGACGTGCGATAGTCGAATCTTGTTGCCATTCACATTCACTATATGTTACGATTCGATGAACAACCTGTAGACTTAATTTCACTTGACAGTTCCACACTCTATTCTGTACAGGTATTTTTCGTAGTAAAAACTGGTACATTATCAGGCGCAAATCACCAGAAACCATATTTTTGTCAAAATTTTATAATCATGGGTGATTATGTTGATTGTAGTGATTTAAGGTGGATTCATGCAAGCAAAATTTAAAACAAATGAATTTTAAACTTAAACCAATAATATAAAACTATGAAATGTAATGTAGGTGCTCATGCAAGAAACTAAAAAATTAAAACTAAGAAAGATGGCCAACATTCAACTAAGAAATTAATTTCTTCCATAATTCACGACAACGCATGCGCCAAATAATAACTAGCCGCGCTGGAAAAAGAATAAACAGCTGATGAAAGGTTATTGCATGAACACCCATATTTTTTTAATTTAAAATTCGTTTAAATCTTAAATTCATTATAATTTAGTTGATGTTGCATGAATCCACCTTCAGTTGTTATAAATAAGTTGAAAGTTATTGAATAAACTATTGGTTTTTCATTTGATGATTTTATTTACTTGTATATTTCATACATTTGATACTTATACAATGATACAATAATAATAAATATAAGGAGAAATAGTTTTCAACTAAATAAATTCAAAATTGCCTTATAAGGTCTACTCTTTCTTTGGTAGGTAATAATAGTAATACATATGGTTTTATACATTCATAGCATAGCGTAGTGGATGAATATCTTAGAAAAAAATCAACTATTCATAATAACTATAAAAATAAACTTATCAATTTTCAACAAGCATCTACAACAGATTGTGAAATTTGAAGTTTGAAGCATAGTACTAAAAAATATAATCAACTGAAAGTTGAAATTGTGTAACCATGCCTATGAAATTATGAGCTCTGCCAGTCAATAAGGCTTCAGACTCATATTTCTTATATTCCAAACAATAGTCTTGATGAATGAAATAGTCTTGGTTGTCGGATCACCATTGAATTTCGAACCAAAGTTGAACCCCCATTTCAGTTATCTACACACTGGTAAAATTAACCTTTTATTGTATAATTTGGTATATCTGATGTCCATAAGGAAAAGAAGGAAATTATAATATACAGGGTGTGAATATATGTGAAAAAAATTCATTGATTCCTTGATTTATTTTCGACCAAAAGTTTTTTTCATCTCTTGGAACGCACGAATAGGAATCCACATGTTTGAAGAACATTGTGCGTACTTAAGGACGATTGGGAGGGAAGGTAGGTATTGAATTTTTTTCATTGATTGGAGCTTATAAGTTCTTGTGAATGTTTCTTCTGACAAAGAATTCCAATCATGCTTCGTTTTTGAGATATAGGATGTTCAAGTTGGACATTTTGATTGTTATTTTTTTATGATCTCCCTGTATAAGCTTTCATGATGCCAAATTTCAGTTAATGAGAATATGAACTTGAAAAAACCAGTGGCGTACAATGATATTCACCATGAATATCAATAAGGTAACTTAATGCGACGCCACTGGAAATATTACTATGAATCTAATCATCTAAAATGTTCTATGTTACTGTACACGAATCCACCTAGTTGCATCATCAAAATTGAACGAAATATTTTTGATTAGTTATTGAGAACAACTATTTTTTATGAAAATATTGAACATTAGAAAGTAAGGATAAATTATTCATGTGCACTTTTTCCATGAAATATGACAGTTACTCTTTCACACCCTGTATACAGTAACTAAATTTTATTCATGACATTTTGCTTGATTATTTGGAATTTTCTCCTCGTTCTTATAAAATAAAAATATTGGTATTATTTCAATATACGGTAACGTCTAGTAGAACAAATCAGATAATTTGTCCCAAAATATCACTGCGTTAAAAAAAATGTTCTAGGCTCTCTGATAGAAACATTTTTCAAACGCAGTGACATTGTGGGGCAAATCGGATTCGTCCTACTGCACGTATATTGAAATACTCATAATTTCATTCAATAGAAACGAGGAGAAATCACAAATTAGCAAGCAAAATGAATGTAGTACCTCGTCAATTAACCTACTGACAGTATTCATTTATGACGCCTACTTCATTGCGTATAGTCTTGCTCAACTCACATCCTGTTATTTCTGCTATGTAGCCACAGTAAATAATTTTGGAATTCTTCGACAGTGGCACCAGTCTCAACCAAACTGCTAAATATTTTCGGCCAGTATTGACAGTTGATAAAATTGAATCTAGTATGTGATGAAAACAGAGATGAGAGAGGGCAGTGGGATTTCTTCCTTTGAAAGTTTTTCAACCACGTGGAGTGCAATTTCTTGAGTAAGCACGATGTTTCTCGAATATGATAGATTTCTTTTCGTGCGCTCCAAGAAATGAAAAAACTCGGGTGCATAAATATCAAGCTAAAGAGAGGATACTGTGACTACATAGGCACTTCTATAAGAGTGGACATTCAACTTCTAGCCTTCAAATGGGATCCTTGCAAGAGATTCTGCATAACATCTGCCATTAGTTCTCAGTAAAATTGGTACGATTGAATTTATTGAGCAGTACTGTTCGACAAATTTGTTCATTTTTCATGCAGTGGAAGATAAAACTTCAGAATGGTTGAAAAAAATCACAGTTCAGTTCCATACACTGCAATGTTTTTCCATTTCCACATCTTCAATATTAATAAGAAGAGCAGCAAATTAGTTGGAAACAAAATTATTACAATAATTTGAAACTACAATCCATGGAACAAGTAAGGTTAATGTTCGGGTTCACGTTTATACCACGTGATACCCAAGTTCTTGATTGGGGTTTTGGAGAACCTTAATGTGCGTAAATAGAGTGAAATCTATGAGACTAAGCAAGTTGGAAGTAGGCAGTCTCTCAAATTACAAAAAGACATTCTAGTTTGAAGCATGGTGTTAGTCAGTCCTCACTGAGGTCTTTCTGCCTCTGGGCAATGTGATGTTTAGAGAGAAAACTGATTCTACTTAGTTTTTATTTTCACAGTGATAATTTTCATACCAAAAGAATTTACCTCTAAAGAGGAGAATGGTGAAGAAACACCAACCATTTGACCAACTTATTGATTAGATCTAAAGAAGTGATGTAGATTAACAGTTGAAAACAGTTCTCAGCGGTTTTAACAGGCTTTAAATCCACTGAAAGTTGACAAAAATTTAACAAATATGCCACAGTATTTGTTGACATTTAGCTGCTTTTTATACCAATACAGATTCAATTAGTTTCAAGCTATCACTCATGATTCGGAATGAATAGTATCACGAAACAAGAAACATTTTATACTCAGTCAATTCCAAATAACGGCCATGGTACCTACTTAACGAGAGAAAAACGCCATCCATCATTATTCAATTGATTGAAAAATTATTTCACACAAAAAATTTAGAATATTTGTGTTTTTTATAAATTGATGTTTCCTCGGGAAAAATTTCTGCTGAAAATGAAAAACATTACATTAGCCTGCTCACTCAATGAAGATTAGTTATTTCATGACAAAATTATTGTACAAAATATTCGAGTAGTCACACTTCTTTAGAACTCATTTTATCAAAAATGTTCATTTAACTAATTAAGTAAACGAAATAAAGGATCTTAGAACAGACTGTTAGAAAATATCATTGTTAATCAGACTTTTCACTGAAAAAATGACATGTGTCAGTTGGATCAAAATCAAATGAAATAGGTAATAGGAAGATTGAAGGTAACACCCTGTACATCAACACTTACAGTGCTCAGTAATTAAGAAAACGTGTTCAAATCCATATATTCATAATCAATATTGCACTTTAGAAAATGAGGCCTTATGAGATAAACTTCAAACATGGTAGTTAAATATTGAATTGGTACATTTATTTTTCAATACACTTTAAATCTATAGTAGGTATATAATATTAAGCTTCTTCAACTTCTTCTAAAAACATTGAGATCGATCCCAAAAATTATGTATAGATAATATTAGATTTTATGGTTTTAACAAAGTTAAGTCTCTCTCATATCCACAATTCTTCAATTTATACTATCATTTATTTATTTAGTTCCTATCCACATTCTTAATCTTCCAAAATAATAATAATAAATTATAAATAAATAATTACATGCTAAAATGACTAGAATTCAAATTCTTTTATATTACATACAATAACACATAAGGTATGGAATCCGCCTGTGAAACGTCAAGATAATAAGCAAATTTCGGAGTCCATAATAATTTTTCGATTTTATCGGAACTACACTATTGATTATAATGATTATTGATGTTTTTCTAATCTTGATGTGAAAATGACATTGTATGCAGACACTTAAACCATTGACGGTATGACCCACTGTCAATTTTAAATTGGATCACAAGTAGGTACATACTGATGTTATCAATAAACCAGCACGGATTCCATAATAATTAAGTCTCATTTCAAATCAACAGTTATCTCTTTATATTCGTTAGCGGTTTGCAAGTTTCGTCTAGCCGATTTGGACCTTATTTGCCCGGCTAATAGCGGATTGATGGCGTACAGCCAGTCGTGCACTTCTTTTTCCTGCAGCGTTTGTAACAAATAACCTCTATGCTTACTCACTACGCTAAACGTGTTGGGGACTCGGACAGCGGACAACTGATCCTCCGAGTATTCTACTTGAGCAGTTGCTAGATTAATGAGAGCTCGCTCGACCGGGTCTTTCTCATCGCGAAATATGAATACGTAAGGACGACGTACGGCCTGAAAGAAAAGGAAACATTTATTTTCAACTGAGAATGTTTTATGTAATAACATCTTGTATATTCACTACCGGACAAAAGTTAAGCAACACTTTCGAAAAATGAAAGAAATCTCGATTTTATAATAGTGAATGCATGATATTGTATTTAAATACATCGTGTCTTAAATATCAAAGTTGGCTGCTGTTATCGACGGCAACAGCTTTTTCCAACAATCAAAAAAAATGAACTGATATTGACGTAAACTTTCAAATACAGAATTGTAATGCGTCAAAAGTAAAGCAAAATTTTAATATTTTAAAAAAAAACAAAGGTTTTAGTGAAAGGAAAAGTAAAAAAAAATTGCCGACTTTATTTTATGTTTAACTAATATTTCTGTGCTGGATTAATCATGCCAAGAGGTATTCCAAATGCGAAAGAATTGAAGCAGAGAGTAGTAAATGCGCACTTGGAAGGTGCAATACAAGCCACAATTTCAAGACGGTTTGTTTTACCCAGATACAGCGTATCCAAAATAATTTCAAGTTACCATGAAAGGGGACATTTTGAGATTCTACCTAAATCGGGAAGACCGAGAAAAACAACAATTTGGACAGACAGACGTATTAAAAGAATTTCTCAGAACGATCCTTGGTTGTCTGCACCTAGAATTATTGCTGAAATTCCCGGAATTATGGTTAGTCCACGAACAGTGCAAAGAAGGTTGGTAGACGCAAAGCTATTTAGTAGACGCCCCGCTAAAAAACCGCTTATTTCGGCCAGAAATAGTGTGGCTAGGCTTGAATTTGCACGTCGACATTTGAATTGGACAGTAGACGAGTGGAAAAAAGTTCTATTTAGCGATGAAACGCGTTATAAGATTTTCAATTCTGATGGAATGAAGCGTGTGAGACGGCCAATCAACACAAGGTTTAATCCCAAATACGTTACACCCACAGTTAAACATGGTTATGTTAGGTTAGGTTCCATGTGAGTGGGGCGAACACCTCCCCTCCACTGCGACCCCAGATGGGTCTATTGTGGCTCACCCCTAGAGGTTACAGTTCACCGTACAATCCACATCTTTTTACAAAGTTCATGGTTGAATTGGGTGAGATTTGTCTGAAATCGATAGGTTCTAGGTTGGTAAAGCCAAATGTGTCGAACCTTAGTCTTTCTAAGCTAGAGCATGAGCATAATATGTGTTCAGCCGTTTCGTCTTCCACACAACAGAATCGACAGTCCGTTTGTTGGTTCAGACCCATCCTTCCCAGGTGGTATCTTAGACGACAGTGTCCCGTAAGCAGTCCAGTCAGAATTCGCAGGTTACCCCTGCTCCATTCTAGGATCTGCCTGGTTATTTTTTCCGATGGTTTAGGCAGGAACGCCTTCGAATGGGTTAATCCTGGTAATTCGGACCAGTACGTGAGTGTTTTTCCCTCCGCCCAGCCCGAGATAGTTGTTTTCGCCGCACTTGCGGTGACCCCAAAATATGGTTCTGGTCCTATGAACACAGATTCGGTTCCCTGTTTGGCGAGGATGTCGGCTTTCTCGTTACCCTCCACCCCCTGGTGTCCAGGCACCCACAGCAAAGTGACTCTGTTGTTAGCACCCAGGCTTTTTAGGGATTCAATGCAGCTCCATACAAGCTTGGAATTTATCTTGCTGGAGCTCAGTGCTTTAAGAGCAGCCTGACTGTCTGATACAATACTGATATTTTTGTTTACTAGAGGTTTATTCGACAACTCTCTAGCACACAATTCAATTGCGAATACCTCCGCCTGAAAGATTGTAGCATATTTGCCGAGATTGACGGAAATTTCCGTCTTCGGTTTTCTGCTGAACACACCGGCTCCCACTCCACGAGGGGTTTTCGAACCATCTGTGTACATTACGTGTTCGGTCTCTGGGAATCGGACTGATCCGCTTGCCCATTCGTCTCTCTTCGGGAAGAGGACTTTGAAAGACTTTTTCACGTGTGTCTGAGTGGCCAACATGTCGGAAACCATTCCTAGAGTTTGGTGATTTTTTGTTTCACACAGTATCCCGGAGTGGTCCAGCAGTCGCCCCCCTCTGATTTGATTTTCCAATGACAGGAATCTGTAGGAAACCATCCTGGCTTCCCTCTCCAAGACAATGTGGAGGGGAGTGAGGTTCAGGTTTTCCATCGCTGCCGTTGGAGTAGAGGACATCGCCCCTGTAATGGCCAGGCACGCCAGCCGCTGGAGACCAGCAAGCTTTGCCCTGGCTGTTCCCTGCAGACCTTTGGTCCACCAGACTACCGAGCCATACGTGACCATTGGTTTTACCATTGTTTGGTAAATCCAGTAAATCTGTTTGGGGTTCATTCCCCATGATTTGCCGCATACCCTTCTGAGGTTCCAGAGGGAAAATCTGGCTTTGTTAATAGTTTTTGCCATATGGGCGTTCCAGGTGAGTCTTTTATCTAGGGTGACCCCTAGATATTTCACCTCCGTCGCAAACGGAATGCTCTCTCCATATAGGACAGGCTGACGAAGCTTATCTAGCTTTTGCCTTTTGGTAAAAGGGATAATTACAGTTTTCCGGGGGTTCACAGACATCTGCTCCCTCTCGCTCCACCTGTACACAGTATTGAGGGCTTCTTGTAGGCCGTTTGAGATCGTCGCTTCAAATTTCCCTCTTACTATTAGGACGAGATCATCTGCATAGCATTGGAAATCCACCCCCTGCATGGAGAGATCGCTCAGCAGAGAGTCAACCAAAAATGACCACATAAGGGGGGAAAGTACCCCGCCCTGTGGACAACCTTTTGCCGCTCTAAACCTGATCGACCCTCCATGCAGTGATGATATGACGTACCGATTTCCAATCATGGTTTTGATCCAGTTGCATATTTGCCTGCTGATTCCTCTACCTTGCATTGCCATGTAGAGTGATTGTGGTAGGGCGTTATTGAACGCTCCTTCTATGTCTAGGAAGGCTGCCAGCGCAATTTCCTTATGATCTAAACATGGTAAAGGCAGTGTTTTTCTATGGGGTTGTTTCTCATGGAATGGGGTAGGCCCTTTAAGCTTTATTAATGACACCATGGATCGATTTGTCTATAGAGATATAATGCAAAATGTAATGTTGCCTTATGCAGAGTGGGAAATGCCGTTGGGTTTTATTTTCCAACAGGATAACGATCCAAAACTCTCTTCACGAATTGTTCCAAGAGTGGAAAATAATGTTCGGGTTTTGCAGTGGCCGGCACAATCCCCAGAATTCGTACACAAATATTTCCAAATAAACAATCATTGGTAAACAAAATCAATGAAGTTTGGACAAATTTTCCCGAAAATACTTTTCAAAAATTAATTGATTCAATGCCGCGACGTTGTCGGCAAGTAATAAATAATAATGGATATTCTATTAACTATTAATATAATACTTCTGGCTATTGTAATTATTAAATGTGTTCAATGTTCTTTCATCGTAATATCTAGAATAAAATACTGTTGACACAATTTGTTGCTTTACTTATGTCGCACTGCATTTCGTCGATTTGGATAATTATAAGTATTTCTCTACCTTTATTTTGTTTAAAGTGTACCAAAATATTGTGAAATATTACTGATATTGTGGGGATCATATTTCATTAAAATTAGCCGGGGATCACAATCATATAAATAAATCTTCAGATTCAAAGAAATAACGGCACTTTGTTGCTCTACTTTTGTCCAATAGTGTATATTTTGTTTTGAGGTTTTTCCATGACGACAAATAACTTTGAGAGAATAATTAATAAAATATTGTTATAAGAAGATCACCTTCTTTAATATAATTGTGATATTCATTACAAAATGGCGCAGTCGAAGCAAGAATTTATGCAGATAAATTATGGAAATAATTCTGGAAGTGCTGGAGATAATCATTCCAACAAGGATTGCATAAGTATTGGAAAAGATGAATTAGATAAGATGATGTCAAAATGGTTGACGCTCATGTCAAAAATAATCAAATTATGAAAATAGAATCATTTAATGCAATCGATGATGAAGATATACATGCTTGGATCAAATCATTTGAATTCATAGCTCAATCAAACCAATGGAAATCGGATGCTGAAAAAGTATTTAACGTGCGATTTCATTCGAATGGAGTGGCTTTGAGCTGGTATGAGAGCACATTGGAATGTGGACCTGATGATTTCAATTGGCATGAGTGGAAGCAAAATTTGATTGAAACTTCCGATCAAACCAAAATTTATAAATGGGAGAGAGCACTTAACTTCAGATACAGAAACGGTTCACTCCTAGAATATTTCTATAGGAAATTGAAGTTGATCAAAAAATTAAGACGTTACCAACGATCAATTGTTATTTAAAATGTTGTTCGTTGGACGCCGACAATTGAATCTCATGATTGTCGATATACACTTCTCCCAGAAATTAAAGAACCACCAAAAAATGCGCAAAAGTTTAAGGTAGATTTTTGTAAAAGATACTTGTCCGATTTGGACGTTGTTGATTTTGAATGACAGGTTATCTCCTTCTGAATAATGGTGTGCAATTTGTATACGCATAAAAACCTCTTTTTTATGAATACCGGGTAGCGTGTTTTTTTCATAAAGTTTGTAATACCCTGTAGAGTGCAACAGTTACATTATCAAGTTAGAATTGTAATTACACTTCAGTCTCATCTTTTTTCAACATTTCGTTGTTGGATTTACTCCATTACCTTTCCTATTACTCCAGAAACACCAATTCAAAGCATAACATATGATTATATGGAAAATTAACATCCAAATCTAACAACGAAAAACCGAAACATAATGCAAAGAAACAAATTGAACAATAGTGTTAGTAGCGAGTATTTCCGCCTCTGGCACGAAAAACTTCTTGGTAACGACGGCTCATACTTAAAATAAGAGACCTTATGTCATTTTGGTGAAGGTCTTCCCATATTTGAATCAACATGTGGTTCTAAAATCTCCGATATGTACATTTTAGTTGTAAGGCTTCCATTTACGATCACAAGTTTCGTGCGACCAGTCGAAGAAATACCGCTCCAGACCATCAAAGATCCTCCACCAAATAATGTGGTATGTGAGAAATTACACTGAGAATACCGTTGGTTAGGGCGTCGATATACACAAGCTGTGCTCATACATTGTTAAACAAACAAAATCGGGACTCATCCGCACATAAAACATGTTGCCATTCAGCCAGTTACGATGTTCACTGGCAAAATTTAGTCTCGCTCTCCGATGAACTCTACTTGAAGCTGGACCTCGAGCAGCAATTCTAGGCCTCAAATTATGTTCAATTAGTCGCTGATGAACAGTTTCTGTACAAACTTATAAATGATCAGTTTTTTTGAGATGGGTTTAAAGTGTCCGAGCTGTTACAAAACGTTGTCTTAATGCAGAACGTCTTGAAAATCGATCCTGAATCGAAGTTGTTATTCGAGTCCTCCCCTGGCCTGGCCTGCGACTATTATTTCCAGTCTCTCTACCTATCCAGATAATATAGTTCACGAACGTATTAGGTTACGACCTAAGTTGCAAGGACATAACTTAGACATAACCTATCTTTTGAAAAAAAAAATCACAGTACTGAGAACACCACTTTGAATTTGAAAAACAAAGGAATACAGAACGAGGAAATCCTAGGTGGATGCGAAATATGTGGATTCTCAAGAATGTCTCGAATAGTGCTCCTCTCTAAGAGAAAATGACACTGGAAATCTGTAAATTCATTTTTTTATGATGAATTTGTGACACAATTATGTAAACTGTTCATTTTACTTGTAGTGGAGTAGTGTAAAATCACATCTTCATAATTCTCAATACAAACACGTCTTCGTTTAGGAGAGTATTTATTACACCAGAAGACAACATCAAATGTGATATTTCCTCCTCCATCTCATCGTCATCACCATCAAAACAATTGTCGAAGGTTAATGCTGTTAGTGTTTGGAAGATAGGACTATTATTTTTTTTCAGCTCGAACAATACACAAATAAAATCACAGTTTAATGTTAATGGTTTAATCAAATAAGGTAAACAAAACAACATAACCAAATTTTCTTATTTGGTAATGCGCATGCGGTGCCATTGTAGACTCTCATGAACCCTGCTTTCCAGTAGGGTTACTGTAGACAAACCCGAGTTAATGATCGAATAGCCAACACTGAGGTTTACGAGCACGGGTAGGCAACTCGGGTTAGGTTAACGAACGTGCAGGTTGAGGATCGAGTCAACCAATATCAACCCGAGTAGGTTTCCGAAAAGGCCTTATGTCTTTGTATGACACTTGAAACGGTTGTGTGACTTGAAATCGTTTACCAATTCTTCGGTAAGTCCAACCTTCCTCAAACAATATTAATGTTTCAGCACTTTCTTCCCGGGTGAGATTGCACGTTTCTCGTTGCATATTCGTCGATCAAACAATTCGCAGCACAAGAACTAACACTGACAATATGCATTTGTATTTGACAATTACTGGTACTCCATATTTTTCCATAGCCTGCTACCGATGTGCTCATAATGCTAGTTAAATCCAATAAAATCATGTTATGCGTAATAGGAAAGATAATTGAGCAAATCCATGAATAAATGTTGAAAAAAGATGAGGCTAAAGTGTAATTATAATTCTAACTTGATAATGTTACTGTTGCACTCTACAGGCTATTAAAAACTTTATGAAAAAAACACGCTACAATTGCTACACCCGATATTCATAGAAAAGAGGTTTTTATACGAATACAAATTGCACACTTTCAGAAGGAGATAATCTGTCATTCAAAATCAGAAACGTCCAAATCGGACAAGTAGTTTTGACAAAAATCTACCTTAAACTCCTGGGTATTCTTCGGTGGTACGTTTATTTTTGGGAGAAGTGTACATGTTGTCACTTGGAGTGCCAGTGACTACTTTTGATGAATGTAATTGGCGCAGTGGAGATTATCAAATGTTTTCATGTTTCCGTTTCCACACTATACACATCAACTCGCACATTGATTTAAATCTACTAAAGCACCTATACAGGGTGTCCGCTAAAAGGAGGTCAATCCATTAACCATATATTCCTTGAACAAAAACAATATGAGTTTCTAAATGCCATATTTCATTTTAGCCCTTCATATTCGATATACAGGGTGTCAAAGTTGAAATTGAAAAACTGTTTTTTTCTAATTACTCGCGTATTTAATAAGATATCGATCTCAAAATTGGTACATGACTTTAGCACAAAGAGTTAAATCGTGTGAGGAAAACAAAACAGTAAATAACTGTCAAATATTCGAAATACTGGGGGTCAAGTACACACTTATCCCAATATTTTTTTTGTACGTGCGCTAAAGACTTCCTATCTATTTTTCTTCAACTGATCAATCATTCTTGAGTATTTTTTGTGTCTTGTGAAATTTCTATAAAATTATTTGTTTTTAAGATAATTCGAAAAGTACTGGTTATTGTTTGCCTATGCGGCTTACGGTAATCTCATAATGTTCACATACTCCTATTTATTTCGTCGAAATTGGAAGAGGGCGTAACTTTTTTCGTACGAAAAGGTGAATATGGAAATACCGGGTGCTCAGAGCCCTAGTGAGCTGGAGTATCTGGTCTGCCCAAACAAAGGGTTCTGTGGCCGATACAGTGGTACCGCCATACGGTCAACTCGAGGAAACACTCATTTCAATTGTTTTCCTGTCAAACCTACATAACCTTGAAAATCGTAAATGAGTTGAGCCTTCCTCAGCGGTGCTCTCGGCAGTCTCGGCCGGCGGCGTAGTTCGTTAAGTGAGTTTGAGTTCAGTCACGACATTCACGGGTCACGGTCACTCAGTCACTCAACAATTAAAAAATAGTTCATGCAGATAATGGGGATATGACAGATACGTAGAGACCGAGCCCCCTTACTGGCATACTGGCCCTTACAGCCCCTGACGAAATACGGAAATAATTTTATAACTCTCAACACCTAAAGTAAATGAGAGGTAGAATCAGAAGTATCGATTATTAGCATTTGATCAGGGCTCTGATTTTCTTACTTGTAATGATCCTGTAACACTCAATATCGAATGTATCCATTTACGTCGCAAAGAAATATCACTTGGAAATCCATGAATGGAGATGATTTTACAATTTCTGGTAGGAGCAATTAGAGGAGAAAGAGTTTGTTACACATTGATAATCAGAATAAACTACTATAATACTGGGAGCACAACACAAAACTATATCTATAACCGAAAGGAATATTAGAACAATGAGAATTGAAAAAGAATGATATTTCAGAAAAAAAAAATACTTAACAAGTCACGATGGCCTGACAGCTCTTGACACTGACAACTAGTGACAACCTACATAACCACAAATTTCGAAAATTTTCTAGAAAAAGGGAAGATCATTTCGTACGATACGGTAACATCCTCTAGTGGTCATACAGTCAACTGAGCTATAGGGAAAACCAGGGAGTAAATGTCAATATTTGGAGTAAATATGTCAATATTTACTTACCACCCATCGTTTCTTCCATCCGTGCGTCTTATGCTCCAACACATTCAGATACCCCTTCCTGGCAACCACCGGCGAGATCCTGATCTCCTCCATATCGGGCACGTAGAGCACCAGCTCGGGGTCCCTCGGCCCCGGCAGCGGACTGGGACCCGGCGGAAAGGGGGCGCACTCGCCGTGCATGGGGGCCCGCTCGGGCGAGCACAGCTCGATGGAGTTGGTCGACATGATGCTCGACAACATGCTCGCGCTCATTTCGGTCACCTCTTCCGAGGGGCTGGCGACGATATCGGCGTCCTTGTTGTTGGTCGGGAAGTCTCGGTGTCTGCCTTGGATCAGGCGGACGCATTTGAGGAGGAGGTCCGTTTCGTGTTCGGTGTATTCGAATGCATCATTGTTCGCTGGAAAATCAGGTTCACTAATAGTCAGACAGCGGCTCATAAGGCATTAAGGTACATGTAAAGCGACAAATTTCGCGTTTCTGATCTGTCAGATGTCGCTAGTGCTCCAGGTGTTACTTGATGTATGCAACCATAATTGCCCTACTTTTGTGTTTCATAGGGTAAAAATTTTGCAGAACCCTTCCGAAATATGCAGATTCCTTCGTTGTCTCTGTAAAATACATACCATTGTTGCCATAGCTGGTAATAGGTCTTAGACGATATTTTTTTGCAAATTGCATGGTATATACTGATATTGCGCGACATTATAATTATCTGATCTTTATTGTCTCCGGTGGGTGAAGGAGTAGAATTGAATTTTATATTAGCATCTATGAGAATATACATGTATATTTCGTGAGGATCCGATGCAAATAAAAAAGGCGACACATAAACACACAATAAATATAATAACAATTTCTATACATAGTGAGACGATGTGTTGTCGGAGCGCGAACGCATAGATGAAAAGATCAGCAATCGCCTTCAAGGTCATTTTCTCGGGCGCAAGGCGGCTAGGTGGAAGCTCTTTGACTTTGAGGTTCGAAGCGATGCGCTAATGAGCGTCGGCCGCCTCTTCTGTTTCGGGTATCGGGTATTTTTAGGAGATTTTACGAGGGTTAATTATTATTATGAATCGTTCATATTTCAGTGATAACGTTCGCTACAGGGGTGAATGGAGAAACACTAGTGTGGCTCATATACTATTATTTGTTTGTATATGAATGGAATATATGGAATTGGTATGGAATGATATAATGATAATGATATTTATAATATACACGGTGGTCCAAAATTGCCTTCCGATGTATTTCTGGGGGAATACATTCTTGATGACATTATTGTAATTTTTCAAACTTTAGGCGCGTTCAGCACTTTGTTGGGTGAGGAAAAACAAAAAACATTGAATTTCCGTCCCGATCCGTCCGTCCGAACCCGTTCCGACCTGTCGCCGAAGTCACGACTGAACGATCGAATGAACATCAAAAAATCCGAAGAGTATCTTATTCCATCCTTGATTATACACTAGTGTATTTTGTAATAATTATGATCAGATTCCATTCAAAACTGGTATAGGTATCTAGGGGTTTTCGGGGATCGACGGAGATTATGATTTTTCTGTCAGAATTTGAGAATACAAGATGGCGGAGCCAATATGGCAGACGAGTTTTGTAATTATGGTCCGACTGTATTCATAATTGGTATCTGGGGGTTTTCGAGGTCGGAGATTATGATTGTGTCATCAAAATTTGGAAATTCAAGATGGTGGAACCAATATGGCTGACGAGTTTTGTAATTAAGATCCAATTCAAGAATATTGTATATCTGAGGTTTTCTGGATCAGAAATCATGATTTTACCATCAAAATTCGGAAATTTATGATGGCGGATCCAATGTGACACACGAGTTTTGTAATTATGATCCGATTCTATTCAAACCTTATATCAGGGGATTTTCGGCATCGGAAATTATGATTCCTTAGTCAAAATAATGAAATTCAAGATGGCGGATTCAATATGGCAGATGAATTTTGTAATTATGATATATTCAAAATTTGTATCTGAGGGTTTTTTGTACAAAATATGATGTCGAAATTGAAACAGTTTTACTTGAATCATTACGCAGTAGAGCTAGTCGATAGTTTATAGACATGAAAGGAATACTTAGGTATGCCAATTCCATACAACTCCATCCCGAGAAATGTAAAGAAGCACACATAAGTAATTTTCTAAGAACTCATATGTCTTTGAATCAAAATCCTATCCTTTTACCAAACTATGTATGTTTATGTTCGGTGGTAACGGGCATAAAAATAATCATAATGAGGCTTCAGAAGATGAGTCATTCTGAATGACTCATTCACTTCATGATATTCGACTTACTTTCGCGAAAAGTCATAAATCAGCCCTGAAAATTACATAGGTATATAGCTGAATTCCTGATTACATTACTCAGCCAACGAGGTGTAACAAGATGATTCTATATAGCCTGTTCCACTTCAAACGGTTTCTCCTTTATATATCAGCTATTAGTCTTACGATTTTTACCAAATTTGGACCGGTATGAATAACTATACTGAATAACCATCAATATGATCAATTTTTTTAAGACAATCATCATTTTGGACAGTGCCGTGTATTTTTATTGAAATGAAAATATCAATAGAGAAAGAAACCCAAAGTCGTCTCCACAATATTTAATTTATAATCTAGCAGTCAATCCTGCTTCATTGGTAGATACATGTTTCGGCCATTCAAATGGCCATCTTCAGTCAAAAGAATACAACAAAGTGCATGTGGAAATACTTCAATGCATCATGAAGGCGAAAAAATTATTTTGTTATTACTAAATCATTATTTATTATTTAAATTTGATAAAATGGATGTATGAGGAATTGGGAGGAAGGCAAAAAGCCCAATCCCCCAAAAGGAAAGTTGAATACTTCATAGGACGCTGAAGAATATTTTCATATAATTTCTATAAAAGGTTTCAAAGGAACAGGCAGATCTAAACATATACAGACTGTTTTTGGTTTTTGAACGCGTGAATAATTATTTACTCGGAAACAGAGAGTATACAAAAATGAAAGTATATCCTGGTTTTTTGTCTCAAATCATCATTGAACGTTTCAGAATTTGCAGTTGATTCAAACTCAGTATTTTTCGAGGCAGAAAACATTGAGGAGCAATACTATGAAGTCAGTTTACCTGCAAAAAATCCTAATATAATTTCATAAAATATCAACCTCTTTTCATTTCCATTGAAAGGTTCAAATGTCCAAAAGGATGTTCATCTCTGAAAAACTGATCATATTGATGATTATTGATACCGATCAGAATTTGGTGAAAATCGCAAGACTATAATAGTTGAGTTATATACCTATAGAATAGAGGAGGGGTCTGGTTTAATAAAGATCCTGTTCTTGATGAGAATCGCCTTATTTCGGAAATATTTATATCATCACTATTATATATCATTGGTGATTTAAGTGGAAATATTTCCATTGGAAATATTGCCATGGAAATGGAAATATAGGAAATTCCCGAGAGTGTCTTGGGGCTATTGCACATATTGGAAATATCCAAACCTTTTCAAATCCGATGTTCATTATGATATATCATTCATATTCAGCACTAAAAACTCACTATAGAAAAAACACATATACCCACATCTCGAAATTAGCCTGTCGAACTTCATCACCGGCTTCTACGACCAAAAATAGGAAGAAAAGTTCAGATGAAAAAAATGTCTCTTATATGAGGGAGCTACAGCCCCCTGGAAGGGGGGTCCTAAATATGATATTTCTTGAATATTTCCGAAACGCCATGTGATATAATAATGCAATTCGGTACAAGAACTAAACTTTCCATCGAGCTTTGCATGCCCAATGCAGTGAAAATATACCATTCCAAGATTTGCTCTTGTTCCGAATCAATCAGAGATGTATCATTTTCGAGGAAAATCGATCAGAAAATATTGTACCTTCTCAATACATATTCCATATTCGTTTTATTGTCAATTTTTAGTGTTTTATATAATTTTATAAAAATTGTATATCGCTACTTCGATGGGAATCAACACCCCAGAAGTCGAAACTTGTGCGGGGTTATGGTGAGCGAGACCTACGTGGAATTCAAACCACTTCTAGGAAATCGAGGTGCTGCTAGGCTTAAAACCAGAAATTACATATTTTTGAGAAAAATGCTCAACCAAATGCTCATTGTGAATAATCACATCAAGGGAGCATACATAATGTCCATCATCAGCCTAATAAGAAATTACATAGTCCTATATACAATGAGAAAAATTAATTAAGTAACAAGAGGAATCCTTACCATAGAGATAGCTTACATGAAGATGGAAAATTTTTTATAATAACCGTAGAGAATTGAAAAACATGAAAGTTAAATGGTTAGTTGTTTTCTAGAGGAATAACCATGAAAACCTCCATAGATGGGCATTATGGTGGATAATAAAAATCTGAAGAGGCCCCTAACATTTGGGGCACTTCCATGAGCAAGTTGATGACACAATGAAGATGAAGATATATATATTTCTATCGTCAACAAAAAAGTTATTATTTCGGATGAAATTTTCACTTCCCGGTACATGAAGTGCATGATGCATGTCCGAAAAACCAAACTTCTAATTCGAAAGGCATTTTCTTTATTAATAAAAAATTTCATATGCGAAGCATTCATTGTTCATCACAATAATCAACTGAATTGACTTAATCTTCATATGAATATGAAATAATTCAACACGACCCATCCCCTCCTTCATTAGGCCCGCGAATGTATTCAATATTCACCAAGTCAAAAAGGGAAAATGTGTCCATAGACGATTTTCTGAAGGATTTGCTAGAAACAATCAGCATTTATCGGTTGTTTTTGTCTAGGCGTATTGGCAACGCTGTACGACAAATATTATGATGGTCAGACATTTTATGCGATACTCGTGGACAGTAGCGAAACTACTTTAGATTATGACTATTACCAGCAGAGGCAGCACCTGCTGGAGCGATTAATCTATTTGAGAGGAATTTGGTAAGGGGTTTTGAAAACCCTATTTTAAAATCGAATAAATCATTGTTTATGACTGAAATAGGATTCAAGTAATCCGTATTCGTTACATCTTACATGAATAATCAAAATATATCATATTTTTCGAATAATATAGATTTTACAGCAACTTTCAATGATTAATTCACTATTGTAGGAAAACTGTAAGTTCAAAAATTTTCAAAAAAATCAGGCATATTTTAATTCTTTGTTAAAAACTGCTGTGAGATTTTGACAAAAATTCATCGAACAGTTTTTGTGAAAACTAAAAAAAACCTATAAAAAAAGGAGTTTTAATTTTTTTTCTCAAAATTCGTTCGATAGATTTTCATCAAAATCTCACAGGAGTATTCAATTAAAAACCTTGATATACCAGATTTTTTTCAAAATTTTTGAACTTGCCGTTTTTTTTCACGTGGGTTTACATGAACCTTAAGAACATTGTGTTTTTTCGTAATCCTATACTGTTATTTTGATGAAATGGTATTCAGATGACAATTGAAAAGTTAATGTTAACAAATTCCGTCCGTTAAGATTATTCAACGGCCGGCGGTGGTTAACTGATCCGTAACAACACGATGTTGCAATTTTTTGGTGAATAACGAGGTACGTGGTTTGTTCTTTCTTGGAATCAAAATGTAATCTTTCAGTGAAATTTTGAAAAGTCTTGAATGACACACGGCCGATATACGCAAATAACAGATGCGGTTGTTATAATCCTCGGCGATCATCCGTTTTTTGCTACATATCGACCTTGTAAAGTTGATAAAAATATCGAACGGCACCTGTGCCTATCACTATTCATAGCAAAATGATTGAAAACTGGCACTTTCCTGTGCGGTAATTTGAGCTACAATACAATTTTTCTACATGCTTTAGGAACATATAACTTATCCTTATCAGGTAACGGTCGAAATATGCACCCAGCTTTCCTACAATAATAGAAAGTTGTATTTCAATATTGAATTTCGAATTGCATGACTCGACCGAAACATAATGAAAATCCATATCAATTGTGAAAGCTCGTCTAAGGGTATCATTTCCACAAACTTCTCAAATACATGACGTGTTTCGATAGCACAGTTGCTATTACGAGTGCAATATTTATACAATAAACTTACCTAATCTTGACTTTCCTTTCTTATAAAAACTTCATAAACCTAAAATATGGTAGTTATCTTCATTTCACTAACGGGCTCAATATCATGAAATCGATTACACCAAACGAAGGATAAAACGTTGATTTGATAAAAAATATCCTTGCTGAGTAACAGTGCAATAAAGCAATTCAAGAATATTTTTCCACCATCAAAAAACACCAATTAAAATTAAAGGACATCTACCTATTTTGTTCCATCAACATGACTTTTGAGAGTTGCTTTTAGAACAAATAAGACGTCATGAAGGTTTATCAAAAAAAATCAGGAAACTCTCTCTGAACATTCTACTTTGAATTGTTTGTAATGAGGAAAAGTCAATTGACTCAAGTTCAACTACGTCACTAGTACAAACACATATTGAATCAATATTGGGTGTTTCAGAGTTTTATTCCCTCGTATAAATAATACTTAATTATCTACAGTGACAAATGGAATGTGAGCGTTTACAATGAAAGTTTTTTTTTCTTCGTGTTATATACTCGATTCATCAATGATTGTTATGGGGAGTATCCGAGGTGTTTTACAGGTGAATTGCGGTACTAAAGCAAAGCAATTTCAATACTTTCATCTTCTTTTAATTTCTCAGGAAGACCAATTGATCGTGGGTAATACAGTCGTCTAGTGATGATTTCGAAATTTCATGAGTTTTCAAATTCTTTGAATTCAAAACTATCAAACGGTACATTATCACATGATATAGAATCTGGGAAACCAAATACAGAAAAAAACTTTGAACACTGATTGACAAACGCTTTTGTAGACTTATTTTTCTTGTGATAGAGTTCTTACCAGTTTGAGGAGTCGGAAATTACTAGATTACTTTCCTGCATACATGTAAATATCAATGCTAAGGCGTTCGCATGGACGCTCAGGTCAGGTAATGGGTATAACAATGATTCTTTCTGTTGTTTATGAGCATGTATTAGAGTTTCATTCATTTGTTTTTAGTAAATATAAATAAATAACACCCAAATATTTTCAATGCTAATTAGAATGTAAGCGTTTTCGAGTATCTGCTCATAGAAACCGTTCATTTTCTTAAATTCTCGTAAGACATTGAAACCTGGATTAAGAGATCCTAATCATGGAACGTTGTTTACAGGCGACTGAATTTAAGATCGCAGCGTCGTGGCCAGTTGTGAAAATATATTTTAAAAAAAATGGTTTGAAATGGTTCGCATTTGCTTGTGTATATTATTTCGATTTTTAGATAGTGATTTAAGCAAAGAGAACTATTTATTTCTGTACTCTTGTGATTCGAGGAAACTTTTCAGCAGATATTCGTTCAATAAAGTATGTTTCACTACTTCAAATACATAAGATTCGCAAAATAAAATGCCCCAATTTGAGGTTACAGTTTGCATTTCGTTCCCATTCAGTAGTAAAATAAATATTGCAAATTGAGTGGAGTGAATATAATGTTCACATAGTAGGTATTTGATATGTAAATATTGTAGTCGATTCATCTACTTACATGTGTTTATGAAAGAGAAAAAGTCCTCAAAACTGTATCTGCGAATAATTGATCTACCCAGTAGAAAAGGATTAACATAATATGCAACTGAATTCAATCTCGAAGTGAGAGAACATTTTTCAATTATGCACTGATTAAAATTATCATTTTCTGTGGAATACAGTGAGAAAACTTTCATGAATCAGAATTCAAACTCGAGAAATATCACAATGGCCACTATAATGTGGAATTTAAACAAACCATCAATGTACTTTCCGTTAGTAACTTGAATATCTGCAAGAGGGCGTATCGCTCATTTTGAATCGCCTATATTCATACAAATCATATATAAGGCGAAAATCTACAAGATACATTTTTCCACATATGTTTTTTTTTATCCCGAATGGAGCTATTTATAGTGCAGGAATTCACATAATGAACAAAACTTTCAATTCTAATTCGACGAACTTTTATACCAATCAGAACGACTATGGCAATGTGTGTAATCCTGAAAAAAATATCATCGAAAAAGCGAAACCTATTATTGGCCTCCACAGCATACTTCCTACAGTATCACTTTTCTATGAAATCAGTTGATGCCAAATTAAAGAGTATATGGTAAGCGGATTTGAACCCAGTACCTCCAAAACGCATGCTAACATCTACAAATACGTTGTACAGAACATGATTGTGATACCTGAAAATTCGTCTGTGTGGAAACTCCTGGTCATGTGAATTATTTTTTATTGAAGAACACAACAGAATGAACTGACCTTCAATCATGCCTACAAGCAAATATTATGTCAATAAATTCCACCTCAAGGAAAGCAGATATCTGTGTATTGGCCCATTTGACAGAATGAGGTCATAGTACAAGGGACATCAAGAGAGGTGTAAGGATTTCGAACATTTTTTTACAATTTTATAATGTAACTGTGCCCCGGAACATGAAACGTCTCAATGGCCTCTTTTGTATACCTAATTCAAAGATATGTAGATGCAGCACTCACCTCCAGCGGTGTTGCCGATACTACTTATAGGTAAGACATAGAAGAAGCGGAGATTGAAATGAGTGCCATTTGTCGCGTTTCGTATTATATTGTTTCTATCTTCGCTTTCGTACTTATGGTTTCGAAAAAAGTTCGAAATGAATGGTTAATTCGTAACCAATTAGTGTTCCTTTAAGTTGAATAAATCAGTGCATAAATACTTGGTGTCAGAAGTGGTATATTCCGGTGTAAAGTGAACAGACTGTACCAATGTAGAAAAACTCACCTATGACATTGATGTTATTGTTCTTGGCAACCATATTGCACACATCTTTTTCTGTCTTGGTATATTCGAGGCGATACTTATTGTAATTGAGGGCTCTATCTAGGCCAAGACGATCTCTGAGCAGTAGAGTATGCCTGACTCTCTCAACCTCCTCCAAACGAGTTAACTTTTCTAGCTCCCACTGATGATCGAATATGAGAGAATCGCCTCTTGGTCTCCAACCGTGTAGGTTTTCCTCTCCCCGAACGTAAGTCGAACTTGTGTCCAAGACACGTCGCTGTCGCCTTTGAACACCTGAAATTGAATTAAAATAAAATATTCCGATGGGGTAGGGAAAGGCTGAATCAATTAGAGCTAACATGTTATGATTGTCCAGCAGATCGGGCTACTGAAACGGGAGGTGAACTTCTTTCGTGTCATTATAAAGATTGTTCTCTGTTAAACATAGAAGTTACACCTGATATTTCACATTGGAAGTAAAAAGTCAAGCCTGAGAAATCATGACCTTAACTTAAGTTTTTGTATTTGTTCACATCACAGGATAGAGAGAGAGAGAAATAAAAGAAGAAATTGCATATAAAAAAGATATACAATGTACAATCAGCCAGTTTACGGAAACAAAAAGACAATGACATACTATATGGAATTATAGAATGATGGTTAAATTCAAGATACATTGAAAATACTACTATTATAAAATGCATGACAAGTTGAATATCATTAAATACTGTCTGTAGGTTAATCGAGGAGGTGGTATATTCATTATTCCAATTTTTTTGGGATTTTCTCTCCTCGTTTCTATAAAATAAAAATATGAATATTATTTCAATATACGTGTAGTAAGGACAAATCAGATGATTTGCCCCAAAATGTCACTGCCTGAAGTGTCTTACAATGTTTGATTATGCATTCATTGGATTCATTATGTAACTAATATTATCAAAGCATTTAGTTTCAATATGTGCAGTGAGAACGGTTGATGAATATTTGATTTTTCTCTTGCGAAATATGAAAGTGAATCTCCATTTTCATCAAAAGATTGCTTTTTTTATTTATTGTCAAAAATGAGAAGACTTAACGTCAAAATTTCGTATTTTTCACAAGGTGGTTCACATGATGTTACTATTGACACAATACATAGCACTCAAACTTTTTTCCGAGCTATAAAAGCCCTCTCGAAGTGAAGTGAAGTATCCCACAATATTGAACCATATAAAATGGGTTGACTGCACTAGTCCATAATATTGAAGCTTCAATATGTGGAATGATTAGTTTCCCTAAGACATCATATAGCGATGAGTAGGTGCTTACATTTGCAGTTACATTATTTAGGTATATGTACTTCTCAATAGAGGATCTAATGTTATTCCTAAGAATTTGATAGTTCCACAGTGGATTTCTTATTTATGTGTAAATATATAGGGTAATTCAGATTTTGAGGTACAAACTGAAATGGGTGATAAATCCCATCATTTCCATAAAAAAGTTTATATTAAATGAGTCCGATCTCGATCAGTAGCGGATCTACATCAGTCGAAGTTCAATTACTTTTTCTATCAATTGAGACATCTTGCTCAATTTGAAGAATTCATCATTTTGAGCATTTAAGGGATAACATAATTTGGGTGTGAAAAGTCTAGAGGTAAATAGTTCACGTTGAGAGTTGCAAGACAAAATTGAACATCTTAAATGACCTGACAGCTGATACTGAACCGTTTAGAAGAATAATGCATTCTAAAGAAAAAAGGTAATCGTGTAATCGTGGAAACGAAGGACGTTTTGAACACTTACTCTTACTAATTCAATATTTTATGTTTTTAGACAAAATTATCTCAATTTTCTACTTGTGATCGTTTGTTCAATCAATAACTTCAGCACAAGAATTGATGTTATTGTTATTATTTTTGTTTTTTGAATAAATAGGTAATTGATCTCAATAATTCTACACCAGCATCAGGTATAACTTCATTATTTCAAATCAAAATATTCCGGAAACGGTACACAGTATTGAATTTTATCAAGACTAGCTTTTTGGTGTTAATTTGAATGATGTTCAGGTTTACATGAAATTTTGACTAAAAACTGTAACTTCAATAAAGTTACGTTTAAAATTAATTGGTACGAACCGTGTAACCAGCTCCATCTATGAGTCAGATATAAAAACAAATCAATGCAATGTGTCAGCATCCAGAATATATCTACACAAAATTCCATTACAATGTTGCCAGTAGTTTCGACGTAATCGTAAGAAATTTGTGAAAAATACTTTGTATCTTGAAAACGAATGCCGTTACGACATTTTTCTACTGAGCAAACCCAACTTATGTGTGCAGTGTTCAACCTACCCTAGCAAGGAGGCCCCCCTTTTTAAAACACTCTGCATTACCAGTATTCCTTGAATCCACGAGAATAAGGGAAGGAATATTAGTTGGTTCCGGAGAAATGGCAGTTTTGATACCAAACAAACGCACCTATAATGGTGCAAGTTGGCAATCATCAATCACTGAGGAATCACTGATGATAAGTCCATTACAATTTCTATGGCATGCAACATGCAAGACAATAGCAAAAGTTGTGAAGTGGTCTTATTAATAAGGAAACAGAGGCAACAAACTAACTAGAAGGTGAGAAGGACGACAGAGGGAGAGCACATCTTGGGACAGGATTGAAGGACACTAAAGGGAATCTACCTGGACTACCTGCTTCGCTAGCACGACGCAACAGCAACTCATACACTCCTGACAGGCGGTTCGCCTCTTGGTTACGGTAACTTCCTGAGAACAAGTGTTTCAGAGATCGTGGGCCTGTGCGTGCATCTCTGCCATATATCACCATGCTCAGGTCTTTCGTGATTATAGCTGGCCGACCACAGTTTTCCAACTGATCATGAAAAAAATTATGGGTAAATCATCAGAGATCAAGTTTTTGGATGTATGATATGAAAACAAATTATAATTCTCAGATTTCAGTTCGTTATAGTTTTAGTTATATCATAGGGAGATGAAAATTGTGTATATCATGAAGAATGGCTGAAGGAATAACTGGACTTCACGTTACTGATGAGGATATGATATCCGAAATGAGTTTTACTCCAGTTAAGTCATGTTACCTTTTTGTGAGAGATAAAATCCTCATATCACTGATGCGAATGATTTTTTTTTTGGAGTTCCAAGCTCATCAAGATGAGAGTTCATACAAGTATACTTCTCCCATACATTTCAATTTTCATTTCAATACTGAACATATTGGTAAGTTATATTTTTATATCATAATACATCATATTCGATTTTGAGAGGATTTTGATTTTTCATGCTCTCTTTTTGTATATTCAACAGGTATAATTCAATGTTCGACGTGACAAATAGCCAGGAAAGTAGTTGTTTCCTGTTGAATGTTCAGAATGATATTATATGCATATCTTTATTATATGAAGGAGAATGCAAATTCTCTACTTCAGAAGATTTTGTTTTCAAATTCTTATCGTGTTTGTTCAATAGATGTAATTCAATATTCGTCGTGGCATATAGCCAGGAAAGTAGTTGTTTTCTGTTGAATAAACCGAGAAAGAATTAATATTCTCATCACATGGTATATATATATATATCCATTTTTTTGTGTTCATAAATATATCTGAGAATGTTGAAAAGGAATATTCTCAGATAAATTATGAACAAACAAAAATGGATATATATTTATATAAAGCAATACATTGAGAATTCACATTCTCTATGTGATGAGAATATTCCTTTTCAATAGAGATTAAGTTCATTGATGATTATCGAAATACAAATTCCTTCGATATTGAGAAAAAAAAATATGTTGCTTGGCACACAGCGCAAGTATGGTTGCCTGATAGCAACATGATTTGTTTCGAAAAGGAGTAGGGATTTTCGATAATCATCAATGAGACGAGTTGTATTTATTAAGATTATTTCACTCATTATGTCATAAAGAAACATTAATTTCATGTCATATTTTCATTTGCAGTCGGTTTTGCAACGAAATATACATAGATTGCTAGAGACAGAACGCATCGAATATTGTCGTGGCTCTCGTCTACACATTCGTTTAATTAATACAGATAGAACATGGTAGTCACTACTAAAATCTGAACATGGCAATGAAAAACTCAAGACTGATTAATGAAAACATCTTGTTACTCATTTGTATGTCAAACTCAACACCTGTCACTGAGAAGTGTCAATACTAATCTCCATTTCTGTTCTTTAATTATCTTGCATAACTGACAACCGATTGCTTTTTTTTCAGGCTCTCTGAATCCCAAGAAATCAGGAATCAATGAACCTATGGACAGTATTTATATAATATGAATTTCTACAGGTGATTAAATGATTTTCATGATCATTACAGAAAACGAACAACGAACGAACACGCTAGTCTGATTTACACCACATATGGGCGTGTTCTTCATTCCATCAAAGAAAGTACGCTTTTTGTCGTGACCTCATCAATTGTTCTGATGGAATTTATGCTGGAACAATATAGAACAATGGATTCTACAACACATTGATGGAAAAACAGATTTCGTTGTGTGTCAGTCGTCATGTATCTTCAGAATCAGAAGAGGCTGTGATGAAATTTCATTGATCAACACTTATTACTCCATCTTCTAAAATCTCTCAAGAATCTCAAAATTTGAATAATATAATCAAAATGTGTCAATTGCCATGTCAGTCTACTCCAAACCGTTGGATTCTCGCAAAGCGATTTGAAATTGCATATTTTATTACAACAGTTTTATGGATTTCCATCAATAATCCAGCGGAATTTGACAACAGTTCGATGGTTCCTTCGATTCATGCGCATGACAAAAAGTTGGAATGAAAAACGCACCTCATCAATTTCATATTGATTGTTCCTCGTAATAATTGTATTTCATACATTACATTATTTAAAATATGTTTCTTTCTATAATGCAAATAATGGCCTCTAAAGAACGCTAGCTCTTGATACGGTGATTCAAGAATAAGCATCAATAGTCTCATATTTCTCAACAACTAATGAAAATATATTAACCATTCCAGAACACGTGATTTTGAGATGGTTTCTTGAGGGGCACACAAACTATCTGTTAGGTTACCTTTGATAAGCATAGCCCTGGCCATCCCTTCAATATCCACAGTATAATAACAGTTTCACCAAACAAAATTATGAAATTCTTTCTGGTTCCAACTCGGATTCCAAGGATAACGATCCCACTAATTCTGGTTTCATATGACAAATCTTGACAAATTACAATGTTTGCCCCTCAGCAACCTGTCAAATGACGTAATTCTGAAATGATTAATTGACATTCTATATTTATAAATAAGAATTCACTTCCAGAGTGGGAGTGCACATCAAATATATAAACATTACATAAGTCTTATCCCATGAGTTGCATTACATTGATTGCGATATATGTCGTCACGCGTTGTGCAATAATTTCGAAAATGTACAGATCTCGGAGAAAACGTCTTACGGCAGTAAACTATAGTTTGAGTTAGTATTCATTAACATTCTTCTTAGCACATAGATTGCATTTCAAGTTTGTTTCTTACCTCCAGATAAGCTGAAATAGTCATGAATATTTGCTCTCCTTGTGATGTAACCCTGTTCAGAAGTGTTGAATTGTGTAGAGAACTGTCCCAAGCTGCCTCAAATCTGAACATGACTCTATCGTCTCCAGGAATTTCTAGATACTCTCCAGGGAAAAGTCCAAGGGATAATACAGAGTTATCGTTATCTTCATCTTCTTCAGATTCTGGAGTGTTTCTGATTCTGCCGACAACAAGTTCTCTAACATCTCGCCATTTCATTTCAGCTGCTGGGTCATGAACGATGGTGATACGAATACGACGTTGAATACCCTAAAAATGATAATGTGATAGAACTTATTCGGAAATGATGAATTTGTGAAGATATTATGGTGAAGAACTTGAAATAATATAACTGTTTCGAGAATAAGTTGGTTAGTGAATTAATTAGGCTATTTCAATCATAGAAACCTACCTAAATATGAATTCCTGAGTTGACTATTTTAAATTCGGAGAACAGTGGGATTCAAACAACAAAGTGTGATGTGTTTTTAATGTAGAAATACAGTATGTCCATAGGTCCCTCTCCTGTTAAATTCCGAAGAACCCAATATTTCACAACAGTTTAAAACGGATTAATTCGAAATGGAGTTTGAGCGCCATGTTTTGATACACTTTTGGATGACAAGTAATATTTAATTTCGATGGTCTATCGAGTATCTTCAAATTTATATGATCTCGTAGATTTGAAGGAAAAACATATTCGCTCACTACTTAAATGCTACTTCTACAGTGTAAATTATAGGTATATCTTGATTTTCGGAAATCAAGTCAGAAGTTTCTTCTGAATGATCTAGCATATTTTAATCACAAACAATATAATGAATCGCAAAATGTATTCCACCTCCTTAAAGGAAGGTCGCCTATTTTCGGATAGCTTTCGAAAGTGTCAAAAATTTTCGATTAGAAATCAAGTTACCTACTCTTCTTTTGCTCCAAAACACAGGTCATATTTAATTGAATATGATAAAGAACAAAACATTCATGGTGAATAAAATTCGGGAATTAAAAAAAGCAAACTCCTACACTCACACAACATTCATCGTGAATAAAATTCGGGAATTAAAAAAATCAAACTCCTACACTTTTTACTATTTGAAAAATCATCTAGTAATTTCTGATATAATTACTAGTATTGAAAATTAGGCGCCAATTTGGTTGTTGATGCTGAAACCTAATCTCTGGACACAGGTAGAAGGAATAACAGCATAAATGAACTGCTTAAAAGAGATGTCAGTATATCTCAATTATATAGAAAATAAGGAATGTTTACCTGTGAGGTTAAATTTATGGAAATATTCATAATTTGTGGTTATGTGTTATTTCAACATGTGAATATCATGAAATAGGTAGTATAAATACACATGGTGAATTTGGTAGCAAATATTCCACTTCCTTACTATCAAAAACTGCAATCAAATGAATGACATACAGATGTGATTTCATTCGTTGGCCATCCAGCGGAAGTTTTTCATCAGAAATATGTGGTTCAGCGCGAAATTCGAATAGTTTTGGAGAAACGTCACTATCCGAAATATGGCACCTATCCGAAAATAGGTGACCTTCCTCTATTGGTCACAATACATTCATATTATGCCTTGTCATGTCTTCCTGTTTAATTTTTGCAAGTGTTTGTCGGTCGGTCGACCACACTCTATATAAACATCTTCAGTAAAAAGTTACCGGTTTTGGCACTACGGCCATCATCAGACAAGGGTATACCTAAATTATTATGTGACAGTAATGAGGAGACAAAATTTTTTGGAAAAACATCCAAATAATATGGGACTCAAAATATAAATCAGTCGATCATTGTAGTCTATACGAGATTTTCGTCGACGGGACAGCAGAATCGGGAACATTTGTAGGTCTCTTCAAATTTACTGGAGAACCAGAAGAAACTGGCTCTGATAAAGTTGAACATCTTTATCAAACTTGATAATGTGGTGAGAAGAAGAGAGCTATAGGCATGTATGGAAACAGATAAAAAAAAGAAGAAGAAGAGAATGAAAAAGGAAAAGGGAGAGAAATAAGTGTAGCAGGGAAATGAATAAAGAAAAAAAGAAGGAATAGCCAATTCAGATATCCAGAGGCAAAGAGGCAACTGCAAAGTCTGGGAACACCAATAAAGAATCATGAACATTTTAGAGTCCTGAAAATATGATTAGGTTCAAAATTGGTTTTGATCATTGAGACATGAAACATTATGGTTGTTGATGCATTTCGGAATTTCCATGATTTAAAGGAGACTCAATCTAGGACCTTCATCACAGATGTGAAGAATTTCTGAATCACTATCAACATCAAAAATATTTTTGGAATCGATAATATGATCGAAAAAGGAATTTCCTATTATCGATTTGTTTCATATTTTTCATTGAGCAGTTCTCTTGGCATCTTGTCTGATCTTTCTGAATCTGATGAAATTTTTCGAGGAAAGTGATCACAAAGAGAACTTTCTCGCTATAAAAATAAAAGAAATATTTTTCCCAAATCCAGATCTGCATTTTTTTGTAATATGCCATCATGACGAGTTTCAATAAAAAAGCCTTGCTGCTGAATTTCAGCAAATAACTAAAAAGTCTATACATTGAATTGAGTAACATAATATGTTGAAGAAAAACATTTTTCAAAATTAGTCATCGATTAAGAAAATCAAGGCAAAAATAGTCCTCTACAAGGAAACCCGTCGCTATGCTCCACTACGACAGGAACCTCTCTCGTTGGGCGACCTTGGCGTTGACGTGCGCCTAACCTAACCAGACAGAATTACCATTGTGAGCACTCATGACGGTGTTACTACTGAGAAAACTGAAAACTCAGGAAATCACATCGAGTTAAGAACAATATGTTGAGGAGAAATACTTTCAAAATTGGTCAACGAATAGGAAAATAAGAGAGTGGGACAAAATGTATGTTACCACGTTCAAAGCACATCGTTCACCTACCTGATGCAGCAGAAACAGCCCTCGGCAAGGAAACTCGTCGCTGTGCTCCACCACGGCAGGCACGTACTCCCCGTTGGGCGCCAATTCGCAAATCTCGAACCACACCAGCACGTCCACCTTGGCATGGATGTGAGCCGTGCAGGGCGAGGGAAGCGCCCCGAACTTACTCGACCGCACGGGCAGCGAGATGGGGATCGACGGGGGCAGCATGCGTCTGGGCGGCTGTCGGAGGCCGCCCTCCAGCTTCGCGTCCTTGTGCAAGGGATGCTGCTGGTAGTGGCCGAACACTTCGAAGACGATTGGTTGGGTCTTGATGTATTCGATGAAGGATTTCGTGGTGGTGACGGTGATCTGGGATGAGGAAATAGTCTTTTTGGTTCTAAGATATTTAAATGCAAGCGCGCTAGTTATTCGAACTACATTCTGATTGAATATTACAGGAAAGAATAGTCACTGGCTAGTTTTCATTATAACCAGAAAATGTGGGATGACAAGTTTGTAGTGAAAATTACTTTCGCCGTTACTGAACTTGATTCTCAGTTATTAACGTTTGCTAATTATGTTTCGACAAAAATTTAGTTTAATTTCGTTTATTGTCTTGTTTTGCATCAATTTCGGAAAGGATCAATCATGACCATGAAGAGCTGTATGTAATATGGTGCTGTCAAGCAGCTTAAGTATTTATGTAATGAGGACGTCGCTTATTATGTGAAACAAGTTAACTGCAAAAGATAATCGGGTCGATTCTGTTTGCAAATAGCAATATGGTTGTAGAGAAGATATTGCTATCTTAGCAACATTCGAAAAAGTGGAATTCTAATCATCGATTTTTGGCAATATGATCTGTCAATTTCAATGACATCTGGTCAGCTTTCTTGCTATCTCGGCAACATCAATTTTGTGCTTGCTATCTTGTAACAAGGCAGTGGATTCTTGTTTTTGCACTACAAATTCTTCCAACTGTATGAAAATTCAGAAAATAGTGGATTAAAAACATATGAGAATTTAGTTGTGTCACTGACTACTCGAAAACCTTTTCTCAAGTAGAAGAATTATTGAAAAACTTAGGATGGTGATTACAAACATATAGAATAGGTTCACTACTGTGACCAACTACTTGAAAACCTTTTCTTGAAGTTCCAATTTGGAGAGGAAATATAAGACTACAATTTCGGCAAATCAGAGAAATTTCAGTTGCCTGATGGATAGTTTATCAAGCTATTTTGCTAGAATATTAAAAACAAAATCACGATTTGTTTCATCCGGCTTTTAGTTTTCTCATTTCGGGGACATGATTGTCTACTTACACCAGTCGCACAACGACGACCAGATTCAGCAAATACATAAAATTTCAATGCTGGACTGACTAATTTGAGAGGTTAGATAATCATGAACTCTTCTTCTTCATGAAATAATGGCAAAATTGATACCTAACACTTAAACAATGAGTTGAAAACAGTGTTGTCAGCTCCAAAATTCTCAATTTTTCAACAATATTGCTATCACTTGAACTTATAACCAGTCTTGCAGTTACTCTGCAAACAGAATACAGAACTTCATAGCAATATTGTTATATGTTATGATCATAACAATATTATTATCTCAGCAATGATATAACAAGATCCGAACAGAATCGACCCGAATGTATCCATAAATATAAGACAGGAATACATATTTGTGTAAGCATGAATTGACCTTTACCTTCATCTCAACTGTTACATTGAATACAGATTGTTTATTCGAATAGTTACACATAGGAGTATCAAGTAAGGATGACATTTGACAACGGCAACTTGGCCAGTAACGGATAGCATCAGTTTTTTCAATGTGGAGACCTTCGTTGCCAGATCTACCGTTTCTATAGTGTGAACTACCGCTCTACCGCAAAGCCTCATGTCTACCACTGAAATTTTTATTTATCCTATATATACAGTGTGTGCGATTTCAACCAGCAACGCCCTTCTAATTTGGAACCCGTCGACTGATTTACAAAAACAAAGATTTCAAAATATAGTTCTCATCGAGCTCTATTCGAGAATGTGAATAAATTTTAAATTTTCAGATTTTCAAGGCCTACTTTTGTTTGTTGAAGGGGTCAAAATTTCAAAAACGACTAATAGGCATTTTTTCATCAAAACTGTGACAAGCCTATTCGATTCAGGCATAGCTGAAATAACCCCTTACGTAATTCGAACGCAAAATCTCATAGAGGGTGTTATTCAGTGGTGAATTTTGATATTTTTGATTTTTCGATTCACCCTGTATCAAAATCCAAGGAGTTGATGTAAACGGTGAAGTAGTCACTCAATGGAGGAAAACATCGGATACTTATATTCGAGGTTTCATCGTTGTAACTTCTACAGGAAGATCTCTTTTGGTCAACCAAACATTAATAAAATTGAAGTTAACATTTTTTTATGATCCATATCTTCTTTCCTAGAAATATAAATAATGGTAACTAATTCGAGGAAATATTCTCTATACATAATAATTTTCATTGTCATCTCAAATTGCCCTTCCATTTCGGCAAAATTGGTATATTATTATGATATGATCACATTCAGTAAATCTCTTTGCAGTCTCTGCAGAGTGTTTGTCTGACATTCTATTTGTGTTATATTCGACAGTTCTTCATCAAGCGAGACGATTTTTATAGTTACTGGTGGTGAAGTGTGTGAAAAACGGTTTACTTGAGTTTTTCAAAATGGTAAACCTCAACTTTAATTTTATCAATTTTTGGTTGAACTACTATATATATATATAACCATATACTGAGTACTATATTATGAAATTTTTGTTTTTGAAAACCGGTCGACGGGTTCCGATATTAGGAGGGTGTTGCGGGTTGAAATCGCACACACTGTATATAGACTTTTTTATTCAATTTAATTAATGAAATAATTACATATTACGTTTTGAATGTTTGGCTTCGTTCGGTGAATCTGGTATGAGATTATTCATGCGTTATTGAATCTAATTATTGAAATAAACGACAGATACAAAAATAATAATGATAATGAAAAAAATCTCATAAAAAGTATATTATGACATGATGAAATAAATTAGTGAATGGGAAATCATTCACTCAGTTTTGAGTTTCTCTTTGCAAAACTTAACTATAATTTTGAATTGGATGATATTTGTGCAACTTTCGATATCATCAGGTAATTTATTGAATTTTGAGATAGTTTCGCGAATAAACTTTTTTCTCCAAGTGTAGAATTAGCAGAATCAAGATGAAACAAGTCATATTGTCTAGTATGATGTTCATGGATTTGGAAATTCCTAACCAATATGAAGTTAGATTCGGGGTGTTTGTTGATACTTGATAAGATAGTGTTCTTCCAAAGAAAATGTATTTGTTTCTACATAAAAATGATTTGATCGTGTGTCATATGGAAGACGGTACAGTGTTTTCAATGCTTTCTCATACATATAGTACATATATTTTGTTAAATTATTCTTGGAACATGAACCCCAAATATTTATGAAATAGTTCATTTTAATAAGGATGTGAGAGTATTTGCTATATTTGGGCCAAGTTTTGGACATCTTCTTAGGGCACCAACTATGGAAGACATTTTTTCATTGAGCATGCCAATATTCTTGTCCCATGTTAACTTTTCACCAATTCAAATACCAAGGTATTTGGCATAGGCAGTTGTTTTCAATCGTTCATTTCTTATTTTAATAGTAAAATCAATATCTTGTTGCAGGAACTGCAATTTTCAAACTACATCTACCGTTTTATTTTTGAATATATCGCTTTTTATGTGTACCTCTCATCTCATATTATCTTGGCGAAGACGTAGCCGATAGCCGACCAAATAAGTCTCTCTAGCTATGTTGCCATTTACTTGGCCTATATGTAACCATTGTGCGAACGATCTGTATAACAATGAACAATAGCTACAAAATCCTTGAAGGACATATTCATCTCACTCAATCCAATTTAGTGTTTATGAGATATCAATTTCAATACACAATTGAAAGTTCGTTGTAATTATGTAAAACATACTTACATTTTGAACATGGTAGAATCCAAGGGGAGTTCCCTTTCCAGTATTCTTGACGGGTTCAGTTGAAAAGGCTTCATCATGCCTATGAAGGAAACTGAAAAAGAAATATATGAATATTTAATTTTGACGTAAAAAATTAATGTGTTGTGGCGACTCACTTGAACTGGCAGAATACGTCGGCATATTCGGTTGAAATTCCAACAGCTTGCAATACAGTTACTCTGAAGGTGAACTCACGTCCTATGGCGAGATGCTCGGCTATTTCTTCTTCTTTCAAATCTGAAGAAACAGAGCTATCCCCTCTTCCCGAATCAGCATCGCACTCGATGAGTTCGTCCAGTTTAATTGGGTCAATTAAGTTCTGGCCTTCGACTATTCTCTCTTCCATGTTACGAATATTTCGATCCATAATATCTTAATCAATAAAAAATCATTTTAGTAAATTACGTCCATGACACACATACCGGGTGATACAGACTCATGGTATACCCAACTTCTCTCCATTGTTTTTCTAACTATATTTCTGAAATTTAAAATATCGAATATGCTCACTAGAGGGCACTTTCTCACATTTTGGTAATTTTTTTTTCGTCTTCCGGTTTTCCTAGAAATTACATCAACTTTCGATTTTCATATTGAACACCCTACATTTTATTCCATAATCGGTTAGGGATTGTTACAACTATTTCAAGGATGCCGGGTTTAATTGGGTTATTTAAAACGATTACGCAGATATACGCTTTCGAAGTTACCATATGTTTGACGGCATAATATCTACACGTCTTTCTCTGTCACACTCATCAAGTTTATGGTGAATTCCAACGCGAATATCTTCTTAATCGTCGGAAATTACCCAATCAGAACTGGTATCGTTGAATACGTTATAATAATCACTAACCGATTTCATTTGAAAATCGAAAGATGAAGAGAATTTCCTAGAATGTGAGATATGCCTTCTAATGAGCATATTCGATGTCCCAAATTTCATGAATATAGCTAGAAAAACAGAGGAGAAACGGGGGGAATACCATTAGTCTGTGTCACCCGGTATACAGAGTGTTATTCAAGTAACTAGCCAAACTCAAAGGGATGATTCCTTAGGCGATTCTGGGACGAAAAGTTCTTATGAACATAGGTCCTGAAATGCATAGTTTTCAAGTTACACGATGTTGTACTTTCTTGAAAAAAAGAAAGTTTTTTGTAAATCTGAATATAACTAAACCTGCTCCTTACTACTACAAAAAACGCTACCAAATTTGAACAGAATTGGGTGAATGATATTCCCATGATATTCACGAAGAACAGATTTAAAATAGTTTGATAGTCTGTATCTTTGAACCTATGCATTTCTGGAGCTCTCTTCACAATATGAATTTTTCATCTTGGAATCACATAAAAAATTGCTTCTTGATACTAAAATTTAACTCTGTATATTGTGCGACAAAATGATATTTTTTTTTATAAAAAACAAGTGTAACCCCGCAATGTTGAACTAATTTTAGAAAATAAAAAAAATGTGATTCCAATATAGCACTGCTTCAATACCTTTATACACAGTATGTCCCACTCTGAGCAGTAGCACCCTCTTGTATTTTCTCATTCGTTGAAAAATTAAAAATTTTGTTTTTCTCTAATTCAATCGAAGTTGAACTCAAACCAGGAAAGGATTTCGAATATGAGCTCAATCACAGCATAACTAGATTGAATTACATAATTTCACGACTACAATATCAATTGGTTTCAAGTACAATTACCTCATAGATAGATATATAGAAAGAGCTTTATTTACCTACATTAAACAGGGTGTCCCAAAACTCAACGTCATCCTCTGGAGTGCTGATAGTCCAGCCGTGTCCAGCTCATGACTGAACAGAATTTCACAATATGACCTCAGTAAAATATTGATACTTTTGAAGATATTGACAATTTAATAAATTTCGTGAATATCGAAACATTTGATCATAGCAGGTGAGCTGTGGGAGTGCCAAATGAACATTTTTTAAAAAAGACTTGCCAGGTTTGAGTGGTGATTTTGTTAACAGTATGAAGGTCTAAGTAAGCTAATCAAAATGAATGTGTCAGTCATGAGCTGGACTAAGAGGTCTCCAAAGGATATGACGTTGAATTTTGGGATACCCTGTATATACAACCTTCAAAAATGTCGAAGAACACTCTACCAAAAGTCTTTCGTCTATAGAACGGCAAAGCTTAGGAAATTTATGCCAATGTAAGTATTCCCAAGAGCTTATAACCTCCAAAAATTGAAACAAATTCCAACACCAACCTCCTCTTCCTATCCTCTCTGGGTACGTGCGATGTCCCACGAACATTATAGGAATTTCCTTTCGTGCGCTCCAAGAGATAAAAAAAAGTCAAAATCAGCTAAAATCTCACATACATTTACATGTATTAATAAAATTGAGTATATACACAAACCAAAGTTTAAAAGCATAACATCTATAGGTATATGGATTCACAACCTAACAATATCCGAACTGGGGGAATCAGAACCCAGAGATTTTAAATCACTCATGTCATCACAGATTGTTCGCAACTATTCTTCACTGGAATAAACAAATTTTTGAGGAAAATATTTTTTCATTATTGATTTAAACAAGGTTTAAACTCATGATTTCCCGTATATTTTATTGTGGTCGGTAGTGCAATGTATAATCGAGGAGCAACTAAGCAAAATGCATTAATTCCAATTTCAACATTTTTCAAGTGAATATTACTGAAGAATTACATTTTGGTCGATACACAATCCATAATGTTCACTTCGAGCAAAACGCTTCAGATGTATTCAAATTTGCAATATCGAAAATGGAAAATGCGTTAAATCCTATGAATGATTGAACCAACTGGCATAAATCCATCGGCTGGTTGTCACTGGAATGAATCCACAGGAAAGTTTTCTGTGAACGATTTCGTTCTCAAGGAAGTCATCTGTAGATGTTTTCATTCAGTTCAGTAAATTATCTAGAGATAGCCATCTTGCTTGAAGATATATTGAGAATTTCTTTTTGTCTGAGCAGAATGCAATAAATCCAAAAACTGATCGAGCGAAACGGAATAAATCCATTGATATTTGAGCAAAATGATATAAATCCACACATTGATTGAGCAAACTGGCATAAATCCAACAAAAAATGTTGAGTAAATGCATATATACTGTTGAGTTTGGAGAATATCCCCATCCAACATTTCCGAGATTGTTATTCATTTCGATTTGTAACCGAATGAAAATCTGTTTTTGATTATGTCTGATTCAAGCAGTTTTTCATCATTTACTCGAAATCATATATTATGGATTCAAACCGTTTTGCTCAGTTGCTCTTCAATTGCATATTTATAGAACTTTATTGGAATTTGACTAATCTATAGCATGGTGTTTGAATATGATTAGCATGCCCCGTGTGATACCTATGGATATCTGACTGGCGAATGAAGTCGAAATTTTTATCTATCTCAATGACCGTTTGATAAATGTACAGTGAAGGGAGGGACAATATTTCGTATTTCATGAAGAATGTCTTTTTTGAACACTAAGAATACTTTGAACTACTCCATGGAATTATGATAATTATATATTTTCAGATAATTGAAGGAAACCATTCGAAAGAGAACAACGACACCTGATTCGAGATTTTTTACAGAAGATGTCAATATCGCAGAATATCTTGTTAATGAAAATTTGATTGGAGAGGATCCCATAAATAATGTGAATAAGATTAATGATTTATCGTACAGAAATAGATCATAACTATTGTAAAATACCTCATATATGATTGATGAAAATTTAAACCTAGACATATAAAAGTTTCTCAGTATGATGATGTAATTAGTAGAATTATTGTAGAAAATGCTTTTTTTATCTCTTGGAGCGCACGGAAGGAAATTCCTGTAATGTTAGTGGAACATCGTGCGTACCTAGGGAGGATAGGGAGAGGAAATAGGTTTCGGAATTTTTTTCTGAACTTTTGGGGGTTAGAAGTTCTTGGGAATATATCCATTGGCAATGAATTCCAAAGCTTCCCCGTTCTATGGACGAACGAGTTTTGGTAGAGTGTTGTTCTACATACTTCAAGGTTAACGACGAAAAGATGTGCTGACTGGGCTTGTAGACTTCGCCTGACTGGTATGTCACCAAGTGTTCATTTCTCATTTTAATCGATCATATTTGGCCATGTAATTGCGCAATGATAGAATTGAAGACTCAAGAATGTATATCACATTGAGCACAAGTCGAGAACACAATAGTTTGAATCAATCGAAGAATAATGAAATATAAGAGTGGTGGGATGGTGCTGCTCAGAGTGGGACATACTGTATATGTATAAACTTGGAATAGTTTGCCAAACTAATTTGTTTACGTAGATACTCGATACAGACAGAAAAACCATCAATTTTAGAACAAGCATCATAAACCATCAATATCATTGCAACTGTTCGAAATCATTCCGTCAAACATTTTCAATACTTTTAGCCAATTAGAGAGTGAAATTGTTTTGTTGAATATAGATTTAAGGAAAAATCTCGTTCATTATCGTCAATACCGGTAGAAGAAAACATGAAATTATTACAAAACAAACTCTCAAAATGAATCACATGATACTCACTTTTGGGAGTTGATTCGAAGGCAATTCTTGCACTCTGACGCACTCCCACTTGATCAGCGTTATCCTCATCCATAACAGCTTGCACGGCAACTTTCAAATATCCTCTAACATCACCCTTCTCACTAACGATGGCAACTTTATGAATGAGAGTGATGGGATATAGCAAGTTGCTGAGGTAGACGAACCCTCTTCCTACCATTCGGAACCAAGGAAACCTGTCATAAAATGGATCGCCTCCCGTCAGAGATTCTACGTTGTAATCTGGAGAGGTCGGCGACATTTCAGCCTCATTATGGTACATTTCTCTCATGAGCTCCAATCGTTGCCTGTAAGAGAGGAATTCAGTTGAAAACATCAAACAGCATGGGTATGGATATAAGGTAAGAAAAAAATAGTTTGAGAAGGAATAAATTAATGATTGGTGCCACCATAAAAAAAGCAATGAACCAAAAGTATGTGAAACAAAAAGCTTTTACAATAAAAAAGCAGGTGATGATTCAAGTGAGATATTGGTACCTGGGTCATGAATATTCGAGTCTCCAGAATGATTCGCCTAGCTCAAACTGCACGAAAATTTAGTGTTTCTGATACATATCTCGAGAACGAATTGTTCACTCCAAATCCAAATTTAGAAGCAAAATCTTGTAGAATTTGAACTTGACCGCGGTTGAAAAACCGATAGTATTCATGTTCATAATACAGGATATTTGGAAATTTGACCGACAACGCTGCAATTGTGATAGTCCTCATAATTTGTTAACTAATAAGGTAAAAACATGTCACAAAAGGCATACAGATGCTCAGTTCTTGGGACAGAAGGTGTTACAGTTAAAACATGAATATATTCCCGGGTGTCCCGAAATAACAAAAATATTTCAACGACAGATACTATGAACAATAATAGTAGTCTCTGAAGGAGAGTCCGAGATGATGGTTTTGTATGAATATTTTCAAAACCCTCTGCAATGAAATACCCAAATTTTGTACATGTACATTTCTTTTTAAGCCCGATTTGTAAAAATTAATAATTTAGGGGTCAATTTCTGATCCAACATTTTCGTTGTTTGTTTGCTTGTGTAATTTTCGGCAGTTTTGAACATGGGTACAGTTTTTATGTAAAAATTATGTTATTTTTAACATTCTCTGGTCAAACTGCCGAAAATTTCACAAACAAATAAGTAGGGTGAAGAAGTACCCCTAGCCCCACCTATTTCCCACGCACCTGAGCAACAAAATATCGGAAATATTGCAACTTTTTCAAATGAGGTGTGTTCCGTTCATATCCCCTTTGTTACGTCCATTTATGTAAACTAAGAATAATAAGGGATTTCTATGCATCATCTGCTATCCGTGTTTGGCTCACTGTATATCTCAAAATTAAATTCGCGCATCAGGTCTTTGAGGTTTCACATGCAGCGTCTCCAAGTGGGCAACGAGGATAAAAAAATTAGAACTTTTTCATACATCGAATTCGACACTCAATTCGATCGCCTTTATTCTTTCCAAGTGAAATTATCTAAACAATAATCAAATTTCCGTCCTCCAGATTTTAATGGAACATTTAGTGTATAATTGAATATTACTTATCTCTCCTGACGCGAGTGGTCCCATAATTCCTGATAGAAGAACATTCATCCCATACGTCCAGTTCAGTTCCCCGACCGGCCCCGTCGCCACAGCATAATTCCACGGAATAACCATGCTCAATTTTGCCTTCAGTTCATTTTTTTCTCTCCTGAGACTTTACGGGCAAGGGATTCACCCCTTACGTAACAAGGTGTAAAGCTTTAGGCACATGCACACAATTTGGTAATTTTATCAAAGAGGATTTCGAAAACTATCATTTCGGGCTCTCCTCCAGACCCATGTTTATATGAATTTTTCAACTATGTTTGTTCCTAGAATCTGTGGTTGAAATTTGTCTATGTAATTTTAGGACACCCTGTATATTCGCAATAGCTCAAGTTATCTCTCTTATCCAGTGACGCGTTACAGAGGATTGTTCTACCCTCAGACTGAATAAAAATAGATAGACACCGCAATTCATTCATGTATCACGAAAAAGTATTTGCTAACAATCCTAAACGCCAAAGACGGACAAATAAATGAAATAGCAAATGGTGGAAATAATTATTGATTATGCGGAATCACTGCAAGAGAATTCATATGGATACATTTATTCAATATAGGTATCTCATAAATCGCAAATTTTATAAATGTGGGTATGTGCGATAATGACTTTGCTCTCAGTGTAACGTCTACTGGGCAGAATTTCAACTTTTCTATGGAATGTCAGGTTAGGATATTTGTAACAAATTTTTCTTTACAGATGCAACATTGCTGAGCCATAATTATTCACAAAATAACATGATTTATTTTCATGATACTAAAATAAGAATCACTGAAACTATGAAAACTAAGTATACAAAATCAGAAAAACCATTAAACAAAACACGACATTTGTACCAAGACTATTGCTTGCCTACGAAATTTTCGGTGCCGTCACGTTCATCTTGAATCAATTCCTATTCTCAATTTTGTTATTTAGGTATGTACCTCACACTTACACTTATTCGTAAGTTTAGGATTATTGGCCTCAGTTTCTGACACTTATGTTGTTATGAATCGTACATTATCATGTTTAGTCCAATAAATGAAGGAGGAAAAAAAGGCAAAGTTAACGTTAATTACGCACTATTTTCATCTTCCGGTTGGAAGTAGCTTTTGGTACATCATTAAACATGAGACAAAGTTTGACTGGAAAACGCGTGCGATTGCGGAGAAAACGGCCCCAAAAGACCAGGAAAATAGGTTTTCAGTCAATATCTCCTAAAATATGGCAGTTAGAGATTTTCGGTTCAGATAAAAATTGAAGTTCATACATAAATGGTTCCTATCATTTTTCTCGAAAATTTGCCCGGTTTCGAGAAAAACGGCACGAAGCGCACCTCGAATAATGAGCTTGTGTTGTATGCCGGAGAGCACAGTCCGTGTATTTACACATCGACGGGGGGACAAATTATTCAATAACTTTGTTAAAAATGCATATTTTCTCATGATTCAAAGTTCATGCGAAAAAGGAATTCTGCTGCTATCATACCCTGCGTGTTCGCATGGTTTGTAGCAGACGACCCGAGCGCCACGTAGAGCACACACGCGGCGAATGACGGAGGAACGAAAGTAATAAATTATAGCGTGTACATTTAGATATACTGTTTTTTCCCGAGATATCAAAGGTATGACTTATATACATCGATGGAAAGGTAGGAATTCCCCCGTTACACTAGTTCAGGTGTTAAAATGTTAGAAATAAAGATCACGGAGAAAAAAACCACCGAAAAAAAGAGTGCGTTTTTTCCTTGACCCCGCGTTTTCTAATTTTATTGAAAAATGGGCGACTTCGTCTAAAAAAGTAATTGCACAATCGAAAAGTAGACCTTCTTAGCTTTCAAATAATGTATCATAGAAACCAATCGGATCATGTATAAATTTTTAATTGATGGTTGTTCACAAAATTTCCCCGCTCTCCAAAAACAGCAAAAAATTGGGATTCAATAAACAAAGATTAAATGAAAATTAAAAAAAAATAGGGTATACAAATTTCAGGAATGACAAAGGACCTTATGAGGACCCATAATCAAGAAAATTTTGAGTAAATTAGTGCAATACAAAAAAAATAGGAACAAATTCCTGGCGAGGTCAAAATTGACCGGGAGCAGAAAGTTTGACCCATGTTCCGATATGGCCAAAAGAGTCAAGCGTAACTCAATTCACAGGGTATGATAGCAGCAGAGTTCCTCTTTCACAAGAACTTTGAATCATGAGAAAATATGCATTTTTAACAAAGTTATTGAATAATTTGTCCCCCCGCCGATGTGTAAATACACGGACTGTGCTCTCCGGCATACAACAGAAGCTCACTATTCGAGGTGCGCTTCGTGCCGTTTTTCTCGAAACCGGACAAATTTTCGAGAAAAATGATAGGAACCATTTGTGTAGAAAATTACCTGAACTTCAATTTTTATGTGAACCGAAAATCTCTAACTGCCATATTTTAGGAGATATTGGCTGAATACCTATTTTTCTGGTCTTTTGGGGCCATTTTCTCCGCCATCGCACGCGTCTTCCAGTCAAACTTTGTCTCATGTTTAATGAGGTACCGAAAGCTTCTTCCAACCGGAAGATGAAAATGGTGCGTAATTAATGTTAACTTTTTCCCTTTATTTATTGGACTAGTTATAATTGTACATTATACATCAAGGGACAGAAATGCAAGATATTTTCCAAGGTGCGGGAAAAAAAATTCAGTCAGATGTAGGTCATAGCTCACTATGACTTAGTTACAAATAACTTTTTCTTCTCTTTCAGATGATATATCGCAGTAATAGTTTTGTGTTTATAACAACGGAGTTATCGTCATTTATAAAAAAACAAAAAATTATTCGGAAGCCGCCATCTTGAATTTATGAAGTTTAACAAAAAATCATGATATCCGACCTCGAAAACCCCCACTTACCAATTTTGAATGGAATCGGACCAAATCTTGTCCGCCATCTTGCAGCAGCCATTTTTTTTTTAATTTCAACAAAAATTCCACGATGTATTGTCACCGAAATTATGAACACCTGCCAAATTTCAAGTTGATCGGAGTTATGGAATTTTTGTTGAAATTAAAAAAAATGGCTGCTCCAAGTGGGGGTTTTTGAGGTCGGAGATCATGATTTTTTTGTTAAAATTCATAAATTCAAGATGGCGGCTTCCGAATTTTTTTTTGTTTTTGTATAAATGACGATAACTCCGTTGTTATCAACACAAAACTATTACTGCGACATATCATCTGTAAGAGGAAAAAAGTTATTTGTAACTAAGTCATAGTGAGCTATGACCTACATTTGAAAAACTAAAGTTGGTGCTGATATCTCAAATTCCAGAAGAGTTGGTATAAATTTCATATTTTTATTTCGAAATCACTTTGAAAAACTGCCATGAGAATGTGAAATTCCTATTTGAATATTTTCATAAATAAAGAAGTTACGGAGGAGACATATGAAAATGATCAAAATCTGTTTTTTGCGTATAAAACAAAAACGAATAGATTTTATCAAAATATTGTTTCACATTATAATTGGCCTTGACAAACTCCACATTTGGTGTCATTTAACCGACCTCGTATCTCTCACCGTTAAAAAGATACCCATGGTGAGCATGGTAAGTGGGACACACTGTATAAAAAATATTTCTGAAGATATTGAGCTTTAAAGTTTGTTAAAACTTTGGTAAACCATTAATCATAGGATGATAACCCAACCCAAGCGTGGCTTTCGGCGAGATCACGTTCACCGAAAGTATTAATGACTTTCGCGATGTTGCTGGACGTTCAATAATAGTTGAAAGATGTAGTATGGTGGAAGCGCACAATTTGAATAATTTTGAAAACGAATTTTTCTTGTGTTTTATCGTGTCATTATGTCTCATAGAACTGCTCATTTCATTCATCGCCCCCAATTTCGGAAACACCCTGTATAGCAAAATCCATCAGGAATGAATGTTTCTCGTCCCATTTGGTCATCAAAGGCTATCAGCTGTAAAGCGTTGTCGATCCAATTACAAAACATTCTTGAATCTGAACAGCTTCAATAAGGCCGCCTCCTAACAAATATTTATTATTTGCGGAGATATTCTATTGATTGTGGTTCTACGTCTAAAAGTCCAACAAAAATGAAAATTCAGATCATTCTTATAATGATGTTGATAGATTTTGGACACAGAATTAACGTGATGTGGTTTTCTAATTTCAACGAGAAAGAAGTGGAGATAAAGATTGGAAATACAAAAAACGAAAAGAGGTTACATAGAGAAGCAGAGTATTTACATGGAACAAACCAAGGTTGAATACAGTGGCACCAACCTCGAAGGCATTAAACTCGTTAGCGAGAAGCGTGAAGGTGATGGTGGGCATTGCACTAGACATCTCAGAAGAGTTGGCGTCATGTCTTCGGGGCTCGGTATGTCCAATATTTCTTCGTTATAAATTAGGCGCATTAATTCCAGCCTTTGACTTGAGTTCAGAAGACAAATGAAATTAAAATGGAACACATATCGGTATTTGGTATTGTGTAATATTGTGTGTCAATATTGAAATAGTTCGTGTGTGCTTCCCAGCTAACAATACGAGGACCCGAATATCTCTGTGATATCACCGAAAGATAATCATATTGATGTGGCCTCTATTAGGGGCATTAATTGAACAGAAGCCAATGTTGTTATGAAGACGTGTAATCGGTGACATGATCTTAATATAAGATTTTTACACATCTATGATACATTGCATCTTCACACATTCTGATTGTTCTGTTGTTACTGTTTGTTTCATAACCTATAACTTCAACGCTACGCCAAGTCAAGTAGAAGTGGTAAAATATAACTGTTCTTGAAATTCAGATGAGCCAACTATGTAAGTATATCGAATGATTCAACAGACAACAGTGATGTTGAAGTTCTCCTTTGGTTTCAGTGAGCCATCAGAATAATATTGTGAATAGAAAATCTTCAACAATGGTCTATGAGGATTGAGAATATTCATAGGTAGTTTTCTTATATATTGCAGGTCATGAAATGATTTTTCACGTTAAATCCTAACCTATTGCTCATAGGTCCGTGACATCTCAATAAGATATTTATATGGTATCGTGATATTCCTCTGACATCGCGGTGCAATATTGATAAGACATCCATACGAGTGTGACAAATGTACGTTCCCGTGACGTCTACGCGACTACCTGATTCAATGTCGCAGTACCTACTCATAGCGATGTAACATAGATGTTCATGCGACATCGCATTGTTAGCTGGATTAGGCATTCTATATTTACAAGCGTGTCATGATTTCTGCTGATTTCAAAATACACAAATAAACAATAACATTTGTTCATAGATCCGGAAGACGAAAGGTTGAATCAACTAGTCAATCTTGTATAACTAATGCGCGGCAATAAAGTTTGAAGGTCTGAAATATTTCCTACAAATTTTATATAAAGGCGATTGATTTTCGGCAGATTGAATACTAATTTTCTCTCAATCAAACGAAGTCACAGTAGTATAGTATACCCAAAATCTTAATAAAATGGTATATTCTTTTGTATTTTTGTGATATCTGTTAATTTCACAATAGTTCTGTGTACTCTAGCAAGGGCATTATACTCATGTTTTCTCTTTATGAGCATAATAGAATTAGAATGAGAATATCACTATTAAATGATAACTCGAAAAATTATTGCTGATCTTCGTTTTCAAAAATAAAAAAAAAATCCGCAGATGAAATGATGGTATCAAATAAGTAACTTTTTGACATAGGTACGGTTTTTTGCTTCTGGTTCCGCCAGAAGTAGGTATCAACTTTTTTTAGTGGAATATATCAAACGGTTCATAAAACTTTTGGTTGCATAAATCTCTGAATTCAATTGGAATTGAAATCTGAGGGAAGCTGACTTCGTTTTTTTAACGATTTTAATTCAGTGGTCGTAGTTCCCATCAGAAAATTCGCTGACTTTTTGTGAGGAATTAGTTGTTTATTACAACGTGAGATGTGAAGAGAACCGGTTTGCCGCCATCTACTCATACAATTTTGGAGAATGGTGCTTCAATCCATCGAAACCTTTTAATGAAAAACAATGTTTGATCAGTAAACACACCACAATTATAGATTATCGAATCGTTAGGTATAGGTATTAAAAAATAATAGCATTTGGCAACATGGCAGTTATGGATAGCAACGCCCATTGTTAGGCAGTTGGGATGGAAGAGCGACATCTGTTTGTATTTTGCATAGACAGAGATTGAATCCTGCCTTTCGATAAGCGCTGTAGTGTACCATGTACCATGTTTCTTATGTTATCCACGTATCAATAAAAATTCAGTTTCAGTCTGTTCATATATTTCTGCGGAGAATGGTGGAGACGTGCGATAGCCGAATCAGTAACTTGCTATGTTGCCATTCACATGCCCTATGTGTAACGATTCGATAATGGGCAAGCAAACCTAAATGTGTAATACCCAATGGTCAATCAAGTAGGAGACAGTGCTGTTTATATGTTTATGTATAATAAATTAGTAGGAATTTCGATTTTATGATTCTACAAACACCTACCGTAATTTGTCCAATGACCAATAGTGTGTAGCACCATTTTTTATATCTTGCACTTCAACTGCAACAATAGTTCTCGGTATTGTTACGTCATCATCTTGATCATAGTCAATAGCAGGTCTGAGATCGGCTGGTAGCGGTGAGTAAAGAGTATCAGTGAGCAATGTGAATTGGAACTGAACCTGAAGATAAAAAAAACTATGATGTATAGACAACAAACCACTAGTAAATATTTTTTATAATTCTGGAATTGAATTTCATATACCAGTATTATATTGAAGATGTTTCTGTAAATAGGCATGTATCTATTAAATATTTTCTACATCAGGAATTGGAAATTGTTGCCACTTTGTCTGAAAAAATTCAGGCTTGCAATGTATTTGAAGGATATGAACTTAAATCTCTCGCATATTAAACACATAAGGTGTTCCAGGGTTCGATTCTTTGTGCTGTCTTTGCTTGTTGTAGAAGATATTATAATCGATTAGAATGATAATGAGTAGAAAATTATCCAATGATAAAAAATACGAATCCGCCGACTTTATAAAAATATCGAGTGAATCAAATTCACTGTTCATTATTTAGCAAAAACTCGATAAAATCTCTATGTGATTTGGATCATTGAGTAGATGTTTGAAATATACCTTTCGTGATATAATATACGACATATACCATATGAACTGTGAGCAAAAAATCGAATAATCTCGGTAAAAGAGCCATCAAGAATTATCTTGATGCTACCAGAGACGATTAGCAGCGATCGAAAAAAGAAGAGATCAAGAGGAACAGATCTTGTGGAAGAAAGACATCTTAGAAGGACACAAATGAACATGGAATTCAGCGACATTAAAAGTAAATAAGAAAGTGAAATTGAATATAACAATTCACAAGAATTTGAAAACAGGTTAGAGCAAGTCAATACATCGTTTTAAGGAATTCTGAAGGGCATCCCTAACTACGAATATCAAGTGACGACGAAGAAAGATCCTATAGAAATACTACTCAACAGTCAGTCGATAAAATATTTTCCGCTGATCTCTGAAGAACCAGAAGGTTGGCCTCTTTTCATATCATAGCAGAAAAGCCTCTAGTCTGCAAAGAAGAGAATTTGATAAGAATTTAGAAATGCCTGCGTAGAAGAGCAAGGGAAACTGTCTTGGATACCCAAATTTGAGGCAAAAACCTCTTGCTACTGAGGTCCAGTTTTCAGAATCGAGGAGACAATTTTTCCGACAAGAAAGAAACAGTTCAATTGGAAAATAAAATAGAATTAGTGGAAGAATATGTATATTATGTAAAACAAACGATGCACATACTTTAGAGTATTGTGAAGATTTCAAGGATATAAACATGGATGAGTGACAGGAATAATAGGTGTAAAAAATGAACTCTGTATCTGGGATGACATGTTCAGTCTCACCAGTTGGCACTACTAAAGCTCTAAAGGCTGAGGCCTGTTTTATCGAAAATATTCGGAAAAAAAAAATTATGGAAAGACTTGAGCAGACTTGCGTTTTTTTACCAATGTGGAACATTACGACTAATTCTTATATTGACGGAGAAAAAAAACGTAGGAAGAGGCCAAATGACATGAAAAGAAAAAGTATATTTATCAGTTCTACCAACTCTGATCTCACGTTTCAGTGGCGCGATGTGGTGGACAATAAATAATGTTAGCTGAATAGAATAATGTTAGATCGAACCTGGGTCCTCAGAAGTGTCAATCCGAAATACAACTCACTACACCAATCGCTCATTTGAACATAATGTATGTGGAAACAAAATATTGTGTTGTAAGTAACGAGATTTCCCAGAACTACAGATGAAAATGGAGTAGCCGTATCACGCACGCGTAAATCTTTCAACGTTGTGATTGGTCTAGAAGCCTAACTATCGGATAGCATTGAATTCGTGCGTTCTAGGGTGCGTTCGATTATTGACTCAGAGTAAGGTAAAGTTAGCTGGAGGTTTTATCAGTTCACTCAGAGTTGATTACTATTGCACGTAGTATTCAAACGGAATTTTGAGTTAGTTCATTGACATCTGGGATTGACATGAACAGGTGGGTTATATATGTTAATCTATATTCCAATTGCGAATAAATAATGTCGAATACCGCTTATCAATGTTGAATGCATGTGTTCCGTACTGCCATAGGAGGGTACTGATAAAGCATACACTATAAAAACAATAAATATAAGATTGAATTTGATAATTGAATATTTTGTTATGAGATATGTAGACTTCAAAGGAACCTCAGTGCCACTTTCTGAATATTTTACGATTTATTTCAACATCATTTCAGTCACATCTGTCTCTTTAATGATGTTGAGAAAAGTACTTAGCAAGTTTGAAGTCTTTGAGGATATGAATACAATCATAAACAGCGTTCCTAATTGCCTAACCTACCTTGAAAAAAACATGTAAACTTCTCCATCATTGTTCGCGTTGTAATAAATGTGTCAAATCAGTGGAGTAAAATATGCCGAATTATTTTGTGGAGTTACATGAGTTAAAAAGACAATAGTTATTTAACCAACTAGTGTATTAATGAGGGCGATTAATGATCGAGATATTTCAACGTACTAGCGAAGCGAGTGCGTTAATGTTCGAGATCATTAATCGCCTTATAATATACGAGTTGGTTACAAACTTTTTCCGTCGACTATATTTCTCATTATTTCTCCTGCAATGAAGAAAACATGGTTCGCCAAATCATCATCCATCCGGAAACTGCTAAGAATCACCCAGTAGCCTTGTTACTGACATTAGACACATTTGACATTTGTCGAAATGATCAACATAGGAAATAAATTCCTTGTGTTAAAAAACAGGGATTATTATCGTGTCAGAAACTTGGAAAGGCGAACCCGTTAACGGAAAATCGTCGATGAAATCCATATTTTCGATTCAAATGCAGATTCCGTAAGTTATAGCATATACAATGAATGCACGCGGTGTATGTTTGGTTGCCTATAAAACAATCGTGTATTAATAGACAAATCGTTCATTAATAGGGGTCATTAATGAACGATTTCATATACATTAAACTTAGTCGTTAATACGAGGTCGACGGAAAAAAGTATTTTCGAACGATAGCCACCGAGTAGAGTCTACAAAATCTAACAAATTTCGAACGCAGATGAGTAAATTCTACTCCACAGAATACGTATTCGAACGCACCCCTGGATACTCACTTTTTTCTTCAGTTCGACGGATATGGCATTGGCTTCCTTGAGGAAAATGGCATTGCCCCAGAGGTCGTCTCGAAGAGAAGTGAACTGATGGTGCTTCCACTTCCTCCATGCGTGCGCGGCGAGTTCAAAGTCTTTCTCTGTCCAGTTGCACTCTGAGTCAAATAGAGGGTTCACTGCAAAAGCGCTCGATCTATATTTTCAAAGTGATTTGAGCTAGTTATGTGATCACGAAAATTCTCATGACACATTCGGATCTAGAGGAGGAGATTAGAGTGAGAGGTTTCGAACTGAACTAAAAATAAAAACTCCCAAATATGCGAATTTTTACGTCAGTGAATTTATTGATTTCAGTATTTGAGTACGTCGCCATAATTAGCAGGTTTTATTTAGTATAAAATTCAATCTAAGAATTACGAATTGAATGAAATGACAGCGATCAAAAGTGCATTGTTTTTCATTGCCTAAAAATGCATGCCCATCTGCTGTTATATCTCTCGAAATTGAAAGACAGGAGCTTATTTTCAACGAATATATTCCTCTTTCTAACTCTTTGTTTATTAGCAATATTACAAAAGGAACTAACATAACAAAAATTGCATTTTACTTAATGTCAGTTTTTCGAGTGAAACAACTGGAAACATGTCTAATTAGTAAATGAATTTACCTAAAAGAAAAGAAGTTCGTGTGTTTTTTGGTAAGGTAAATTGACGACAACATATGAATGTACAACAAAAAATCAACTATTTCGAAAAAAAAAAAATCCACAGTGGACTCCACTTTGCTGAATATAGGCAAATGGTAGTTTTGCGTTGCAATACATTCAGTAGTCAGTTTTATTATAACTTCCTATGTCTTCGGGGTGCTGAATCCGATTCTGAAATTGAACTTTTTGAGATATTCTCGCAATTTTTCTGGTGTTTTGCTTATACTTTCGAAAAAGTATGTGTGAACTCTACATTTACCAAGGAGACCTAATCACCAACAATTTGAGTCCCACCGCAGCAGGTAGGTATCTAACAGTGCCCAAGGTACAGAACCAAAAAAATGAGTCAGTTTTTCCAAAAAGTGGAATTTCCATGTTCTGGGTCAAATTTTGAGCTCGAGAATGGGGATAATACTGGCCCTACAATAGAAATTGCCAGAGCTGGAGTAGAAGAAAATCTGCTCAACTTCAATTCAAAATCAAAACGGATGTGAGTAGATCAATGACATGAAAACTCACTGATTTTTTCATGAACTTACTATATTCATGTTTTATATGTAAGATTAGGTACGCACGATGTTTTCCGAACATTATAGGGGTTAACTTCCGTACGCCTCAAAAGATAAAAAAATATATACCTACCAACATGTAGGACATCAAAAATTCACTGTTTTTTGCGAATATCTCGAAATGCACCATAAAATTTTGTTGAATAACTACAGATACGGATTCAGCACACCAAAAATCATAAGGTTCGTTTATAAAACCGACTACTGTTTTTTTTTGCAAGGTGAGGGCTTATTTTGATACAGTTCTAATGAAATGAACGCCGGTCATCTACCATTGTTGTTCATTTATTGAGCACTTATTGGCGTAATGACTGAGTGTTTCCCATACTGATTTTCATTCCATTTTGAGCATTTTGCCTATTTTGTATTTTCGATGCATTTAAGCGAAGAGAAACTCGGTAGATTCATTATAGACAGTTAAATATGAAATATTATTAGCCAATATCTGAAAATTGTATGAATTCCTCGACAGCATTTGATTAGGAGTCCATCAAGTTGATTCTGTTTCAACTAGCAAGCAATGTGATTGTAGAGAATACATTATTTCACAGCAATAATTGAAAAATAATTTTCTGATCATCGATTTTGGTCGCACTTTTGTTGTCACTTCCGATGGCATCTCGATATGTTTTTTTACTATTTCCGCAACATCAATGTTGTGCTTGCTGTCTCGAAAAGAGGATGAAAATCGCAGTACATCCTTTACATACACGATTATTTCTTCAATGTGTAACTACCCACATGAGAATCTCTATTTTAAATTATATGATGAACGAACCAAAAGAGGTACAGTTCCCTTTACCCGTATATTTTGAAAACTGTTGGTAATATTTCAGATTAAAAAAGATTGTTTTATTGTTCACGCAAAAAGGTAACTTTTGACTGATTGAATCTATCTCGTATCATTTAGGATAAGTTTCATAAGGCATCCCTCCATAACAATTACATGATTGATTACTTGCACAACCATATTCAAATACAAACCTGAATGATGCTGACAATTCAATCATTCATCTCACACAAAGCTGCACTTATGAAATATTGTGCTGTTCATGAATAGTCTTCTTGAATATCACTGGACCATGACAAATATAGGTTATTATTTTCGAGTAATTTGTATTTTGTGACAATCCAATTATATGAACATTTATATACTTACACGCCTGGCAAAATTATCCTATAGAAAAACCGTGTGATTTCTGTGCAATGGCATTTTAAAAGAACGGCGACATTGCCATACGCTCATTATCGAGTTAGCTCCTCCTTCGAGCGATTCCATTGGTCGCCCGACCGAAATTGAGGATTATCGTTTGCCACACGTGCCATACTCGAGTAGGTGGGGCAACGGCGTTTACATATTACACGGTTTCACTACAACTAAATTATATTTGCCAAACGAGGTATAACTCCCTGGAACACGAATTGTTGTTGTTGTTGTAGTTTACCGTTTACCCATTACACGGTTTCTCTATAGGAAAATTATATTTGCCAAACGAGGTAAAATAGCTCCCTGGGCTGATACATTTCTTTGGGATCATCGGATTATTAATGTTCATATAGTCTTATGAAATTGTCAGAATATGAAGTATTCTCGATCGAGTGTAGGTAGGTCTTGGCGGGATATTACCAACGAATATCGAATGCATTATTCAAGTACAAACTAATTTGGGAGGATATTGAAGACTTTTCTCAAATAATAGCACTGATGATGCCTATAAGATAAATACTTAACAAACGACTTGAAGACATTGCTATGCTTGAAACATTACTAATTTTATAAATACTAAATTCATATTATAACTTATAATCATAAGAATATTGTTAATTCAGCAATATATCGGAGACTGGAACCTTTGGCACGATAATACACTACACTGTTCTACCAGTAACCAAACCGATTTTTTATACGCCTCCACACATGTTTCGCTAACTATGTTCGCAAAACAGGTGTCGAGGCGCATTAAATATTGTTTTAGTTAGTGGTGAAACAGTGTAGTGAATTTAGCAATGCTATAAGAAATTACGAAAAAAATTTACCCGAAAATAATAATGTTACTTACCAAATATATCATCTTCATTATTGAAATCTTCTGGTGTGTAAGAACTATACATTGACATAGTCATACTTTGTTCCTCAACTTGCTTTTGAAGAGCATCTATTCTAGCTTCATAGTTCTGAAAAAATGTATTATAATATATATAGTATGTGCCATTTATGTTTATATATTGGTTTTGGCTAACCTTTCTCTGCTCTTCGAACAACTGATCAGCAGTTTCTTTCTCCTTGCGATATTGTTCCTCGAGTAGCACCAATTTTTTCTTCATCTCGGCTTTGAGATCAACCCCTTGTTTTTCTAATAATTCGATTTGTGCGAAATTCCAGTCTACATTCTCGGTTTCGGAAGTCATCATATTTTTCTCTTTCAATTCCCTAACTTCTTCTGGATGAGTGAATCTGAATACGTGGTTTTTACCGAGTATCACTCTTGAAGCTGTTTTCAGCTGGATTGGTTCTGTGATCTAAAAAATTGTGCTACAGGTAGCAGGTACGTTAAGATTCTTCTCCATGTGGCCACAACATATTATTAAATATCGAATATATCATTGGAATAAATCTTTCAGATATCTCTCCAGACGATTTCGTGGAAATAAATTGACTCATTCAGAAATAATATTAAATTCAATAGAAAATCACATTGCCACGAGCTACAATTAAAATTGATATGAAAATTTCAATTTTTTATAAAGTTCCTTATGAAGAGTCATTAAAGACTCGAAGACTTGAACAGAAACAAGAGTACACTTTGATCTACTTTGACTGCATATCCAAAGGAATTCACAGTCGTTTAATCCTCTCATCTACGAAATACATATATTTAAAATAGATAAAAATAAATAACATTGATAGTAAAAAAGGTATGTTTTCAACATAATATTATAAGAAATAATGTATTGCACTTATTACATTTGGAAATGTTCAGGCTGAACAACTAAGAACGGCTGTCATGTCTATCATTCTTCCAACTTTAATAGTTAATATCTTCCGTTGGCGAAAAGCTTTCATGTTGCGGTTTTCGTTGGTCTGTTGAGATTTAGTTTCTCTATTACATCGTTTAATGATATGCATACCATTAGTTTTATTTTATCTCAAACTTGTATCATTATTCGTTGTTGAGATATGGCCGACAGCCCTTCTTAGTTGTTCACCCTGTACAAGCCAGTCAAACAAAAACAGATGAAGACATAAGTTGTTAGGTATGTATGTATCTGGAGTTGATAATCACTCTAACTTATCGTCAGAAGAATTCTGTGAAGAATAATATACACTACACTGTTTTACCACTAATCAAACCGATTGTTTACGTCTCGACACGTGTTTCGCCAACTTTGTTAGCATCATCAGGAGAAGATTGGAACTACAAAACAACCTACTCACAGCCTTTCTGAATGCCTTTGGTTTCTCAATTTGTTTAATATGTACTGGCGAATGATTGAACATTTTGATTCCATTAAAAATCATCGAATTCTTAACTAGCGAATTATTTTTGGAATTGGAAGATCTAGGTCGACGGGTATTGTAAGAAGAAACATGCCCGGCGAAAGAAGTTTTAAGTTCCATTATCAGACATACTGATTCCAGAATGAACATGGAAATAACTGTTAAGACACCATGTGTCTTGAATAATGGTTTGCAGTTATCTCTTACTTTTGCCTTGCAAATGTACCGTAATAGTCTTTTTTGTAATACAAAAATCTTATCCAAGAGTTCTCTTGAACACTCCCCAGAAAGCAATGCCATATCTTATATGGCAGTCTACTAATGCAAAGTAGGCTGTTCTTGATAGGGGATATCCCAACTCATCAGAAATGACTCTCAGGGCATAACAACCTGATGCTACTTTTTGATGTGCTATTTGCACTTTTGTATATTTTTTATATTGAAATAAACTCTTTTACGTTTATTTTATATCAGTTTTTATTTTGAAAAACTTTATATAACTTTTCTTCAACTTGTTTATAACAACATGACAATTGAATACATTTTGTTTTTTTTTTACTTGAACGTTTCAACACACTTTATATTTTTTCATGCTTCAGTGAAATATGACATTTCATATTTCATTCAGAGTTGCCAACTTGTCACTCATTAGTAGATATGATATTACTTGGATGTTTATAATTACCAACCTCGAAACGAAATTAGAACTTTTATTTTAGTACAACACTTTTTTACCCACCTTCACTACACGGTTTCTGAATTTTAATTTATCATCTACATTTCCAAGAAATGTGGAATTGTTCTTCTTTTTATTGAATCATTTCGTAGCCAAATATCGCGCTTTCGGTATAACATGTATTATTGAAAAAAAAACTACAATAACCCATTGGGGTACTTATTTCTTGAATGTATGAATCTTCTTACTACCTTTTGTACAATTTTTAGTCCAAGAAATGTGGAATTGTTCTTCTTTTTATTAAATAATTTCCTAGCCAAATATCGCGCTTTCGGTATAACATGTATTATTGAAAAAAAACTACAATAACCCATTGGGGTACTTATTTCTCGAATGTATGAATCTTCTTACTACCTTTTGTACCATAATGATGTCGTCGATGATTAAATTTTGGATCTTTTTGTGATTTATTTATTTATTTATTTCAAGTTTGGGAAACAAACAGGTAAAACCCATACAAGCATCCACTAATAGTTACAATAATAATAGATCTTTCGGTAGTCTAAGAGGTACAGGAATAAACTGAATTGTATTCATTATAAGATTAAGAATTGAAAATATGTCTTTCAGTTATTTCGAAAGAATTAAATGTCATGGAGAATATATCTAAATTATTACAATATTTGTTGAAACAGTAACAAATTCTGGTGATTGTAGAATTTTTTCCCAAATTTATGTTGTAACTAGGACTATTAAGTAATTGTCTATTTCTAGTATATCTTTGAGGAACATGATAAAAAATCATAGACACTAAATTAGGAGAATCGTAACAAGTTTTTATGATTTTGTACATAAAGAGTAAATCCGTAATTATTCGTCGTTGCTCGAGAAGCTGTATTTTATAAAGAGAACGAATTTCACTGATGCCAACAGTTATGTGAACTTTCGTTATTTTGAAGTGGAGAAACCTTACAAATCTATTCTGGAGTCTTTCTAATCGTAATTTATAAACAATATAATGTGGGTTCCATACTACACTGGCGAAATTTAGTTTGCTGTGAACAAAAGCAAAATAACCAGATTTGATGGCTGCCTCATTATCAAAGTCCTTGCATGTTCTGCAAAAAAATCCCAAAGCTCTATTGCAAGAATTAAGTAGGTACTCAAAATGTTGGTTGAAAGTCATTTTTGTATCGAAGTATACACCAAGATCCTTGATTCGGTCTGTTCTTTTGACTATACTATCATTCAGTAGATATTGGAATTCTATAGGGACAATGGTTTTACTGAAAGATATACTCGCACATTTGCTGACATTGAGTTTCATTTTGTTACGGCTACAAAATTCAGTGAACCTATTTAGATCTTCTTGAATCTTTGAGCAGTCCCTAATTGTCAGCACTTTTCTGAATATCTTCAAATCGTCAGCATATAACAGTATCTGTGAATTTTTGAAACAGCTGTTCAGAGCATTAATAAACACTGAAAACAGTAAAGGACCCAGATGTGAGCCCTGAGGGACTCCTGAAGTTATGATGGCTTATCAGCCCAAAGCGCTCTGCGATTGATTTTACAGGAAATACAAAAATTTCTTCATTTGATTAATTCATTGAATAACAACATCAGTGCAATGCGGATTTGAACATTGAAGTTCTTCGGGGCTCAGCCTTATTAGGTCCCATACCTTCTTAATGCCGAATCAGGCTTACTGACTTAACAAAGGGTATTATCTGAATTTGGAGGAGATAAACAGTTTGAACCTTCTCTTGAAGATGCTAACATAGCGAACATGTGAAAATGATTTGAAAAGTTGGTTTGGGTAGTGGTGAAACAGTGTAGTAACATGATATATAAAATACCAAGAATTTCAGTGTTTGATATTAACGACTAAACAGATTATTGACAATAAACAAAAATCTGATCAATGATCATAGTTTGCTGAGAAGAAATTATCCCAACACACATTGCAAGATATCTAAATGACAGTACTGAATACTAATACTCATACCATCAGGAGACGAAATCATGTTGAAAAAATGAGAGAAGAGATCTAGGTAGACACCACTCACCTCTCTACCATTAACATATATGAGTGCTCCATTTAATGGTACTAATGTTACTCGATTGTCCTTATTCTCGAAAACGCAGTGTTCTGATTTAATATGTGATCCACAAAGCACTATATCTTGTGGAATATTGGCTTGATCTGTGCCAATTCTTGTTAACCCTTCCTGAAAGTCAAGTCACCTTCTAATAAGTTCAATGTTTTTTAAACAGAGCTCACCTTGATATAGTAGATCAAACATTCCGACATAAATGGGTCTTCATTGAGGTTGACTAGATGAGGGGTGCATTTAGGAGAGAAAACACCCACTGTATCACCATCTTCTTTAACAGCTACTCCCATTTCAGCGAAAACTGCTTCCCTTTGTATTCGTATCGCTTCTGTTTTCTTCAATTTTTCTTCCCACGTTTCATTCAGTTCTAAACATTATATTATGAAAGTGAAATGAAGATGAAATGAACCATGAACTGAAAATTAATTTACCTGCTATGAGTTTTTCACTGGCTTGTAACTGATCAACAGCTTCCTCAGCAAGTGTTGTTGACTGGGACCTCGATCTTTCAACCTCTTTGTTGTTTCTTGGTATGATATTTCCTTCAACTCCTACAAGTAAAATTTATTTGACACTATGGGTTGATAATCTTTTTGTGATTTCTTATGTAAAAACGATGCTTGAAGCCGATGAACATATCATAATACTTCATACTTGGAATAAATTTTGAAATAAACTTTTTGCCGATTCCTCATTGGTATGGTATGTTATAATAACAAAGCGAAGCTTTCAAAAAAATAGCTTTCGTTTACATATCATGACAAATACACTGTACAAGAATTAGTTGGATCTAACTTGCGGAAGATGCAATAATGATAAGCAACGATGAACAAAACAGCATGGTCGAAAATAGAAACGGGGGACCTGGATAATCCGTTCGGATTTCACACAATCCTAGCATACAAATATTTGAACCAATATAAGCATTCAATACAGAGAATGAGAGCTCTTTCCACTAGCTTTTGATGTATCGCGTTTATTTTGTCTGATTTTATGTAGCAAAAATGTTAAAGGATGATGAAAAGAATAATAGTTATTTATTATACAAGGGAGACAGAAAGTGGTAAGCTAAAATCTAATATTCTCCCCGTGAATAATACACTATTTTTTTCTGTGACAGGAAAAAGTATGAAACGTAAAATTTGAAGTTTTTAACCGGAATTACACCTCGTTTCGATAAACAATTCATTACGAGTTCTGTGATCAGAACTCGTAATCTTTATACCTTACGATTAGAACGCCTAATTCTATAGTTTCATACCAAATTTCAGAACAAAACATGGGCATTGAAATATGGGTCAAATTATACTAATCTCAGACTTACGTGGGTGCATGGTAATACAGCAGAGAAGAAAAAATACTGAGACGTAGGTCATAATACATTTTCGTCGCTTTGTTAACAAACAACGAAATGTTGCCAGTTTTATTAGTTGCTACTTTGACTACTTGTCCTTGAATTCATTTCCGAAAAGTCAAACATACTATTATAAGATCTTTGGTAATATTCATATCATACTCGATTATTGTGATGAAGTGATTTGTTCAGGACTGCAGAACTTCTTGTTGAGCATGAGGGCGAAGGAAAAAGTTCCATAAGTACCTATCTAATTATTTCTGATGCCTATCTGTATCTATCACATGAGATGTACTCGACGTTTCTTGATTACTATAACAAAGAATGGGCTTGGGACACATTCAAACTTGGAATGGTCATCATCTGAACATTTGTTCTATTCATTTCACAGAGGATGATTCTGTTCTGACCAAATTCAAGGTAGGATTTGATGCCTAACTCAAAACCCGCATTATATCTTGATTCCCGCTTTCAGTTGAAGCTGTTGAAAACACTTTCCCAGAAGGATGTAATCACATTGTTTTCATATGATGAATTGTTTGTTTCTGATCCATCAGGAATTGATCCTAAAAAGCTTTTCGAGAAGTTTAAATGAAAGCAGTCTCAGAAAAATGCTGTTTGCTTTGGGTATTAATGGTATATTTTTCAGTCCAATGAAATCATCTTCTCCAGATTCCATCACAATGGAAAATGTGGTGAATCGAAGTTTTTGAAATGTGAATTCTATAAACAGTGAAATGGAAAATTATATACTAATTTATATTGGCATAGCCTTTTCGTCTGTATTTGGAGGAAGTAGAGTCTTTTGAAATGAACTCATTGATTTGATACAGTGGAATGGGATATTTATTGAAACCATGAATTGAATATGTTATAAAATATTCAAGAATAATATGAGAAATTTCCCTATTTTGAATATATTCTATATTTGTGTAGTGAATTCCTTTCTCAAAAACTAAGATCAGACATGTAGAATGTAAAATATGGCAAGCATATTCATTTTCTCACATCATCCAAATTTCCCAATGGGGAAGACCACTGAGAGAAGAAATCCGTGCAAACCTCTTTTAATCGACGAATCATGAGTTACGTTTGATGCACAATCAATATTATGAGTTGAAGTTGAAGGGAATCGAATCTATATCGTTTTGAAATCAGCATATTTCATTCGATATTTCAAACAGCCAAATATGATGGTGAAGCCGTGACGTATTAGTCCCAACCTGTAGCTATCTCTCTCTGATACCTCGTCATCCTGCAGTGTTGCAGTGTGATTGGTCAGTTCAAGGACAATAGGCGTGTTGGGACTAAGACGTCGCACCAGTCACACCAATGAATTGACAAAATTTCGAATGGCGCAGGAATTGTGTGCTTTGAAATGGACATATTCTAATTTATTGTTTTCATCGTCTTAGCATGAATGACAAAATTCAAAATTAATTCGCTGGTAGTATTTTAGTATAGAGTACACGATAATGTCGTTTTAAAAAATCAGTGGTCTCCCCCATTGAAGTTATATAGTCAGCTTCTGATTTTTCGAAAGTTCATCTTATCTTCGAGATACGCCACTGGTGTACATTTACATTTTACCACGAATTTACACGCCGCTACTGTTTATGATTCGTTCACAGTATTTCATCAGATGCATGATTTTCTCGTCCGCCATATTGGATACGCTTTCTAGTCGTTAGGATATAAAGATTATGGGTTCTGTGGTTCTGACGCACCAATCAATTATTTTTCACGGAATAGTATGAATGAAACACATGAAGATTAGCTAGATGACTTTTTAGTTCAATAGCGAGACAAAATCAATATGATATATCTAAAGCTAGTAGAATAAGCTCTCATTTCCATTTGAATCATTCCACATACTATACGGAACGAAAGCTACAACTGTTGAAAATCGGACGACATTTTCGGATGACCCGTTTCTATTCTTGAACACTATTTGGTGTTTGACAAACATTTTCAACTAATCCACATGGTGAGACACCTTTTATCATGTGAATAAGTGTTCAATTCAGTATGGGTGTGCCAGAAGCCTCGTTCTCAAGCAAGTACTTACTAGATGGCTCCTTTTTCTCATAAATTACTTTACCATCAGGGCCTGCATTGCCGCAAAAGTTTAAAATGTCATCAGCCACAATCTTGTAGATTTAGAATTCATAGTCATAGAAACCAGTTTCTCTGTGCTAATTTTTCGAGTACTCACGCAAGACAATCTTCAATACTACAGCTATTTCAAAATATCTAACAAAGCGTTGAAAATTCGAGGCTCTTTATCAGTTAGCTATCAAAATCAGTAGGTAGCTGATTTAAGGACGGTTAGATGACCGAAAGAGTCTAGGGACTATCTTACGTTGATGAGTTTTCTAAAAATTATCCGAAGTATTTGTTCTTATACTCATTCCTTCAAACAGTTACTATCGAATTCCAAAGAATTTATTTTGTGTATTTTCTTGAAAAATTGAGAGAAGTTGATTTCCATTAATATAGAGATAATTTGACACGCAGAGATACTGTAAGATTTCACGGAAAAACACATAGAAAAATGGATCCAAAGGGAGCTAGGTAAAAAATCGATAACTTTCAGTTTTGTCTTGTATTTTCTGGGTGTAGGTTGAAATTTATGAAAGTTGTGAAGATTTGACATTCAGAAATATCCAGTTCAATTAAATTTATGGAAAGCCATAGGACTTAAGGACCCCCCAAGGGGTCAGGAGAGGAACATTTAAAACATTTTCTCTACATTGGTATTTAATTTAGCATTATATTGAATATGATCACTAATAATATTTATTCAAAGAGTATGCCAATCAGTTCTTTTATCTGGTAAAATGTACTTGTTATCTTGTGCTGTTGGGACGTTGAATAGATTTGAAGATGAGTAAAATAATAAGAAAAACTCAATGTAATACCAAGACAAACTTCTCATAATTTTTTGAGTTGTAGCGAAAAGTGGTAGGTTGCAGGATTAACTATGATTTGTATATTCAGAAAACGTCAATAAATTGTTGGTTTGGTTATTAGCTATTGTCTATCTGAAATTGAATTTAGAATATATATTTGAATCATATTTGTACGTTCCTATCTCAATTGATGAATCATTTTGTCATGGGTGCGCGTAGCATTTGCTACCATTGCTACGTGGCTACCAATAAGAGATGGGATTTTTTTTAAATGAAAACCTTGTATGTTTTCATACTTCGATTTGTCGTTATCTTGTCTACACAACCACATCTCATTTTTGCAATTCTTTTTCGACGTTACCAAGATAATTAGAATTATCTTGAAAAATCATAATACAAAGATGGTGATTCGAATATCCCTGATGCTGATCTTCTTTTTGAGAATTTACATAAAAAAATTATGCACGGAATGAATCGCTTCATTGACGTCATAATTGAGAGTTATTTTACAGGGTGATTCATAATGAACTGTTAATATTGATTTTTTAGAATGGTAATGACTTGTTATTTCATATGAAATACCCTGTATATTTTAGAAGAAATACATTGTTACTCACAGTCTCTTCCATCTGATGTCATATTTTTCATATCAATTCTCTGTATTTCTTGAGATATAAACTTGTCCTCGAATTTGTTAATGCCACAGTAATCTGAACAGCAAATGATACTTTCTATAATTTTTTTTGTAGGCATGCCGTACTACTAATACAGACAAATGTAACAATCTCAGTTTCAATTGATAAACGAGGTCTTGAATTAGAAAGAAAAACACACTATTTTGATAATATCTCGTGATTTTATCAATTGAGTTGATTCGATTATTTTACAAAAAAAATAACTATTTCTGAGAAAGATAAATTATATTGTTATTACCTTACCGGATGGTTTCGATAATATTATCGATATCGAAACAATTTGATGGATTCGTAGAATTATTATCACTTATAATATCACAAGGGCTTCAATTATTTCCGGATATTTTTTCGAGAACACGAATATTATGAAAATTCCCGGATATAAATTGAAGCTAAAGAGGTATTCGGTAATAAGGAAATTCACACTGAAATATTATTGAGAAATTACTTGGATAATGACGATTTTTGATGGTTTTGTAAATTCCGAATTTGCAAGTATACCTACATAATATTATATGGTAAACTGTTGATAAATGATTTTTATTTATCGACTTATAGAATGAACTCGAAATAATCTGAAATTGAATGTAAATGTCATTTGCCCTATAAACGTCAAAACATTTCCAGTGTAATTCCATGCTCCGTCCCCCAAGAAAAAGGAAAAAAATTCCCAGAAATTTGTTTATTTGCTATGGTACGAAGGCTTTAAAATGATCGAAATGTGGTGTGCAATTTTCTATGGTAATTCTGCGACTATTGCTACTAGGAGCTTGAAAAATGGAATAATATAAAATAACAAAGTTATTACCATCCGGTAAGGAAAACGTTGGCCGTTTATCAAAAATCACCCTGTAAGATAACCCTCAATAATGACTTTATTGAAGCAATAGCCGGAGTATCATAGGAATTCATGAATAATTTCGAATGGAAATTCTGAAAATAAAGATCAGCAGGCATATAGGAATCATCTATGTATTTTAGTTTTTCGAAATAATTCTAATAATTAATTTGGAAATACTTCAAAATGATGGCAAAAATAAGATACGGTTGCATGGAGAATATATTGACGAATCAAACAAAAATAATAGTTATTTATGTACCAAGGAGGTAGAATAGGCTTTTATGGACCGAGCGACAGCGAGGGCTATTAACACGCCAAGGTCCATGAAAGCAAGTTACGCCCGAAATATATACCACATTTAATGTACAGGGTGCGCCTCTTAAAATGGAACCCCCCTCGACTATTTTGTTTCCAGATATGTGAGAAAACGTTAAATATAAAAGTTGTTCCAAACGACCCGCATTCTTATTTCAAGGAGTTGCTTTATGTACAAGGTCATTCGTTTTTCCGGAAAGAACATTTACTTTCATTTTTTCAATGGAGACATATCGACAGAGATCTTTCTTCTGTTTTAAAAAATATATATTAAATGCATATTTGAATGGAAAATAATTCAGTTATTGCTGATCAAAGTTTACCAAAATACCGCATCTTCAATTCAATGTTCATTCATATTTTTTGTATTGAGATTGAGCGATGTCAATTTCATAATAGACAATATAATGACATTTCCATAGAGCCTTAACAATAATATATAAACATTTTTTCAAAGCCCACTATGTTCAACTTACATTATAAGATGATATGAAGTGAAGGTTCATGAAGCGGTATTTTGGTAAACTTTGATCATCAATATTTCAACTATTTTTCATCCAAATATACAACTAAAATATATAGGGTGTGTTGAAAAAATCCTTTCTGGAAAACTAATGACCCTGTAAATTGAATAGTTACACGAAATGAAAGTTTGGGTAGTTTCAAAAAACTTCTTCATTCAACGTTTTTTCATATCTCTGAAAAAAGAAGGAGTCAAGGGGGGTTTCATTTTAAGAGGCGCACCCTGTACGACCAGTATTTCGATTTTCGTTTAATGTCATAACAGATAACTTATTTTGGGTTCGATCATATCCTTTTGCATCTCAGAAATATCAAGAGAACTGTGATATTGAATAATGAATCATCACAGCTGAAACATAAAATGTCCTAAATTATACAGGAATGCTCATTACGAGTTACCTAAACGCCGGGCGGCAAAGTGCTACTTTACGTTACGCCCGGTCGTACATAAAAATAATTTTGATTCGTAGACCTCACGATTTGCACTATATGCTCGAAAAGAATGTGTCTATTTCTTATTGCAACGGCGCTATAGAGCTTTTCCACACTATGTAGCCACCCGTTATATTCACATCAATGAATGTACCTTCTGTTTTCTATTAGACCATTTTGAATTCATTGTTTTTCATTCATTTTGCAAAAATATCAAGATTGTGAGGACAGAAGCCTTCAAATCCACCATGATTTTTTTTCGAGATCCGAATGGTGAGCCACGAATTTGTAACTGCCTGTACATAGGTGTGCGTGAGAAGAAGAAATGCGAAATAAACTGAGATCTCAAAAGCCAAAATACGACTGAAGTAAAATAATTTTGTGGAAAATCAATAGCACAGGAAACTGAGAAATAATCTACAACTTTCTTATTTCAAACATACCTTCATGCACTTCAATTCCCTCCTGTTTCAATAACTCCCTAAGTTTCTGTATTTCTTCTTTGAGTTCTCTGATGAGCTTAGCATTAGCATCTTCGTTAACAATTGCTTTACACACAATTTGTTTGGCTCTATCAGCATATCTGGAAATATTTTGTTATAATAGAACAATTAGTGAAACTTTCAGTCAGTTTATTATGATAATGTCTACCTGAGAGTAGATAAAGTTTCATCATAATTTATATCAGCAGGTGATATGGCAGCTATCATAGCAGTTTTACTATTACCACCTAAATTTTCTCTGAGCAGCCATGTCAGAACAGAATCTCTGTATGGAATAAAGTCAGCCTTCTTTGATTTCTTATTTTTGGTTGCCTATAAAAGAAGTTAGAAAGAATATGACAAGAAATTCAATTAGATTTAGTATGTCATGTAGCTGCATGATTAATATTAACAATTTTATTGATCAACAATGTGTACGTACCGACTATAAGGAAGGCAGGAATTATAAAGTGGTTAATATTAGTATGTTGCAAGAAAATTCATCGAATATCTTCAACTTACTATTTCTGCTAAAGCTGATATCACTTTTCCAAGAGTAGTGAGACTCTTGTTGATGTTCGCACCCTCCTTCAACCTTGTACCTTTCGCCCCTGTTGAATCTGCTCTCTCAGATCCTGCCAAATCCACTAGGGAGATTTTTGACACCTTCTCAGTTGTCAGTCCTGTTGTTTCATCATTTCTGAAAAATGATATGCATTTGTGAACAGCACAACCCTTCAGTTGAATAATAGAGGGTGTTTATATACTGTTTGAATTTGCGTGGAGATGAAGCTGATTCGCGAGATTGTCTTAGATGGCAGCTTATGGGTCCACCATATACATTTTTATATGTCTCTTTCAAAAGGTAGGCATTCTTGGACATTAATTATACAGGCTGTCTTACAAAAATCGAAGAAATCATCTGATTTTGTTCAATTCAATATCTAATAGTGAAGGAAAAATAAATTCACTGGTTCGAAAAACACTCTGAAGAACACTCGAAAAACACTACATCTTTGTCCAAATGTAATTATGTTTCCTGGATTTTCCTATATATCTTGGAGCACACGGGGTGGAAGCACGGAATTACATCCTCCAAATGAGAATAACGTGTTTAATGCTAAAGTTCACGTGAAAATTGTATCTGTTTTTAGTGTTTTTTGAACCATTCAATTTGTTCTGAGAAACCAGAAAAAAATGTGGAGTTACTTCTAGATGTGTTATTCGAGGTGAAATTTTCATGTCTCTATTTTATTATCTAAAAATAATAAATATCATCTATAAATAAAATGTTGATACTCATTTTGATATACATATAATCGAGACGAATCAGATGTTCCCTCCCAAAATGTCCCTGCATTTGAATTAAAACTATTAGAAACCTCGGAAACACATTTTTTTATCGAAAATCAGTTTGAAAGTACAGATATACAGGGTGATTCAAAAGTAAGCGGCATCCTTTCAGAGGCGTATTCCTTGCTTGAAAACAAGGCAAAAAGTTCCTATTGATAAGGATCCGAAAATGCTTCCTAAGGGAGCTACGGCCCTTTGAATAGGACACCTCAAAGACGGTTTTTTCTCTATAACTTTAAAATCCTTCACAACAAATTTTTAAAAATTGGTGTACGGCATAAACATTCGATGGTAAATAGGACTCCGTATTCGAAATTTCAGAATTTCATTCAGGGGCGTCACATGCGGGAGAGGGTAAGTGTAAAAATATCCCTTCTTCTCCGGATATTCAGGTTACTGTGATTTCGTTTGGAAATTATTTCGAATACGGAGTCCTATTTACCATCGAATGTTTATGCCGTACACCAATTTTTAAAAATTTGTTGTGAAGGATTTTAAAGTTATAGAGAAAAAACCGTCTTTGAGGTGTCCTATTCAAAGGGCCGTAGCTCCCTCAGGAAGCATTTTCGGATCCTTATCAATAGGAACTTTTTGCCTTATTTTCATGCAAGGAATACGCCTCTGAAAGGATGCCGCTTACTTTTGAATCACCCTGTATAGATATACGGTTTCTCGTGCTTCAATGTAACAACCTCGTAATTCCAAACGAACTGAAGATCTGATGATTCGATTCATTTTTAAATTACTACCTATACTCAAAAAGATCAATGGGAGGGTCCATGAATTGAGTATGCTTCATCATTTCATGGCATACACACACCACAAAAATGGTAAATTCAAGATTAATTGGAAAACCACTCTGTACCTTACGAATCTCAATGACAACTTCTGTTACTGAAAAGTGTCAGAACAGAAAAACGGAAACGTCGTTATTGATAATTATTTTCCATTAAAAAAAAAAATTTTAATTTTCGATAAATTGACGATAACTCGACTATATAACAGGCTTGCCGATGAACTTGAAAAAACTGGTAATAAGTTTAATTTCAAACAGAAGCTGAAGAAATTCCTCCTATCAGGCGATCTCCGCTCCTAAGCATTATTATAATAATTTTTATTCTTTTCATTTACCTCTCCTCCATAGTATGCCTATAATATTTTCAATAAAAATTTCCGATAATTGATCGTATGTCCGGACCTGCTCTGGCTCACTGGTACTAAATTTGTCATTGGAATATTCAGAATACTTATGTGTATTGTACATTTGAGTTTAAGTTTGAGAAATTTGAGTGGAAGGAAGCACTTCCTCGTTCCTTCCTTTGTGGGAACGTTTAAGAGGTAACTCTGCCACTTGATAGATATACTTATTTGTTCCTCCTCTGTAGTTGTATTTCTTGTTCTTCATATCTATCAAAAAAGGCGTTTATTATTATTATTTTTATTATTATTACTATTATTATTATGTGAAGTGAAAGAACTGTCATGTATCTCTGAATAATTAGTGACATAGTGATATCTTGTCGTGAACCCTTTCATAAATATTGAGATGGCACTATAGGTACCAGAGGATTGGAAGTGCCAGGTGACTTTTATATTTTTAGAAGTAGAAAAAAAAACGAAAAATATAACAGATACATTTTGACTATCTGCAAAAATATACAGGAAGCAGCAAAAAGTGTATACATCTTAAATGGAACACCCTATATATATCGTCACCATTGGAAATACATTTCGAAGAGCTTTCCAAGAATACCATACTCAATATATTTATCTTCTGTATTTCTCAAAATATGGGCTGTCCAAACAAACAAAGTAAAATTCATAGCATTTTTGTTGCTTCCTGTGTATCTTCCCTGGTAGTGGAAACGTGTCTTATGTTCTGAGAAGGAAAAATTACTGTCAAGAATTGAAGTGCTAGAGGGGAAGGGGGTCGTACTTTATAACGTGTCACCCGGTACAAGACTTTATGCACTGGCCGTTAATGACATATTCAGTGCAACGTTTTTTTAATGTGTGCATCTTTCAAGTGATGATTTTAATGGGTTTTCAACATTATCCTAGACAATAATAATTATCAATTTGTGTTCGCATGCAGCAGCGTCTCCAATCAAATTTGAATTTGTATTGACAATTGATGATTTCGAATTAATAAATAGATGCTAATTGGTTTTTGTTGAAATTTGGAAAAAATAATACCGCGGAAATTATTAACTGAACATGTGACAAAAGAGGGGTATTATTGAACAATTATTCAACGTATTTTCGCAGCCGTATTTTTGATTAATACTGTCTGTAGGTTAATCGAGGTGTTACATTCATTTTACTTGATCATTTTCGATTTTCTCTCCTCGTTACTCTTACTTATTCATTCGGAAACGAATCTGCTTTCGTTCTCAATATAAAAATGCAAAATATTTTTCTTAGAAAATTCTGTTTTTATAGTTTGACACTCCTCAGTGTCATTCGCGACAGAAGATAACACGTCGCCCCACCTGACGGCAGCAACTTGAACACTACTGAGCGGTTTGTTTTGGTGATATGACCAATAAGCACGAATAAAAAACGAATGTGAAATAATGAAAACAAAGTAAACATGCCGCTTCGACAGCTATCAAGAACTCCGATAGGTGGCGTACGCTTAGTTCATCCATATGCCAACATCAGTATGACACTGGTAAGTGTCAAACCATGAAAATAGAATTTTCGAAGAAAAATATTTTGTATTTTTATATTGAGAACGGGAGCAGATTCGTTCCCGAACCGTCCAGAGATGAGTAAATATTCGATATTTTTTCAATATATCTATAATTCTTATCTTCAAACTTTTTTCCAAACAAAGTGTCACTGACAAGCTATTGGATTTTTCTTTTAGGCTCCCTGATAGACAAATTTGTTAAACGTAGTGACATTTTGGGGCAAACCATCTGATTTGTCCTACTACGCATATATTGAAATAATACTCATATTTTTATTTTGTACAAACGAGGAGAGGAAAGCCCAAATAATGAAGTAAGATTACTCATTTTTTGTGTTACTTGTGTCACAATAAACTACTTCGCATACAATCGTGGCATGCACATGCGCTGTGGTAGTTTTTCAAACATCCACTTTTATTGTGATTACAAAATGATTTTAAATATACGTTGCACAGAATCTGTCATTAACGGCCAACGGTAAAATATATGGATCTCAGGTATTGTGACAGTACTTACTTATCTAATTTCAGTAAATGTTGATGCCTAACATTATTTTATCATTCATCGAATAAAGGTAATAGTTATTGAAAATGTACCTAATTTCGATATGATAAAAAGTATTTTTTCTCTATTACAGTTATAAAATATGAGCGATGAAACTGATGCAAGTAACTTAACGTATTGAATTCATCAAAATTCATACGTTGTCCTATCTGCTGACGAATTATGCAAAGACTTCTAAAATACTGAACCTAGGAGGAAAACAGTCTGATCGACAAAAAGTATCACGCGGCTCCGTGTGTTACTTTCTTTATCAGAGTAAGAGCCCAGGGCACCCAGACATAACTAATTTTCTAAAGTACAAAATGTGGGGCCTCGAGTAGTGTTTATATGTACATACAGTGAATGCCAGCACAGGAGCTAAGTTTGTTAGACGACCAATTCACGTTGTGCTAGACTTGCTAGAGGTACGCATATATCGTATAGAAAGCAAGCAAATTTGCACATTAGATCCAAATGAACGCTTTGCCCCGCAGCACCTAATCTTTTGGGCATGTTGGTCCGAATTTCGGGAAGGGGGGAGTAAATTCGGCGATATTTTTTCGAAAATCGAAATAAAGAAAATGGTGTCCGATATCGTGCGATAACGACATGATTGCATGATTCGTGGCGTGTTAGGTATAGTTTAACATATTTCAAGCATGTCTGAAGATAATTGAACAAACAAAACTATGCCATTATATAAATTGAACAACACTGAATAGCACTTTTCGATGCTGTTAAAATTAACATTAACTGTTGAAATCAACAGTTAATGTTTCAATACAAAAATTTTAGTACCTACCTACATGCGGAAACATTGATTTCCAGGGTGAATGTTCAGGTCATATCTAGAAGAAAAAAAAACATTTCAGTTGAGGTATAACAGTCCTCCATCAACCTCTTCCTCTTCATTTTAGTGTGGGTGGGGTTTGAGTTGCGTTTGATTCCTACATTAAGCAGTGATATGAAATAATCGTTCACACTGGATCATTCAAAGCGACTTACTATTTGTTCAAACAGTACTCTTTGCAAGTTGTGTATCCCAGGTAGCACGGTAATATGTTCTTACGGCCAGAGGTTAGGTACTAGATTTCCGATGGTTTGTGGCGTGCTTATTCAAATTAGCAGTATAATTTTTCTATAATCGATGAAGGCATTGACCCCGAAGTATTACTTGTATATATATTGCAACGATTTTGTGATTATTTCACCTAGAGTGACTTTATTATATCCCATGTTCATTTTATACATAGTAGTATCCGAAGTTGTTGTGATTTGTCACCTGTTATATTGATCAATTTCTTTCATACCACGTGATACATTTTCTATTTACTTGCACGTCAACAATGTTTTTGAATAATTCTTTTTTATATGTTTCTTTTTCCATGGATCGTTTACCTCAATATGTTTTGTTCAACTTTTTTGTAGGTAGATAATGCATTATAAACACAAGTGGAACTATTTTAGTAGAAAACTCCACTGCAATAGCGCTTATATAGATTTAAAATGTGATTTTGAAAATACTCCCACACCTTTCAAACCCCATTACATGCATATTTTCTTTAAATAGTGACCTTGGGATATTTTTTTGGTAAAATTCATATCCAGAGACCCCAGAAATATGTAAATCCATACCTCACTCGGCTCGAATTATGCAAGATTGTCAATGGTACCATATCGGGCGCCATTCTCCAAAATTGCGGCTTTTTGAGACCATCAGATTCCTCAAGACAATTTCATATAAATCGACATCTGGATCATCTTCATAGCTTCATTTCGATTCAAATCATAGTGGAATGAACCCCCCCTACCCCTTGAAAATCGAGCCAACACACCAAAAAAAAATGGGTGCTGAGGGTCAAATCGTCCATTGGGGTATTGAGAACAAGTGTGCAAAAAATCTTGTTTTCTATACGAAATGCGTTTTTTTCCTGATATTTTCGTTGTACCCCTAGCACAAACGGTAGACATAATTGGGATTACTTTACTCGAGTCCTAATGATTGAATTAATATATAGTTCCATAAGATATCATTACAAAATGATATTGAACATTGCCAGACACTTTCCGCAGGCCATAACTTCCGCCAGACGCTTTGAAGCTCCAAAAAAAAAACAATTGCAACTTCACTTATTTTTTAACGCCTGTTTTTTATATTATGTTATTCAGATGACTATTTTGAACATAGACTTGTTCAGCCAGACACTTTCCGCTGGCGATAACTTCCGCCAGGCGCTTTAAAGTTCAAAAAAAAAAAATTGTAATTATCTCGAAACCATCGATGAAACTGTTATGTTCTAAGAACGATCTAAAACAATAGATCGCAAAATCAAGACAACTAAAATCAACTTGTCGTAAAAAGTTAAGGATATATTGTCTGCAAAGACATTTTTCTAGAAAAAAGTGGTGCTATGACGGGATTTTTCTAGAATATATGTAATACAGATATCAATATCTATGACGTACGCATTTTAAAGTATCCATAGAATTTTTCGATCAGTTTATAAGGAAGAACCGGACAGCAGCTGTCAGTCAGTTAGTTATCAAGCAGTGTCAGAGAGACACTAGTATACCACGTGTTATAAATCGTTTTACATAAATGAGTGTTCCTGCAAGTTGAACTAAGCCATTCGAAATTTTTGTTCTTTAGAAAATGAGTTATGTCTGGGAGACCTGGGCATTTCACCTAAACTTCCTGCATTATATGCGACTTAAAATTGTTTTTATGTGACGGGAAACAAGTTTGAAATTCCATCTCTCGACAGGTAATAAAATGTCACTTTTCCGGATATACATCACATATTTATCAAGGAACAAAATGTTACAACAAATTTAACAATTTAATTAAACACAATATGAATACATGCAATCGCCAATCATTCAAAAACCTTCTATTTAATAACCTAGTCAAAAAGGCATATTTCTCAACAGAGGAATTTTTACTCTCATGTTAGTCCTATGTGCATATATTATGTTAATGTATCTCGTCACAAATGTACATTTTATTTTAAGTTCTCCACTATCTCAAACAAATGATTTGATTTTAATGTGTATATCTTACTTAGATTGTAATATGTTTTATGTTTATTTTTATGATCTCTATTTCATTACATATTGTGAAGCCTCATAGGTATTTCTGTAGTACTCTGTATTTTCTACAATCTTGTGACTAGCCTGATAGTGTAGGCTGTGCAATAATATTATTGTATCTGTTTACTACTCATAGGTGAATAAAGTTCTATTCTATTCTATTCTATTCATACAGGGTGTTCCATAAGTAATCGATCAAAAGAAGTGGGGTGGTAGGGGGGTAATTTGTATTCAAACTAACGGTATATGTTGTTATCAAATTAATGATGGTTCAAAAGTTATTCAATTCATCTGAAAAATGCAACCCATTCGAAAAATATTGAAAAGGAAAAGGCTGCTCGTAATAACCCCATATGTTATACCTTTTCGGAATCTGTATCAAATGGGTAACTTTTTTTCATGATTGGTTATCTTTGTGCGGTAGTTTTTGAATCTACCAGCGGCATTTATAAATCGACTTAAATATTTCATTCAATGACAAAACTCAAGGAAAACAAAATTCTTCTCAGGTAATTGATAAGAAGTAATACATGTCATAAAATTATTTCTGGGGAAAGGTGTATCCATGTGGATGAAATTTGTAAAAGAAAAAATCACAAATGTGACATAGTTTTACTGTAATTAATTCTTTTTATAGAAATGAAAGAACATTAATAACTTTTGAACCATCAACAATTGGATAACCACATATACGGTTAGTTTGATTGGAAATTACCCCTCCTATCACCCCACTTCTTTTGATCCATGACTCATGGGACACCCTGTATACACTGTTGATGGCTTTTGTTGTGATATAGTCCCAAAAAATAAGCCAATAACACCGTCTCCGAGATAGAACTGCAAATCCTTTCATCTTCCATTCGACTTCTCGGTTACGTAAATTACTAAACAAACACTAAATTCTCAATTTTGAAAATTAAATCACAGAATTAGACTGACGACTGACAGATATTTGATTACTTCAAAAGAATTATTAAGAAGATGCCTGCAATGCAGGTGTCATTCTTGTTGGAAACTTCGAATTCCACGTCGATAATTTTATGATTTCAATATGATTTAATATCTTCTCAATACTGATTCGTCCTTTTTCATGTCACAGAAAAAAATAGTGTATTATCCATGGGAAAATATTAGATTTTGTCTTTTTCCGTCGGATTTAATGTTTATAGCTTATAAATTGATTCAATTAACCTTGAAAGTTATTTATTATTCTGAAAAGAAAGAAACCTTGATAGACACCTACCTCTGCTGCGTGAAAAATATTGTGAAAACAGCGTGCGATCTTGAACTTGTTTCGTTCATGTTGGTGGCAGCGACAGTCCTCGCTTTGTTGCCCTCGTCGATGAGGTCGTGGATGTCCTGGTAGCTCATCACGGCCAACTTACTGAGGTCTTCGACGTACGGGCCCAACAACGGATGTTCCCGCACCCGCAGGTTGCCCTTATTTTTCGGATTCAGGAGATCTCTCACCCGTTCGCAGTATATTTCCATATAGCTGACTTCTACCTGTGATGGATATAAGTCAGTACTTGAAATGGAATGATACAAAAATAGTAGATTGTGCTCGGCTTCGCTATCGCTCCGAGTCGCAAACGCAAATATCACATGTCATACAAAGTGTCTCATTTGATCCGAATGAAACATGCTATTTTTTTGCAATCGAAATAATTGATATCTGATATCTGAAAAAATATGAGTGAATTACCACTATTTCGGGTCACTTGAGCATGTCAGTTTCAAAGCACACGTTTCAAGTTCCTAGACACTAAATGTGTTGCCTAGCAACATACATAATAATCATTTTATTGTGTAAGTAGGAGAAACATCAACTTCAAGAGCTTTTGCAGAAAAAACTATATTTCTACGGCTATAACACAAAATTGCTCTTATTTAGTTTGTTTTATAGGTACATACATCAATGAGATGAGGTACTTTGTATGTCATCACTTCTATTTCCGTATCTCATATCACAATGACTTTTACAAAGTGAAAACGAAGTGTGGAACAGTGTGGAAATATTCCCGCAGCCTCACACGATCTTCGTTTGGTCTACATGATGGATGGATATTATAATACTGAATTATCATATTTTAATACTACTATCACTGATTCTTCTCACACTAATTAGTCCTACAGTACTCAATGTTCAGTTAATGTTAAATTATTGTTAAGTTGATGTCAAGTTGATGATAAGCCAATGTTAAAGTAATGTTGAGGTGATGTTGAGTTATGAGGTCAAGTTAATGTCGAATAAATGTAAATAGATTTGAAATAAATTTAATGTTGATTTGATGTTAAGTTAATGGTAGATTATTGTGTTGTTAATTTATTATCAACTTAATGTTAAGTTAATGTTGAGTTGATATTGAGTTACTCTTGAGTGAATGTTGGGTTAATGTTGAGTTATTATAAGTTAATTGAATGTTGAGTCAATATTGAGTAAATGTAAATTTAATGTTAACTCAATGGCAATTATGATTTTGAAGTTGTTGATATTAATTCAATGTTAATTTGATGCCAAGTTGATGATTAATTATAATGTCATCTTCATGCGATCGAATATGATCAGGAAGATGATACCTACTCAGGTCTCATAAATAGGTATGGTGCATATGATAAATATTATTTGTGATCGTAGGAAAAATAGTGTACTGAACTCGTTGGAAAGTGCATTTCCAGCGCTCGTTAAGTTTTCACCTATTTGTGGCTCGTGCTTAACGTCCACTCGTGCCAAATATGTCACTTTCCACACTAGTTTAGTAGTTATATAATGTACTATATCCTACTACTGTCAAATGAACTGCACTCTTTTATATTTTGTGTGCCTAAAGTGTACAATTTTTCATGATTTTACGGAAGTGTGAAAAAAAGTACACTTTTTTTCACGGTTTTTGCCAGGCTGTCAACATTTTTTAGTCGTAAAAGAAATACCACTTTACGCACCTGTCACATAAATAACTTATTTCTAATTAGGATTTTGTATGGTATATGAACCACCTTTTTCAGAAATTCGAAGGTGTATCAGAAAAATGTATCTTATCAACATACATTTATGCAGGAAATATCAATCTCGTGGCTCTACCGTTTAGATGTGCGGAAAGAATATTTTAATTTGATCAACTTTGGAAGGATATATCTCCCTCGATATACATTTTGGCCATTAGTTTATTCAACAAACTATACTTATTTTTCAATTCACCATCACCTCCAGAAAGCTCGGTACACATTTTTGACTAATCCTGTATAATCTATAATTCCGACCAAATATTAAATGGATGCAATTTCATTCATTCATTCTTTCACAAGAGAACTAATCATCTCACCCTTCATGTTATTATATTGCCACCGGATGAAGCATTAAGAACGGTGAGGATGGTTTACTATGGTCGAAGAGAAGGATTGCGAGAGATCAATTATTATCTGAGACCAGTAAACCTCATCGTTTATGATGCTTTTACTATTTTTTTACGACCGATATATGTATGATAATAGATCAATATGATTTGATAGTACATTTATAACTTATAACTGATGTTGTTTCATTCTGAATCCTGAGACTCAACTGATGAAAGTAAAACTGAACATAATCTGAAGGTGATGAAACTGAATGCCTGTATATAATTAATCCAGTTGTCATGTTTTTCCCTTATGCTATTATACATTTATACGCGCCTATTCTATACAATATAAAAATGAAGATTGCACTTCAAAACATTTAAGTTCTGGCATGGAATTATAATTTTCTGTTTCAGGAATCAAACTTTAATCTTGTACAAAATATCGTGCATCTTGTCATCATGATCTGTTCATCGAAACTATTTATATATAATCGCACAGCTTTATTTTCCATAATAAAAGGATCGAATTAAATATAAGTTGAATAATATTCTATGGCAGAATCTGAATAAATAAATGCTTGAACTACTAAGGTAAGTACTTAGGTTGAAATTGAATATACAGGGTGTTTGATTCACCGACGTATATCTAAAAGGGGGTGATAGGTAGGAACATTTCGAACATATGCCCGGTGAAACTGACCCATGGTATCCCCCTTTTCTCCTTTGTTTCTTTAGCTATATTTCTGAAATCCGGAAAATCGAATATGCTTCCTAGAGGGCACTTTTTCACATTTTTTCATCTTCCAGTTTTCCTGGAAATGACATCAACTTTCGATTATTAAATGGAACACCCTGTATTTCATTCCATAATCGGCTAGAGATTATTATAACGAATTCGACAATACCGGGTTTGATTGTGTTATTTTCAAACGCTTACGAAGAAATTCGCGTTCGAGGTTTCCATGAGTTCCAATGAGTGTGTCAGAGATAGAAGTTTAGATATTGCGCCGTGAAATATCATTTCACATTATACCTTTGATAATAATTGATGTAACTTTTTTGGAGTACGCCACTGAAAATGTTTAGATATTTCAATGACCGATTAAATCAATTATCTAACTTCTTTATAAAAGCAGTTTTTTTATAATTCTTCTTAGTTTTCGAGATATCTGACAACATTCATTTTGGTGCTTCTCCATACTTGTTTATGATTTCAGAATAACCTATCATATTTTGCAAATTTCTACCTCATTTGTGTTGAGTTGTTGACCATAATATACATGTCAATTCTGCAAGCTCATCATCATATGATCTGGGAGCTGGTCGTTTCCAAATATCATTCTTTATTCTCGCAAAATGACCAATAACTTATTGTGGTCAATAACTCACGAAATAACTCAACACAAATGAGGTAGAAACTTGCAAAACATAATAATCCTTACACATCATAAATAAGTATGAAGAAGCACCAACATTAATTATGTTAGATATCTCGAAAACCAAGAAGAAATATGAAAAAACTGCAGTTAGTAAAAAGTTAGATAAGTAGTTGATTTTGTCTTTCATGGAGTAGGTACCCCAAAAAAGTTATATCAATTTATTTCTATATTGATTAAATTTGTATGACATGATTTTCATGCACATTCATGATAGTAAATTGCCATCAGAATTTTAGAGCAGAACTTTCTAAGGATTTTGAAATATTTAGTAAAATCTGTAAATAAAAATATTCCTCATCGCCCTCTCACTGCTCCACAGTGCATTTTCGTATAGAAGTAGGTTTTATGTGAGTGTGGTGAATACCGCCCCTCCACATGGAGGTAACTTGATTTCAATCAGTCAATTTTGGTGTCTAGTTCACCCTGTAGAATTTATGATACGTTGTTATAAGACACGTTGTATATATTTGTAGCCGGCTCTCCAACTATTAGGTGTGGAAAATGGCGGCCGTAATTCAAAAAAATGTATGTTTTCCGTCGACCTCGTATTAACGACTTAGTTTAATGTATATGAAATCGTTCATTAATGACCCCTATTAACGAACAATTTGTCTATTAATACACGATTATTTTATAGGCAACCAAACATACACCGCGTGCATTCATTGTATATGCTATATCTCAGGGAATCTGCATTTAAATAAAAAATATGGATTTCATTGAAGATTTTCCGTTAACAGATTCGCCTTTCCAAGTTTCTGACACGATTTTAATCCCTGTTTTCTAACACAATTAGGAATGTATTTTCTATGTTGATCATTTCGACAAATGTCAAATATCACTAATGTCAGTAACAAGGCTACTGGGTGATTCTTAGCAGTTTCCAGATGAATGATGCATTCGCGAACCAAGTTTTCTTCATTGCAGGAGAAATGAGAAATATAGTCGACGGAAAAATTTTGTAACCAACTTGTATATTAAAAGGCGATTAATGATCTCGAACATTAACGCGCTCGCTTCGCTCGCACGTTAAAATATTTCGATCATTAATCGCCCTCATTAATACACTAGTTGGTTAAATAACTATTTATGATTAATAAGTCAAGTTCTAGTGGAATGAATGATTATACAGGGTGTTCCTTAAAGACATGCTAATATTTGAGGGGGTGATTACTCGACTCATTTCAAGAAGAAAACTTCATACAAACGTATGTCCTAAAAGTCTTAACTTTTGAGATACAGGGTGATAAAGTTTTGAAAAATATTCAGTTTTTTTTATAATAACTGAGACAATATTGTATACATCTTCATGAAATTTGGTACAAGTGTTTTATGCATCAAGGTGCATTTTCTGATGTACAAACATTTACATTTTCTCTGCCAGTGGCACCGTTACGGGAATATTATTGTTTATATTTCAATTAAAAGTGAGCAACGACAAAATATTTTCAAATTTTATGCAATATCATAGGAGGCTATTTAATTATGTACAAAAAAGATCCACTTGTTGATACTCGATAGAACGCTTCGTTTTCGAGAAAGGGGAAGGGGAACAGTAATAAAGTTGATTACTCGATTATTCATCGCGTTCGAGGGCAATATTTTGTGATGGTCGACTGGCTACAGTATCTTTCGTCAAAGCGCATTGATACGCCGGTATGCCTGATAGCTTCATCATACAATAATTTGAGCAATAGGTATTTACTACAACAGTAATTATACTAACCGAATATTTGATATCAGGTGAACTATTATTTCGTATCTTGGTAAATAAATCTTGGCATATTTGAGGAATTATTCCTTCTTGCGCTTCTTCCTGTTTTCCCATCATAGTGTAAGATTTACCAGCACCAGTTTGCCCATAGGCAAATATACAGACATTGTAGCCATCGAAAGAATGCTGTAACATCTCCTCGCCTATGTCTTTGTATACTAGTAATTGTGAAGAAAAGCATGGGTCGGATTCCTGAAAGGAAAAATAATGTTGATATCGTTATCGTTCCCGTCAAGAATGCATAATACTTACATCGTGTGACCAATAGGAGTAGTCAAAATTAAAACTTTTTTGAGCATCTTTAGAGTTTGGTTCACCTTTTGGATTCGTGATGGCTGAAAAAAAAATACTATCAATGTATACACTGTATAATGTAAGTATATAAATGATTGGTTTATATCACGATGGAGAGAACTGATTTCAAGCCAATGACAAAAGGCTGATGAAAGCATAGAAGGTCTGTGGAATGCATTTTTTGATCAGTTACGAGTACGTGCATTCCATTTTGAAGATAAAGTCTTGCGGTTTTCACGTCCCTGTCCTACTTTTTTATGAAACTTATGATGTTCAAATGGATGAAATAAACCCTATACAGGGCGAGTTTGAAAATGCATACTTTTTGGACCCCTTCTATATGTACGAAGTGATGCGAAGTTATGAGGAATAATGTTGCGCTGAAAACTATGTCTAACAGATGATTTCGTGCAGTATCCAATGAATTAGTGGTAAAATTTTTTTTTCGGGGTTCTGTTTCTGGAGATACGACACAAACAAATATATTTCCCAATGGAACACCATGTAGTTCATTATCCCGTTGAAATCTTTATTTTTTTCCCTTCGAAGTGATATAGGAAATGTCAGAAGAATAATCATCATATTATATAATCTTTTTGAATATTCTCGCGATACTCACTACATGAGTTAAGATATCAATACGAGACACGAGTAGCTGATGGTCAGGTTAGGTTGGTTCGATATTACACCCGACAGATGGAACATTGCTACAATGTAGAAGGTAGTCTTTAATTAGGATATTAGAACTCATTATCCAAAGCACAATAAAGTACATAGTGCAGGTATATTAGAGAATACATGTTCCTGGAACTTATTTCCCTCAGAATAATCGTGAAATATCTCGTAGAATGATCATATGAATTTAGGGAGAAATTCAATGTTCTTGGGAAATATTCTAGGTAAACTCTTATAACTGGGAAGAAAATAATGAAGGGCAGAAAGCGCGAAACACGTGCTGCTCTTTGTGAGGGCTATGTCCATTATTTTCTCAATTCATATATTCTCATACACATTTATTCGTATACATATTATTTCCTCCACTAGATATAGAACCTATACCACCATTTACCCCTTTTCAAGTGTATTTTTACTACCAAAGTAGTTTTCGTCATTTTATGAACCACTAGTCAATGGAGACATAGCCACCTCTGTTATAATTAACCCGAATTCACTGTTCTGATGCGAGATTTGAAGGAATGAATCTCAAATCTAGTTAGTATTCATCAATAACGACTTGTCATATGATGTCATGGTCATGGCTACTCGATGTTAATTAAAATTGAAAAGAAGCGCTTTCATAATGACATAGGTCTATACTTTAGTTTGACCTAACTATAATGACAACTACGAAATAGCCACAATGCTCAAAGTGGAATAAAATGTTAATGAATACAAAAAGCTCAAATTTATTTCCACACAATTTTTATAAAATAAAGAACAATGGTAGATTTTGGAAAAAAAAACAACTGCTGTTCTGGCTAATGCCAAGCAGAACATTGAATTACACCCTCCCGAAATCTATGCATCCACTCGTATAAGCAAATACCTACTTATACAAGTGATTAGTGATTCTTTCCTGAATGCCAATTGATTTCGATTTAGCCAGGCCACGCTAGACACCTACACACCGGGTTCGAGCTCTTTGACTCTCATCAGTGCAGGACAGTCTCCTGCCAGCAGTCCTAAGACCCATAGATTTTGGGTAGATGTAATTCAATCTTCTGCGTGGTATTAGCCAGTTGTTTTCCTCCCGAAATATACCATTGTTGTTTATTCTATGAACGTTGTGTGGAAATGACTTTGAGCTCTATGTATTTAGCATTTCATTCCACTTTGAGCATTGTGGCTATTTCGTAGTTGAAATAATGCCAGTCGGGCAAACAGCCACTCCCGTATGGGGATTTTTTTGGGTGTTTATTTCCTTCTTTTCTACTCGGATGGCGATGCTCTCATATTATCTATGGAGGATGCCTCCGAGGGAATATAATACCGACTTTATTTTTGTTTGGCTAGGCTACGCTTAGTCGGTGGTCTTAGGACTGCTGGCTGGAGACTGCCCTGCACTGATGAGAGTCGAAGAGCTCGAAATCGATTTGTAGGTGTCTAGCGTGGCCTTGCTAAATCAAAATCAATAGCCATTCAGGAAATGATCACTTGCATAAGTATTCGTTTATACGAGTCGATGCATAGATTTCTGGAGGATTTAATTCAATGTTCTGCGTGGCATTAGCCAAGAAAGTAGTTGTTTTCCTCCCGAAATCTACCATTCATTTCATGAACATTGTGTGGAAATTACTTTGAGCTTTTCGTATTCATTTAGAACTGTGATTGAAATTTATTGCTACTATTGAAAAAAATTATTACTACGGGACCATATACCGCTCGGCTGAAGCCTTGGGATATAGTCTGCTTGGTCCCTGAATAATAATTATATTCAGTGATACCTTGGTGTATAAATATCTATTGTGCAACCTATCTGGGTTGAAACAATCAACATACGATAGAATATTCATTTTGTTTGAATCTATGGCAACGAATGCCTTTTAGAGTTAGACGAATTTCGATTCCTTGTTAGATAGAGCATATAGATTCATGCAATTGGTTCTTGGGGTTCTCCTGGTCCCGACGGTGGATTTGCTTACCTGTGGTATTTCCACTCATTTGTATGATACATTTGCATTCTCTTGTAATTTCCCTATTGTTGAAGGGTCTCACTCTCACAGCTACTTTTACTGATGACATCTTGTTTATGTCTCAACTGAAACAAAGAAAATTTGTCAATTACTTTCATCATTACTGGCATTTTGCAGGATTTGGATTACACAGAGTGTCGTGGAACCTGTTGTTTAGTTTCTACATCAGCAAATATTTTCACTTCAGTTGAGTAACCATCAGCATCAACAGAACTGTGCAACTTCCTTCCAAACTTTCTCATCGAAAATGAAACCCTTTATGTAAATGAAAGGGGCATTATGATTTATTATTCTCGATTAATGAATAAGTTTTGGTAACAAACAGCGATTTTTCCCATTTTGAATCTATGATTCAACGTAATATAACGCCCAGTATAGTTCACGTGTATCATTTCAGTTTTTGTAGGTGCAATTTTAATTTGATCACGCTAAAAATGAACACTCTAATTCTGGGAAAAACGAAATGTGCATATAATTACAAAATCCAACTCTGAGAATACAACCCAATACGCTGTGAAAATATACGATAATAAATATGAAATACTTTAGTTGATTGAAAGATGTACATATAGATTATTTTTTATAGTTGAGGTGTTGGGTATACAGGGTGTCCCGAAATTCGCCTGCCACACTCCAACAGCTGCATCTACGATCAAAAATAGGAAGAAAAGCTTCGATGCACATGAGTCGAGAAATGTCTCCTAAGGAAACTACGGTGTCCTAAAAAGGGGCTCCTGAAGATGATATTTCTTGAATATTTCCGAAATGCCACGTAATAAAATGATGCAATTTGGTACAAGAACTAAACTTTCCATGGCCAATGCGGTGAATATAAAATCATTCCAAAGTTTCATTCAGGAGTGTATAATACGGGGTGGAACTATTAAATATTGCTCAAACTTTTTTGTTCACATATTTTTCGACAATTCAATCTCGGATTATGAAAATACGCACCGTTTCACAAAAAAAGGGTCTGTTCCGCATCGATCAGATGTATAATTTTCGAGTGAAATCGATTTAAAAATATTGATACACTCACAACTTTTGCATAATGTTGCCAATGTTCAAACCATGGTGGCTATAAAAAAATCAACTACTTTCTTCTCACCTAACAAATACAAAAATGCGCGAAAAATAGGAAAATGAAGATAACAAAACTACTTCAATCTCAGTGTTTTTTTTTCATTTTCCCTATGACTCATTGCAATGTTATGCATAATTTCTGAGATGTAACAATATTTATAAATCGTTTTTACTCGATAATGATACATCTGTTCGTTACGGAATAAGAGTACCGATTTCTGTAAAGAGGTTTGAATTTTCATAATCCAAGATTAAACTGTCGAAAACTATGGATAAAAAGAATTTTGAGCAATATTTAATGTAATCCCACCCTGTATCTTACACTCCTGAGTCAAATTTTGAAATAATTTCATTTTCACTGCATTGGGCATAGAAAGTTTAATTCTTGTACCAAATTTTCATCAAATGGACTTTCGGAAATGCTGAAGAAATATTATCTTCAGGAGCCACTTTTCAGGAGGCCGTAGCTCCCTTAGGAGATATTTCTCGTCTCATGTTCCTGGACATTTTTTTTTCCTATTTTTGATCGTAGGGACACCCGTATAGATAACGAATGCAAAAGTACATATTCAAATAGTTCACATCATTGAATATTTTCAAAGTATTCATCTAGTATCGGGTGACCAGTTATATTCTGACCCATTTCAACTGCTCACATCTCCGAAACTATTCAAATTATCGTTGTGCGGTTTGGACTTCTCTATTTTGATATTCTTCAAGTTTTTCGACTGGTCCACCTTCTCACCTGAACTTCCGGTTCTACCGGAAACAAACAAGCCATTATTCAGGTATAGAGTGACTTTGATACCATTGCATAATCTCATTAATCCATTCCACAAGCAGTAGTTGTTTCAAAGAGTTATAACTCTAATAGTTTTCTAGGAGAACATAACTTGTAATACATTGTTACCCCTCAGGGGCTCACAACTTGTGAGTACGGAAATGGTGAACCCGAGGTACCCTAGCCGGATATTCACCATACTTCAACTTGTCTTAGGTGATATCCTCTTCTCTCTTCCTTTTTCAATCTATCTATCGGCCTTTCGTGGACAACTTCTCTTTTCCTCCTCCTCTCCAAGCCCAACCTCACCATCAAGTGGTGTGGGGAGGACAGACCGCGGCCGCTCAACGGATGAAGCATTTTGGGACCATCTTTGCTACTTCCGGCCAGATGGGACAATTTGTGGACATCTGTGGCAGAGATGGGGCGATTTGCTGATATCTGTCTAGGTGGCCGAGGACTAGTCAACGAGGCTCTGGCAACCTAATCCAAGCTGTGGGAACCCGTGGTGATGGATGAATGGCACCGAGGTATAGTGTCGCTAACGGGGCCTCTTGGAAACAGGGCGACATCTCAGAGTAAGTAGCCTTAGCCCTGTGCACCACAGGGCTGGACCAATCCCTTCCCCCGTTACTCGTAGGAGAAGGAAGACTTTTGGCCTTCTTCGTAGACGAGAACAGGGATCGGAAGAGCAATCTTCAGGAAACTGAACGAAAAGGGTCTTTCATATTGAAGTGACCTTTAAGAAGCACCATGAGATCTTATATAGTAAAATTGATAACGGCATGTAGGTAAACTACAATGGGCCACTAGGTATAAGTGTCGTCGGAGACTTCGGTCAGACGAGCCTACAAACGGGGTGGAATGTTTAGTTGGTATACCTGGAGTCAGGGGACTCCCACACTATCATATGGGGGATTGGACCCATATGGTGTCCATGAAGGATTTCAACCACCTCGATGAAAAAAGACCAGTTTTTCTGAATGTGTAAAAATATACAGGGTGATTCAATGAAATAAAAAAGTTGCCCTATATCTGGATTATTGCTTGTTTGTTTCCGGTAGAACCGGAAGTTCAAGTGAGAAGATGAACACGTCAAAAAAAAACTTGAAAAAATCGAAATAGACTAGTCCAAACCGCACAACGATAACCTGAATGGTTTCAGAGATATGAGCATTTGAAAAAGGTCAGAATATAACTGGTCACCCGGTATCAAAGGCGATCACACTGTTCGAGAAAAAACCCTATGTTACACTAGCAATATCCCTCAGACGCACTCGACAGGCCCAGTTAGCACATCCTTTCGTTGTCCAAAACTCGTGCCGTCTACAGAATGGCAAAGCTTTCGAATTCATTGCCAATGGAAGTATTCCCAAGAACTTATAACCTCCAGAAGTTTAAGAAAAATCCAGCAACTACCCCCTCTCCCTATCCTTCCTAGGTACGCACGATGTTCTTCGAACATCATAGGAATTTCCTTTCGTGCGCTCCAAGAGATAAGAAAATTAAAAACATTCGACTGCAAGCAGTGTCAATTCCACTGACTTATGCTGAAATTCAGCTGTTCCGAAATAGTTCAGCATTTACAGTGAGATTACTTCAGCTGAAATTGGCAATTATTCAAAATTTTATTTCAACATTATCATTTTTGGAATAAAACGAATGGAAAAGATTCGTACATGGACCAATAACTAATTATACAGGGTGAGTCAAAAATATGTGCCAAGCTTTCTGGAGGTGATAGTACATTGAAAAATAAGTATAGTTTGATGAATAAACTAATGGCCCAAGATGTATATTAAGGGAGATGTATCCTTCCAAAGTTGATCAAATTGAAATAATTTTTCCGCATAACGTCTAAACAATAAAAACCAAGAGACTGATATTTCCTTCATGAATATATTATTATGTTGATGAGATACATTTTTATAATACACTTTTACATTTCTGAAATTGTTATAAAGGGTGTTTAAAGTGGGTGGGTCATGATTTTTTGTTGACAAATTTTCTCTCGTATTCTGTCTGGTGGAAAAATAGAAGCATTTGATAGAGCGAAAAGAAATACATAACAACGGTACTCTTATCGGATAACAAAATTGGTAACCGTTGTCGAGATATTTGAGTTTTTGTAGTGACATATGATATCAACAGATAAATTCATTAGTAATAATATTTCATCTATATTTTTAATTCTGAAGCATTTTTTTTCACGCAATCTTTGCACAATACTAAAAATTGTTCTAGAATTTGGAACGCGTCGAGCGGGAAACGAACAGTTGAAAATCGCAGAAATAATATTACTATGCAAAAAACTGAACAAGGCAAGTAACAATAACAATGGTCATTTCATGAATGTCAATATCAAGCACAGAATTGATCATGGCCTCCTAAAATATTGTTTCCGATGAATTAATCTGCTGATATCAGGTGACTACAAAAAACTCAAATACCTATCTCGCAAACGGTTACAATTTTTGTATTTCGATAGGAGTACCTTTTTTCGCTCTATCAAATGCTTCTTTTGTTTTCACCGAATAGAACACGAGGAAACAAGTTTTTCTCAAAAAATCATGACCCGCCCACTAAAAACACCCTTTATTACAATATCAGAAAGGTGGAAGTGTATTAAAAAAATGTATTTCATCAACAGACCTTTATACAAGAAATCTCAATTTCGTGACTTTAACCGTTTAGAATCACCTCCAGAAAGCTCGGTACATATTTTTGACTCACCCTGTATAAGTAAACGTATTCACTTCATTATTGACAGATTACTGATTCCAACTTTTAGTGGTCAGTAAAATTCTCGTAGAAACCTGAACCAAAAATATTCAGAATGGTTAGTATGTTTGCAATAGAGATCTGTGACTCTCACTGAATTTTGTTTATTTCGGAATGGAAAATCCTAAAATTCAGTACTGACAGTTGAATTCGAAATATTACAACAAACTTCACGCACATTCAAAATTTATTCGAATTTCTCTCGAGACAAATTAGAGTAAAGAATAGAGGCAAAAGGCACCATATTTGCCGAAAAATGATCCTAATAAATATTTGATGAGAACGGTGTAGTTATTCCTCTGGACCGCACGTGAATTTTGTGTTCAAGGTATAATACATATCATTGAATTACATGGGTCTACGCCCTGGAGACACATCTCTCCAGAACGTGAATTATTCAGTATCTTATTTCCACTAGGA